CAGTGTCTGAACGCTGATACTACACTTTGGTCATTTTTAACAATTTAGAGAAGAGACTATTTAAGGCTCCTTCTCTCAATAAAGCTTTAAAAATTCATATTTTTTCTTTTTGTCCTCGTGGAAATAGTAAAATTAAGGAGGAGAAAGAGGAGGAGTGGAAGAAGAAGGAACAAGGTTTATGAAGTTTCTGGAGTAGTAAGTAAAAACAGTTTGGTAGAAACACATTCTCTAAATTATTTCAAATTACTGTAAAACACTTTTGCACTTAGAGTTGGTAACAGAGCAAATCTCTCTAAGAGTATTTTTCTCTCTGCTTTAATCAATCGACATCATTAGCTGATCAACACATCGTACCTCATCCGCCAAGCCAATTTTAGTTGTGTTAAATGTCATCACTACATGCTCACACATGTCACACAAATGTGCGCGTGCACACACACACACACACACTCACGCTGTGTGTGTGTGTGTGTGTGTGTGTGTGTGTGTGTGTGTGTGTGTGTGTGTGTGTGTGTGTGTGTGTGTGTCATAGGCCATTACTGTAACAACAGGAGGCTGATCAGTAAACCTCTTAATTATTGACTAGAACAGTTGGAGGCCCATTCTGACACTTCAGCTGACACCCTGCACACCTGAATCCTACGTCTCTCCTGCTCTTATGAAGCAACAACTTGCAGGATAAGGGTCTCGTGCAGGTTTGGCATGGTCTCTTTGTTGTAGTGCTGGTCATATTTAATAAAATGCGGATGCAGGATATAAATAGCAGATTTCAGCAGCTCAAACCAGAGAAGCAGTCTTGTTCAGAAGGTAAAATTAATGAATGCATGTTGCTTTAAACATTACTTCATAGAAATTGTTTGTGTTCTGTGGAGTTCTCTTTTTTAAGTGAACATATAAAACAATTTGTGTTTTAATTCTTGTTATTTGCAAAATGTTCTTTTTGAACCTAATTTATTCCTTTTTAATCTCTTATGGAATAAACTGCTCAGAATATTTCAAATTTTTTAAAATATTAAATTAACTGTTATTTAATCAAATCACTGTTCAGAAAAAACTTTAGGTTTAAAGTTTATTTTAAGATTATCTCCACACTTTGTGACATTTTCAGCCACAGAAAGCAATATCCTCTATCATCTTTCCTTATAATTTCCTTTTATAAATAGCAAAATAGTGATCATTTTCTTATAAGCTGCACTTATTTTAAAATAAATTCCAAATGACACATACAAGTTTTATTTTAAATGCTATTACATATCCAAATACTCCAAAAAAGGTTGATATTTGATTTGACAATCCACCCCTTTTAGAATATCATAATATTAATAAGACTTCAATGATCAAACAATGATATTAATGTTAGGGCAAGACACCTCTCTATCTGTCCTAGCTTCTTCACCTCACCCATAATAAACATCACTCTTGGTCTTGTGAATCTATTCAGCTCATCAGCCCCAGCATCACTACAGTCTTTGGCCGCAAATCCTTCCACATTGCAGCAGCATATGACTGGAACAATTTACAAACACCCTTAAACGTGCAACTTTGACACCTATTACAGCCTTTAGATCTAAACTTTTCCAGATAATAACTGACTTCTGCTCTTGTTGATCACCCAGATCACACTTATTTACATACATTCACACACACATTCAGTTCCCTGTATTATGTAATGATTCTCCTGTATGCATGTGTATATGTTCTTTTAATTTTCAGACCCAGCTTCAAATTTTTCTAATGCCTGTTGATAAATGATTGTCTGATAATTTATTTGCTTATCTGTTTTTTGTTGTTGTATATATATGTATACATATATATATATATATATATATATATATATATATATATATATATATATATATATATATATATATATATACATATAACTTTCATTTTATTAGATCCAGCTAGCTCTAGATTCTATTTTACACGTGCTCATTAATCACAATGATGCAGTAACAGTCCAAAAAAGCAACTCCTGAATTATTGTATATGCATGAGTGTTTTATTTTGGGAATATTAAAAGATTGGGTGTGATGCTGTGGCTTCCCACTAGAGAGAGCATGGAGTTGATACGAGTAAAGACAGGTCAGGTGCTCTGAGCACTGTGGTGTTTGTATTTTTGTTGAAGGTCATAAAGCTATTCAACACTTCAGAAGACAATCTTCATTTGTGGTGACTTTAACATTGATCTCCTAAATCCTAACAAATTGAAGCAAATAGATGAATTTATTAATACAGCATATAGTTTAAGCCTTTACCCGACAATTACTAAATCAACTACAGTAACTTCACACTGTGTAACATCAATTGATAATAGACTAACAAACAACATAGAGAATAATATAATTAATGGTCTCTTAGTTAATGATATTACTGACCACTTACCAATTTTTATAATTTATGATGATAATTATAGGAATAATAATCCAGATAATAGCATAAGGTACAGACGTATACGAACAGTTAATACAACTAATGCCTTGAAGAATGAATTGATGAGACAGATATGGGAGGAAGTGTACCAGCAGACTGATGTTGACAAGGCTTATGAGACCTTTGTCAGAATATTTATTTCATTGTATGATAAGAATTGTCCCTCAACAAAATTTAGTAGCTCAGAAAAAGGGATAATCAACCATGGATGACTAAGGGGATAAAGTGTGCCTGCAAAAAGAAAAATAATTTGTACAGGTAGTTTATAAATAAAAAAAATCCAGAAGCTGAACATAAATATAAAATATATAAGAATAAGCTTACCAATAAAATAAGAATATGTAAAAAGGAGTATTATTATAAAAGTTTGAATAATGCTAAACATGATATTAGATAAGTGTGGAAAATATTAAATAATGTAGTTCGACCAAATTTAGGTAATGATAAATTTCCGAAATATTTAGTTGAAAACAGTGTTGTAAAACATGATTATGGTGATGTGGCTGATAGCTTTAATAAATTCTTTGTAAATATAGGGCCGTCATTGGCAGAAAACATATCTAGCTCTTCAACATCGCATACACCATTTTTTTAAAAAAAAATCAAACCTAATCCTCATTCCATGTTTCTTTCAGCTGTAGAGGAACAAGAAATAATACAAATTGTAAAAACATGCAAAGGTAAAACATCAACTGACAATCATGGCATTGGCATGATGACGGTAAAAAAGGTGATAGAAGGAATTTCAAAACCACTTGCATATATTTGCAATTTGTCTGTTCAATCAGGTGTATTCCCAAAATTAATGAAAGTTGCAAAAGTTATACCAATAAATAAAACTGGGAATAAGCATCAATTTACGAACTATAGGCCAATTTCCTTGCTTCCACAATTTTCCAAGATTCTTGAAAAATTGTTTAATAACCGACTTGAATATTTTTGAATAAATACAAGATAATATCAGACTGTCAGTATGGATTTAGATCAAGTAGTTCAACATCACTAGCTCTGGTGCATTCTGCGGAAGAAATTACAACGTCAATTGATCAGAAGACACATGTTCTAGGGATATTTATTGATTTAAAAAAGGCTTTTGATACGGTTAATCATAAAATGTTACTTGAAAAGGTAGAGAGGTATGGGATTAGGGGTGTAGTGTTGAGCTGGTTAACAAGCTATCTACAACAGAGGAGACAGTTTGTGAAGTTTGGAGAATGTTCATCTTCATGGTTGGACATTGTTTGTGGAGTACCACAGGGGTCTGTGTTGGGTCCAAAATTATTTTTATTATATATTATTGATTTGAGTAATGTAACAAATACACTGACATTTGTTTTGTTTGCCAATGATACCACTATTTTCTGTGCAGGAGATAATATTAGCGACTTAGAAAGGATGGTCCGAATTGAAATGTGCGTCATTGAAGAGTGGTTTATTGAAAATAAGCTTACATTAAATATAGCAAAAACAAAATGTATGCTGTTTGGTATGGCTAATAAAACTGAAGTTAAGCTGCAAATATATGGATGTGAAATTGAGCAAGTAACAGAACATAAGTTCCTTGGAATAATAATTGATAATAAATTAAGTTGGAAACCACAAATTAAACATGTGTATAACAAGGTTGTGAGAAGCATCTACATAATGAATAAAGCTTGACAGTACTTGGATTATAAATCACTCCATGTCCTTTATTATTCATTGATTTATCCCTATCTAATTTACTGTGTAGAGGTATGGGGTAACACTTATAAAACATCTATTGTACCCTTGTCTATCATACAGAAAAGAGCCCTGAGAGTCGTTCACAATGTTAGATTTAGAGAACACACTAATCCGCTATTTATATATTCAAAAATACAAAAATTTAAAGATTTACTCCAACTGTGTTTGGTGTGAATTATGTGTTAGTTAAGGTTAGGAACAGGAATAGCTGAGTATTGGTCATGGTTAGGGTTAGGGTATGGGTTAGGCATAATACAGCCACAAAAATGAATGGAAGTCAATGTCACTTTGATAGAAAGACAGTGTGTGTGTGTGTGTGTGTGTGTGTGTGTGTGTGTGTGTGTGTGTGTGTGTGTGTGTGTGTGTGTGTGTGTGTGTGTGTGTGTGTGTGTGTGTGTGTGTGTGTGTGTGTGTGTGTGTGTGTGTGTGTGTGTGTGTGTTTTTAACAGCATCAGAAGGCTGCTCCAGAAAGCAGCCATAATGGGGGCAACATGCAGGCCGGCCCTCTAATTTTATTCCTGTGGAACGAGTAACTGGTGAACTCTCTCTCCTCAGACTTCCACTATTCACCAGAATAAAACAAAAAGTCAACAAAATGTCAAACGGAGACAGCCTGGTTTTGTTTTACTCACACTCATGGCTAACAAAAACATCTCAAACACATGGTCCGCTCAACAAAACACAGCCTGGACGATGGAGTGACAAGCAGAGGGGTGCTGTTGATCGGACTCAGTGAGGGAGAATCTATATTTTCTGCTGATGCACGTTGTTACACCCCCCGCCACCTCACCCCTCTGTGGTACGGTCCAGATGGATGTCAGAGGCGTTTAAATGTGGATGCTCAACCAGAAGCAGCCAGTGCAGACAGCTGGCTTGAACCAGGAGGCAGAGGTGGGGGGGTGAACCTTCTGAACCTGCTGTCTCTGTACGAGTGACAGGGGCAGATAAAGGATGACAGAAGAGATGACTGACTGACTCTGTGAGTGTACTGATGTGCAGGCTTACGTGTTTGTATCAGTGTGTTTAGATTTTAATGTTTGAAGGGCTTTCTTCTTGTTTCTCTCGATCCCTCCTGCCTTCCATGCTTCACTCAGCAGTCGTCATCCCGGGCCATTTGCTGTTAGGCATGCTTCTCTCTGCCAGGACAGCGTCTCTTTCCCTCCCTCCCTCTCCCTGTCTGTCTGTTCCCCTTTGGCCCTGCTAGCTGCTGCTCTATGAGGAGACAGGTATGCTGCACTACCCTCATCCCTTATAAAAAATGCAGATATATCCCTTCATCCTTTTATTCTCTTCCTCTTTCTCAGTCACTGCCACTCTCCTCTCCCTGTCCCTTCACGGCTTTGTCTAACAACCCCAAGTAGGGTTGTCTTTGGGTTGCTGAGGAGACAGTGTCCCCATTGATTGCACTGCAAACTTGCTTCCTCGTGCATTTGGAGGACTGTTAAATGGTGCAACTGTGCACAAACAGCACACCTGCAGCTACAGGTTTGTTCAATGGCTTTTAAGGCAAGAGAGAACCCTGCTTTCATTTATTTAAAAGAGCAACAATGCTGGTGTCTGCATTACTGCAGCCTTTGTTGTTGCAGCTACAGAGATGCATAACACCTATTTAATTAGGTAAATGATGGGAGTCCTTAGAGAACCTTACTTCATCTTTGTAGAAAACGTTTGCTTCTTGCATCCTATTTGACAGTTTCACATTTGCTGCACTACCTTTAGACTCAGCATCGAGAAGAAGAAAAAAACAAAAAAATTCTAATCTCTTCAGATGGAGCTCCGATGTTGTGCGGTTTGTAAAAGTTGTCCTTCGGTGATCCTGCCTTCTCAGCAGCTGCTGAACATACGGATATGAGACATTGATGAGTCACAGAGTGGAAATCTGCAGAATCAGTGAAAGCAGGAAGGCAGGAGCTGCTGCTGTGCAGCCCATTGGATGATGAGAACATAATGAGGGAAAGCACTGTTTAACCTTTGACCTGTTCGGTCCCCTTTTACCTGATGAAGGTTAAAAATGAAGATGATCTGTGGGAGAACTTCCATATACTGACCCTTGTCCTCTAGCTCTAATTTGTTATATGGCCTCAGAAGATGTCTTTCTTGTGTGTCCTTTATTGTGCATTTTGATCCTGTCTAACCTTATTTTGCTGCTCAGAGTGAACGTGGAGCAGTGAGCTTAGAAAGACTGTCTTTCACTGAACCTGCTGAGCCTGGAGACAGTTTAGAATCATTTAAAATAAGATCCTCGTTCTGCTGCTCCCTTAGAACAATAAAGCCTTCATCCGACCAGATTATGCATCAGCGAAACACTGATGGGTTTTTTCTGAGTGGTTTGCTCTCCAACAGTGAGGGGATGAGTTGTTATATAACCGTGGATACTACTGATCCAAATATAGCAGCCATTAGGGGCTTAGCTCCGGGTCTCTAAACCTTGGCTGTGCTCGGCCCGTTGTCTCTCCCCTCCGGTCGTATTCTGCCCTTCACACCAGAGTCCGGCATCATCAAGACAGCTTAATATGAGCCAAACTGACAGTAGAGATAATATCTCAGCTTGATGTTACACTCCACAGATGAGCACCATTTTTTTTACCCTTCTGGGGTCTGATCATATTCCACTGTCATCAAAGTTGAGCCTTTATGTGCAGATGGTTTTTTCCCTCAGTAGATTTAGTCTGGTTTTGGCTTTCCGTACAGACTAACTTGGTGTGTGTTGAGTGGGAGGTGTTGATTGGAGGGTGTGAAAAATGTGTGGTGGGTTGTGGACTGGCCAATTACTTTACAATGGTCATTTCTCGTCTTAACCAGCCCTTTACTAACATCATCAGTGGTTTTTAACGGAGACGTTTCTGAAGCCTCAGGGAGGCTGCTCAAGATAACTCCAGGTATCATGATGTGTGCGCTCACTGACCTTCCTTCAGGTGCACTTCAGATATACCGAGCCCCCCTGATACGCTGCCACCGACACAATGAAATATTCAACATGATGATGAATATTTCAGGAACAGGTGCATAGTTTCAAAGTTAAGTTTGATATCAACCTAAAATGTCCCAATAGGAGCAAAGAAAACAGCACTGATGCAGCACAGGGATGAAGCTTCTAGCTTAAACCAACTTATTTTCCTTGAGGCTTTCCCCAAACTTCATTAAATGAATCCACTCACGTCCATCTTTGTCTGAAGTGTTTGGTTTTCTGGCGGACCCCTTAGTTTTCCCTCCTGGTATGTCCGCATTAGCTGGTCTATTGTGAACAGCTCAAGCTCAGAGCTAGGTGGCACCGTGAGAACCCACTGAAGAGCAACAACAAGCTTCTGTAGACTTTTTGATGAAACCATTCCACAGCTGAAAAAGCAGCGTTGATCACAGTAGTAGAAAAACCAACATTACAGAAATGCTTTTGTGTCTAAAACTTGAGTTTAATCTAAAATGACAATCAGGAAACATTTGAGCTAAAATGTCACTCGTTGTTCTTACTTTTTTACAGTTGATGCTCGTAGTCCTCGCCGCCTTCTCACTTCCCAGCATTCTTTACCTGGGATCCCAGTGGCCTTGAAACAATCCATTGACCTGCGCACCTCCATGGACGGGAAATACAAGGAGATAGCTGAGGTAGGACCTCGGTCACAGCCACGAAATAGTTTATTAAACTTTAAGCTAGAGCTTTATGGAAGAAATATAATCTCACCACAATATGATTTTTTTAAAGACAGAATTTTAGACAATTATTTTTTATTCTGTGAAATTATATATTTTAGTTTTTTTTCTACTTAAAACAAACCAGCAAAAATTTAATCTGTAAAAATTCAACTGCAGAATTTCAATGTAAACATTTCTTTGGCCTAAATTCATTAGCATAAATACATCAGCATACATTTTACATTAAAGATTGTATGGCAAAAATTTATCAAGTGAGGTGACCTCCTGGTGACCCAAGCCAAAGTAATCTCACTCAATAGAGGTAATGCTTCACTAGTGTCACGTGATCAGAGAAGCATATTTTCATTGGCTAAAAGTCACTCAACTCAATCGAGTGATGGCCCCTTTGGCTTGGATCCCCAGGAAATCTCCTCATTTGTTTGTGTTGTTGAATTTCTGATGTTGAATATTTCCAGCTGAAATTCTGCAGCTGAATGTTTGCTTGTGAGATTTTACTTTGAAATTCTGCAGCTGAATGTTTGCTCGTGAGATTTTACTTTGAAATTCTGCAGCTGAATGTTTGCTCGTAAGATTTAACTTTAAAATTCTGCATTTGGATTTTTACAGAAGAAAAATTTGCTGATGTATTTTAAGTGAAAATGAGTTATGTCAAAAAGTCTGTCTAAACAAGTGGTGAGTGTATTTCTTCCACATAGCGGTAACATTGATCTCAGTGATTGTTGGGTTAGAAGCTTGACCATTTTCATAGTTGACACCACTCGGCAGCCCTCTACTGGCCAGATACTGCACTTAACAGTTTTGTGGAGAGGGTAGGTGTTCTAGTGGGTGTTTCTCTCTTACTTTTAATTCCAGGCTCTGCAAAGATGCCAACAGAAAAGCAAACTTCTTCTTTTTCTTCTTCTACTTTTTATCTACAATCAGCAAACTGATAAAGCTAACTGCTCATAATATAACTAACAGCCGTAATGCACGAATAAGAGCACCCCCTAGAACATGATCTACCCCATCTACACAACTGTTAAGTGCAGCTCTTGCTTAAAGTAACTAAATAGTTTTTTAAACGTTAACATGAACATTTGTTTTTATTTAAACTAACTTGTGTTTGTGTGAAGGAGCTTTTCTCCCGCAGCCTGGCAGAAAGCGAGATGCGAAGCGCTCCGTATGAGTTTCCTGAGGACAGCCCCATTGAACAGCTGGAGGAGAAGCGCCATCGCCTTGAGCGGCAAATTAGCCAAGATGTCAAGTAAGCAATTGAAAGGAAGGAGGTTGATGCATTGAAGAAGATGATTGTGATTAAAATCAAAATCTTCCTCTTTTCACAGGTTTGAACCAGACATCCTCCTCCGAGCAAAGCAGGACTTCATGAAGACTGATAGTGCCACGGATCTCGAGTGAGTCTGATGATCCGATTGTGAATATTAATGCAGTAATCTCTAATGTGTTTATTGATCTATTGTTAGATTCATGAAGGAGCAGAGCGAGGCTTCAGACCAGCAGGAGAGAGAGCCGGTTACTGAGAGAGAATACCAAAGAGTCACTATTTCTGGAGAGGAAAAATGCGGGGTGAGTCAGAGAGATCAAAAAGTAGATGTTTTGTGTAGCTTCTCACTTTTCAAGTAGCATCTCTTATCTGGTGAATGTATAAGATTGCATATTTGCTCCTTTGTTCCATCCAGGTCCCGTTCACAGATCTGTTGGATGCTGCCAAATGTGTGGTGAAGGCTCTGTTCATCAGGCAGAAGTACATGAGTCTGTCGCTGCAGAGCTTCTGCAGAACCACCACTCGCTACCTGCAGGAGCTGAGCGAAAGACCTCTGGACCTCGACATCTACGAGGAGGAGATCCCAGAGACCTCAACCAATGCAGGTTGATAGCTTCAAGCATTATTTGGGTTTCACTTTGGCAAAACACACCACACAAATACTTGACAGCTTTATGACATCCCCTTCAAGTTCATCGGACTTGATTAAGTTGGTTTAATACAGCAAAACTCGTGTTTCAGGATCGTTTCCTTTAAACCAACACAAATGAAACAGAAGTATTTTAACTTTGACCTGGTAAAAATACACTCCTGATACTTTTTTGTTGATTTCCTGTTGCTCATTGAATCTACATGCACATATAAAACCTGCAAAATCCGAAGAAGGGAGTTGTTTCAACAGATAATCTCTTTTTGTCATTTTATTCTCTTTGTTAACATCATTAAAGACGTTTGCATAAATGACATTTGAGCTGCTGTGTCCGTTTTTAACTGATCATGGTAAACCACGCCAAGAGACACATACTTAAAATGGCTATAACAGACTTTCAAACAAAGCTAGAGCTAATAAAAGAACATTAGATGTAAACATAAGTGAGCTAACATCTAGTGTTTTGTGCAGTTCCCTCACACCCTGAAACACGTTCAGTTTTTATAAATCCACAATCTGCTACACACCCCTGAACATGCTGCCATAACGTGTGGGCTGTTGAAGTCAGACGTTAGCAACGTGAGCTTGATTTTCTGCCTCCTTACAGATGCCACCGTGCACCCACCTGCTTCTGACAAGCACCCGTATGAGAACCAGGACCCTACCAGCATGCCCTCTGACATGGGCTACGGCTGTAAGATGGTGAATGGCGTCATGCACGTCTATACAACGAGGGACGTTATGGAAAAGTAAGACATCTGTGTGTGTGAGAACATTCAGTCTTAGCTCCATTTCACGTATTTAAATGAGACTCCTTTAATGGTAACAGGAACACAGAGCTGGACCTGCCATATCCAGACCTGCAGGAGTACATCGCCGATATGAACATCATGATGGCCCTCATTATTAATGGACCAGTGTAAGCTTGATTACTTCTACTCTTGCATTATTTTTGTGTTATTTGCATTAGAAAACAGACCAGAAATCAGTGGTTTGTCTTCCTTTTCTATAGAAAGTCCTTCTGCTATCGTCGGCTACAGTACCTCAGCTCCAAATTTCAGATGCACATTTTGCTGAATGAGATGAAGGAGCTGGCAGCACAGAAGAAAGTCCCCCACCGAGATTTCTACAATATTCGAAAGGTGAACTTGGAAAAATCGCTTCACGCCTGACCCTATCCAGAACTAGCCCCTAATTCATGGTCATTTTTCTCCCATTTGTTTTATTTTGGTAGGTGGACACTCACATTCATGCTTCATCTTGCATGAACCAGAAGCACCTTCTACGTTTTATCAAAAGGGCCATGAAGAAGTACCCTAAAGAGATTGTGCACGTAGAGAGGGGAAAGGGTCAGACGCTCATGGAGGTGTTTGAGAGCATGAATCTGACGGCCTTCGACCTCAGTGTTGACACTCTGGACATGCATGCTGTGAGTAACACCTCTTCTAAAATGTGTTTTTACATGAAAATGGAAAAATTAGGGTTTTAATTTTTTTCTTCAGGACCGTAACACATTCCATAGGTTTGACAAATTCAACGCCAAGTACAACCCTATTGGTGAATCCATCCTGAGAGAGATCTTCATTAAAACTGACAACTACATCAAGGGGAAGTACTTTGGTCACATAATAAAGGTGCTCACTGAATGCAAAGTTTACACTTCACACAGTTTTTAACTGATTTTATGACTCAGTGGCGCTCTCTGGTGACTCAACTGCATCTCTGCATCTCAGGAAGTGATGGCTGACCTGGAGGAGAGTAAGTACCAGAACGTGGAGCTCAGGTTGTCCATCTACGGACGTTCCAGAGACGAATGGGACAAGCTAGCCAAGTGGGCCGTCAAATATCAGGTCTTCTCCAACAACGTGCGCTGGCTTGTACAAATTCCCCGACTCTTGTGAGTTTCACCATTGTTGGAAACAAATACGTGTATTTTCTCACCTACAGCCGTAAGGATCCTGTAGTTTACATAATTATACTCTTCTCTATAAAAAGAATATAAGAAAACGTTATTCACTCTTTAATTTCACTTTGCTAAAATAAAATCTAAAGGATAAACTGATCTTTCCGACTATTTTCTGACAATTATAAATGACATCAGGGCACATTTGTTACTGAAAACTCCTTTGTAGGTTTGCATGTTGTTGTTACATTTATATATATTGATTTTATGCTATAAATATCTTGTCTGGCTTGACTATAAAGCATCTTCCTCATCTTCAGTTCCCAACATTTTGACAGTGACCTTCATTTAACACATTTTAGAAATGACTCCTGACTCCTTTTCGCTCCCTCCTCAAAGTGATGTCTACCACACAAAGAGACAACTGTCCACCTTCCAGGAGTTGTTGGAGAACATCTTCATGCCTCTGTTTGAGGTCACCATCAGCCCCAGCAGCCACCCAGAGCTGCACCTCTTCCTTCAACATGTACGACACCTGAACGAAGAATCTGTTAGCGCTACCCTGAGACACTTGGACTTATCTTCTCTCTTCTTCATGCAGGTAGTTGGTTTTGACAGCGTGGATGATGAGTCCAAACCAGAGCTGCACATCTTCAACATGGACAGTCCTCTGCCAGCCAAATGGACAGAGGAGGACAACCCGCCCTATTCCTACTACCTCTACTATATGTATGCAAACATGACTGTGCTGAATCACCTGCGCAGGTATGTTAATCACACCTTCATTTAAATGGCTGTCATGGTCTGCTTTATCATTTTGTCCATGCGGTGCTTTCATCTTAATATGTAAAACATATGTACTTATCTGGTGTTTTGAACTTCCGTTAAGAGGTTTGCTGACCTGAAATACCACAGCATTTGTGTTTTTATTGTTTAATATCAAAGTAGTAGTGTTTCTGTTTCCAGTGTCCCCCCACTGTTATTTTCTCCCAGCTCTTACCCTTTGAAATGAAATAAAAACAAAAAGAAATACGTAATTACTGAAGGTTTCAACCCAGAAAATTAACCCTCCTTTGCTTTCATCTGTTTGACAGTGAGTCATGCAGTAGGTGCTGGTTTATTCAGGTTATACCTACAAAATGAAATGCTGAAGTCCTCCTACTACTATCTGTGTGTGTGTGTGTGTGTGTGTGTGTGTGTGTGTGTGTGTGTGTGTGTGTGTGTGTGTGTGTGTGTGTGTGTGTGTGTGTGTGTGTGTGTGTGTGTGTGTGTGTGTGTGTGTGTGTGTGTGTGTGTGTGTGTGTGTGTGTGTGTGTGTGTGTGTGTGTGTGTGTGTGTGTGTTTCAGGCAGCGTGGGTTTCACACACTTGTTCTGCGTCCACACTGTGGGGAGGCAGGGCCGATCCATCACCTGGTGTCTGGTTTTATGTTGTCAGAGAGCATCTCCCACGGGCTGCTGCTCAGGAAGGTCTGATGCACGTTCTCATGCAGGAGATCTTAAATGTTAGATTTAAAAAATATAAATGAGAAGAGAAAAAAACCCAATTAGGTCTTTTTTGGTGCTCTTGTGAAATATGTGAACGTGTTTTATTCTCCTCCAGGCTCCTGTGCTGCAGTATCTGTACTATTTGGCTCAGATAGGCATCGCCATGTCTCCTCTCAGCAACAACAGCCTGTTCCTCAGCTACCATCGTAACCCGCTGCCAGAGTATCTGTCCAGAGGGCTCATGGTCTCCCTGTCTACAGACGACCCTCTGCAGTTTCACTTCACAAAGGTCAGGCTAAAGTTACTGAAGCACAGTTTTCATCTGAGAGTTTTTCTTCTCTGACAAAGAACAAAAATAAGAGGTGTTTTATTTTTTAGGATCTGAATGAAACAAAATACAATCTTAACTAGAGTCAGTAAACTTCTCAAGTTATTTATTTTTGTATAATTCAAAAGACAAAGGTGATGAGCCAAAATGTGTTGCACATTAAACATTGAATTTTTAGGTTTAAATTCCTATAATATCCCCTATGATCGAATAGTCTGACCTTATGATATTTATACCGCAAGATTCTGTTTAATCTTCAAAACTAGACTTCCTCTTTATGTCATATATTTTAATTTTACATTTAATGTTTTTTGAAAGACGCCTATGTATGGGGAGAAAAAAACCTCAAAAGATCTGTGTGTGTGTGTGTGTGTGTGTGTGTGTGTGTGTGTGTGTGTGTGTGTGTGTGTGTGTGTGTGTGTGTTTGCGTGTGCATGAGTGTGTAACTAAATCTGTGTGAATATGTAACTAGATCTCTGTGTGTAACTATTGATTTGTAACTTGTGTTTACATTTTTGTGTGTAACTACATACAAATCATTAAATACACAACCAGAGATCTTTAGTTACACACACACACACACACACACACACACACACACACACAGACACACGTAACTGACCAATTGCTCTTAATTTTCTTAAGTCTTAGATTCTGTGTAAGTGTTATAAAATTCTCAGTGATTTGTGATTTGACTTATTGTGTTAAGATTTTCTTTACTGCATGTGTTTAAAACGTGCAGGAGCCACTGATGGAGGAGTACAGCATTGCTGCTCAGGTGTGGAAACTGAGCTCCTGTGACATGTGTGAACTAGCCAGAAACAGCGTGTTAATGAGCGGATTCTCTCATGAGGTATGAATTATCTCTGTAGCTCATCACTGGCTAACCCTGCGTTTTAATAATGCCTGACACTTCTCTTGGACCAGATGAAGAGCTACTGGCTCGGACCAAACTACATTAAAGAAGGACAGGAGAGCAACGACATCAGGCGCTCCAACGTGCCCGACATCCGTGTGGCCTACCGCTACGAGACCATGTGTGAGGAGTTAAACCTAATCACACAGGCCATTCGCACAGATGAGCTAGAGACCATCGAGGAGGAAGGGGCTCTGTGCATGGGAGCAGTGCATGCAGAGAAGTGAAGCAGCAGCACAACACCAAGATCACCATAGTCCCCACTGTCTTTGCTCGTGAACACATCACACCTTGGAGAGGAGAAAAACTTCCTTGCGGGAGTTTTATTGGAGCTGGTGCTGCCGAGAAGGCATGTCTGATAATTCTATCCTTTATTTATTTAATTTGTGTTTTTAATTTTACAATATTTCTTAAACTGTTGAAGAAATCTGTTTTTGTCTGCATTTCTGAATGATGTCAGCAACTTCTTAAAACCAAATCTTGGACAATATTCTTTGTATTTTCCGCACCATAAGGCTCACCTGATTATAGGGCGCACAGCCAATCAGCGTCCTAGTTAAAGGTTTAGTCTGCACATGAAGTTCCATAGCAGCTATAAAAATTGTTCAACAGCAATACTGAAAAAAAGCACTCACATTTTTTTTTCATTCCTCATCCATAAATCCCTCAAAATCCTCATCCTTCATGTTTGACATGAAGAACTGACCCAGCACTGAACCCAGCATGCTCGGCTCCGACGCGCCCGGCTCATCGCCGTCAGAGTCAATGTCACTGTCGTTGCTCGGCTCTCCCGTTGTGATCCCGGCCTTGGTGAAAGCTCAAACAACAGCCTGGACAGAAACGTTGGCCCAGGCATCAGCGATCCACTCACAGATGGTGGCATAAGTCGATCGGCGCTGCCTGCCCGTCTTGGTGAACATGTGTTCGCCATCAGTCATCCAGCGTTTCCATGCTGCTCAGACTTTCGCTTTGAAGGACCGGTTCATCCCGATGTCCAGCAGCTGGAGTTCTTTGGTTAATCCACCCGGTATGATGGTGAGCTCCGTGTTCATCCTCTTCACTTGGATTTTAACTGCGTCTGTGAGATGGGCCCGCATGGAGTCACAGATCAGCATGGCTGGAGAAGTGTGGAAGAAGCCGTCCCGTCTTTTGGTGTACACCTCCTGCAGCCACGCCGCCATCATGTCCTCATCCATCCAGCCCTTCGGGTTCATCTTGATGATCACGCCGGCGGGAAACTTTTCTTTGGGTAAAGTTTTCCGCTTGAAGAGGACCATCGGCAGCAGCTTCTGGCCATCAGCCTGGCAGGCAAGCACGACGGTGAAGCAGGACTTCTCGTGGCTGGTCGTCCACACAGACACTGTGCTGGTCCCCATTTTCTCAACGGTCCGGTTCACCGGGATGTCGAAAGTAAGCAGGACCTCGTCCATGTTGGTGATGTGCTGGGGCCGGATGTTTTTGTCTGCCATCTTCTTAGTGCAATAGGAGCGGAACATCTCTAGCTTCTCAGCGTCATCTTTTGTTTGGTGAGGGTGGGCGGTGCTACAGGCCGGCTCTTTGTTTTCCTGCGGACGCCGGTGTGGCTGGCTTCACTTGCGTCCTTAATACATGTATAAAAGGCGCACTGCCGGTTCAAGGGACGATCAAAGGTTTTTAATTGCGCCTTGTGGTGCGGAAAATACGGTACTTTACACTTGGTTCAAACGTCGACTAACGAAAGAGACCATTTGGAATGTTTTTGTGGAAAGAAGAGTTATTGTTTCAGTCTGAGTCTGGGCTAAAGGCACTGGGGTTCTCTTGTTATTTGGGGGATCTTGTCAGTAGATGTTTTAGGGATAACACAGAGTCAAGCAGGACATCAATGTTAGGGAAGATAATACCACAAGAATGTGTGCAACAGAGCAATGTCTAACTTTTAGTTGATGATACAGCACATCAATAATAAATACTTATTAAATTAAATTAAATTAAATTAAATTAAATTAAATTTAAATTTAATTGCGCTGTATAGCACCAAAAATTAACCAAACGTTAAAATTGGCATGTCTAAACCACGAGACTATTTACACATTTATTAAATTAAATAGGCTTTAAGGACTCGATGGAGATGTGAGTCAGAACACCGACCTTCCTTTTTTACAGTGTTGTTCTAACAAAAAACTAATTTAACAGATAAGAGAAAATAATTAAGGATCAGACTAGAAGCACATATCCATGTGAGCTGACTTCTAAAGTGTCTCATGTTGCTTTTCTATCAGAAAACCCTTTTTTGGTTACATAATTCTGCCTTTGCAGGCTTTACAGTGCTTCAGTGAGGTTGCATGAGGACACGTCAATATTTGCTTCTTGTGTGAAGCGATACTACACATATGTAGTATCGTATACTTATACTTGTTGATAATATTATTTCTACTGAAGGTTTGAACGTTGATTCTTCACCGTGTGTCCTTTACAGATTTGTCAAAAATGTGTTTAACAAAGGTTAATAGTGCATGATGTCCTTCTTGAGCTGTTCCTCTTTGCACAATAAAAACACTGTCCTAAATTTACAAGTAAATATTAATGAACTGAAGGTTGAATGATCTAAAAAAAAACTTTGAACCTTCTTGTCTTTGATGTGACTCCTGGTGTCATCAGTAGGACTATTTTTAATGAATATTAAAGAACATTGCTCTCTGACTGATGAACAAGCTGTTTGTAAAATATTCTTTATTGCCATGTGTGTCTGTTAAGAATAAACATTATTCATGTTGCCATGGCCCTTCAATTTTTTTGATCCAAAGAGCTAATAAGCTAAAATAAATAAATAAATAAAAAAAGTTTATGAGTCAGCACTTTTTGGATTACAAGCAGATCGGCGATGAATGAGGCACAGATTTGTCCCACTCACCAGCTTCTGGAAGCATCAAATTCCTGCATAGTTTAGGGTTATTTTAGCTCCATTGAGTCCAATATTAAATCCATGGTTCACGAAATTCAAGACCTTGAAAGAAGCAACAAAAACGTAAAGAAATGTATTAATAAAAGAAATTCAAAAAGAAAAACTGATCAACAAAAGTATAAGTAAATGAGGAGTGACTCAAGACTTTTGAACATTACTGTAGTGAACATAGCTTCAGAAAATGTGGAAATGGTAAGACTGTACAGGAGTCACATGCTCAGATACACAGTCAAAAATAGGGGCATGGAAAGGGTACATTGTTGTGCCTCAAATGACAAAAATGACATTAACTCAGTGTAAGGGCTGATATGGGATAATATTGGGTAAATTTCTGTACCTTTTTCGTTGTCTGAAAGGTGCATATATGTTTCTTGGTAGTAAAAGGTACTCATTTGTACCAATTCTTTCAAAAGGCACATTTTTTTTATTATGATCCCTTTCACTAAAACCATCCATTAGCAAAGCTACTTCTGCAAATAGATTTCATAGTTTCCTTGTTCACCTTTTTGTAAGCACTGAAAGATCATTGTAAAATTATCTGTTTGATTTCAACAAATGAGTAATAAATTTAAATGATGTGTTAACTAATTAATTATTTTTGAAAAGAGTCAGTGTGGCTGAAAAATGTTTTAAGCATAGATATTGGGATAACAGATGTTATAATAGCATTTGATAGCTTTTGACGCATACTATTGATAAGTTTGTAAAAGGTCGGCATTGTATTTGAAAAGTAAATAATTGTAGCAAGTATTTTTGAATTCGTATCTAGGGTTTGATATTTTGATGATCTTGAAATAAACACACACACACACACATATAGTGTGTATGAGTATCAGCAGCTATTGAAGCACAGAGAGGAATATGGGTCTTTTAAGACACACAAATCCCATTTTAATCAGTGTGTAAAAATTTAAATTTTAACTATTGTTAACTTGACATGGATGCTGCAGGAGTTTGGGTCATTTCAGGTCAGCATGATATCTTAACACTCAAAAAATACAATTAAAGCAATCATTTGCAGAAATCACTAGACCAAAAGACTGAACTGCCTCTGTGATGGATTTTTAGCCCTTGATCATTTATGAGTAACCAAATATTCTACATTACATGAGAGATAACATAGAATGCTACAAAATTCAATGACAATAAAGTTTTTCACATAACTGAGGGACTCCGTTTTGGCACGGCGGCACTTTTTTTCCTCCCTATAATGCTCCAAAGGTACGTCATTCACCGCTCCCGTCTTGTCAATGTATAATTTTTCTGTATATCTTTGATATCCCAGACTTGAAGCTTTGTAACTTTGTAAAACAATGACTGGCACGGTGGTGACGTTTACCTCCCACCTACTGCTCTGCTACTAAAAGCCTCAGCTCCAATAACATTTTCTACTCAAACCAGAGATCTGTGTTTGTAGCATCTTTCTCAAACCCATCTGGTCCAAAAATGTGGGCAAAAACGGCAATGACGCTAGCTTACTGGAATATTCGTGGAGTAAGATATTGCTTTTTCTGTCTGTTTGGTTGGTATCGTGACTATTAACTATGATCACTTCTCTCATGTTCTGAAGGCTAATTGCAATTAACTGCTGTCGAGCAATTTGGCAATAAGATGTGATTATTCCATATGAAATTTCAATCTGATTGATCTTTGAATGTTTAATCAGAAGATTCTAGGGTTCTTTGCTTGTTCAGGGACCATAAACACACTTCGTAGTAATTCAGACAGTGTCAGGTATATAGTTAAAAAGGAATTTTATTCTTTTCTAAACTAATGATTATACATGACAAAATATGAATAATGAGATGTGATAGAGTGGATATGCGGTGATGGAATGTGATGTGTGAGGTGGTGTGGTGTAAGTTAGATATTTATCAGATCCTTTGTATCTGAAAGAGCCTGTGAATTCTGGGTGTAAAAGAATTTGTTGTCTGCTAACTAGAGAGTTGATTATCAATAAACAGCATCACACGCAATCTGTTGTGCCTACAAACCCTGGCGGAGACCCCCAGCAGATCCGGACTATCAGAAGTCGGGTGGACCTCACGGCACCGGGAGCTCGTAGATTAACTCCGATACGACCCATCCACTCTTGAGATGTCTCCAGGTCACAACAGTAGCTGGAATCAGACAACCATCACCGGTTACCAGAGTTTGACCCTTTCTGCTGGGGTGCTGATGAGCAGGCTCCCCCGCCCAACGCTGAGCACAGCAACCCACCACCCCAGACCCCAACCAGACGGCCAGATCTCCCTCCTAGCCTCCAGCCCCAGGAAGCCAAGCAACAGCAGAGGTGTGCTAAGACCCCTAGTCTCCCTCCGCCTGCTCTAATATAGTGTTGTGTGTTCATGAGGTGTATTCCATGGCTGTGGTGAGCAGGCAGTGTGGGCATCATCTGGCCTATGCCAGCTGATGCCACCGCACCACCCCACTTACACCCTCAGCCCTCTGTGTCTAAGTGCGGTTTAAAATTGGAAGTGGGCCTCCACCCCCCGAGGCAACCCAAGCACCTCCAGAGGGGGGCAATGGCCCCCCAGTCCCAGACACCCCCAGTGAACCCACCTCCAGGGAACATCTGGATACTCCAAACTCAGACCCCACCCACACCATCCCGCAGGACAACATCAACGGTCCCCCACCCTCGCTATGTGATGGAACCGATCAAAGGAGCCCAGAGAGATTGATCTGAAGTGGAAGCAGAGGCTAAATCAAGTGTAATATGATCTAACAAAAGATTTCTATACTGGTTAATGCAGAGAGTTTCTCTATTTTTCCAATTCAATAGGATAGTTTTCTTAGCGATGCATATGGCAGTCAGAACCACGTGAACCACAGATGTTTCAACCGGGACATCGTCCAGGTTTCCCAGTAAACAAAGAGAGGGGGTGGTTGGGATATGACATTTGAGAGACTTTGACAGGTCTTCACACACTCTACCCCAAAATTCCTGGAAAGGTGGACAGGACCACAGTGCATGAATGTAATTGTCAGGAACGTTGTTTGCGCAGTGTGTACAGGTGTCAGACGACACAAACCCCATCTTGAACGTCTGATGACCTGTATAGTGTACTTTGTGTAGAATTTTGTACTGAATTAATTGTAAATTGGAGTGTTTGATCATTTTTAAAGTTTTTAAACAAGTTTGGGACCAGAAGTTCTGGTCAAAGCTGACTGATAGATCCACCTCCCATTTTTCAATAGGGATTGCTATTCTATCATCTATTTTGGACAGTGTCTTATATACTTTAGACAGTAGTTTGGGGGGTTTGAGATTATAGAAGTCTAATACCCTTGGTGGTGTTTGTAATTCTATTTTATTGAGCTTAAATTTTTGTTTGACTACAGATTTAATTTGGTGGTATTCTAAAAAGCTATTCTTATCTCTTCCAAATTGGGAGACTATTCTATTAAATGGGATGAAGTCCAATCCTTCATATATGTTTTCCAGGTATAGGATTCTTTTATTTTTCCAGTCCGGAAGGTTCATCATTTTATTATTTTGCAAAATATCAGGATTATTCCAGATAGGTGTGCGTCTGCATGGTACTAGTGAAGACTGTCATTTTAAGATACTCCCACCATGCTGTCAGAGAGGTGCTGATACTAATACTTTTGAAGCCTTCATATTTGCTTATGCTTGAGCTAATAAATGGTAAGTCTGAAAGCTCTATCGTATTGCAAAGTATCTGTTCTATATCTAACCAGGACTCATCTAGTGGGTTATCTTGCAACCATCTTGGTATATATTGCAGCCTGTTGGCTAAGAAATAATAATAAAAGTTGGGTAGATCCAGTCCTCCTCTGTCTTTGGTCTTCTGAAGCAATTTTAATCTAATTCGTGGAGGTTTATCCTGCCAAAGGAATTTGGTAATTGAGGAGTCCAGAGATCTAAACCAGTCAGCTAGTGGTTTGTTTGGGATCATTGAAAATAAGTAATTTATTCTGGGTAAGACCATCATTTTAATTGTAGCAACTCTCCCCATGAGTGATATTGGTAAGGATTTCCATCTTGCAAGATCATCTTCCACTTTCTTTAAAAGTGGGATGTAGTTTAGTTTGGTTAGATCTGCTAACTTGGTAGAGATATTAATTCCCAGGTATGTGATATTCCCTAACTCCAATTGTGTATTAAGTAAATTGACAAAAGAGAAATTAATTAGTAGAACTGTGGATTTTAACCAGTTTATAGAGTAATCTGAAACTTTTGAAAGAGTTTATCAGTTCTATTGAATGAGAGAGAGAGACGATTGAGAATTCCGGAGAAAGAGTAAAACATCATCTGCATAAAGACTGATCTTATGTTCTATTTTCTTACACTTTACCCCTTTAATACCTGTTGTTTGCCTAATTGCTGCCGCTAGTGGTTCGATAAAGATAGCAAACAGTGAGGGGGAGAGTGGGCATCCCTGCCTGGTCCCCCTCTGAAGACAGAAGCTAGCTGATATTTGGTCGTTTGTCCTGACACGTGCAGTTGACGAACTGTATAATGTTTGTAGCCAGTTTATGAAGAAGTTCCCAAAACCAAATTTATGTAGAGTTGCAAATAAGAACTTCCAGTTAACTCTATCAATGGCCCTGAAAGAATAAACAACACTTTCAGAGACTTTTACCAAACTTTGTACTCACCACAGATAAACCCATCAGATAACGAGATCGATGAGTTCCTTGATAGGATAACACTTCCTAAATTATCAGACAGCCAAGTTACAGTCCTGGACTCTAACTAACATCAGCAGAGCTCCAGGAAGCCCTTAAATCCATGACTAATAGGAAAGCTCCAGGTCCAGACGGGTTCCCAGCAGAGTTCTACAAAGATTTCTGGATCATTCTGGCTCCAATATTTTTCAGAATGGTGAGGGAAATCGAAGAGAGCGGCAGATTCCAGCCAAACATGAACTCAGCCAATATTAGTCTCTTGTTAAAACCTTGTTAAGACCCTGCATTTCCTACCAGCTATCGCCCAATTTCCCTTATTAATGTTGATCTCGAAATAATTTGTAAAGCCCTGGCAAAAAGATTAGAGAAGGTAACCCCCTTCATAATACACCCTGACCAAACTGGTTTCATCAAGGGTAGTCATCCACAAACTCACGTAGATTACTTAATTTGATAGATTTCTCTTACAGTAGAAACTAGTATATTATCTCTAGATGCAGAAAAGGCTTTTGATAGAGTTAACTTAATTTATATCTTATGAAGATGTGTATGAGTGTAGATAATGTTTAAACCAACCTTTCGCCGACCTTTGATCTTGCACAGCGTGCCCAGCCCATTCGCCTCCTGTTGGAGTACACTGGTACCAAGTACCAGGAAAAGTTCTATGTCTGTGGTGAAGGTAAATGACCTTTTCAGCTAACAGATAAGCAGGAATCATATTTTAATTAAAGATCTAAACCACATTTGTCTCACACAGCTCCTAACTATGATATAAGCAGCTGGTTAAATGAAAAACACAAACTTGAAATGGACTTTCCCAATGTAAGAAAGCTCTTCTTCAGTATGTTAATTTTAATGTGGGTTTTTAATTCATGACAATAAGATTTTCTACCCTTACGATAGTTACCTTACCTGCTGGACGGAGACAGGAAGATTGTGCAGAGCATGGCCATAATGAGATACATCGCTCGTAAGCACAATATGTGTAAGTAAAGTAGAAAAGTTCTTTTTTTTTATCTCTACATATATATTTGATATTTTACAAAATTTTTGGTGTGGTTTCTCAGTTCAGTAACTTTGATCTGAAAACAGGTGGCGAGACGGAGGATGAAAAGGTCCGAGTGGACATTCTGGAGAACCAGGCTGCAGACTTTATAACTGGTTTTGTGAGGATTTGTTACTCTGACTTTGTGAGTACATCATCATACTACATCTGATGCAATTTCACACAACTAAAATCTCCAAAACAACACTGATCTCATGTCTCTGAAATCAGGACAAAATGAAGCCAGGGTACCTGAAAAGTCTTCCAGGAGGGCTGCAGCAGTTCTCTGGTTTCTTGGGAGACAAGAAGTGGTTTGCTGGTGACAAGGTAAGTTATTCTTATTAAAACACGAGGGGCGTCACCCGGTCTATGGTCAATCAGGTTTCCCATTTGGTCCAGAGAGCACAGAAATCACACACTGCACATTTACCTTAGAGGTGTGGTTTACTCATTTATTCAATACATTTGCAGTCTTCTCTGGTGAAAATCAATGCCATATGAGTAATTTTAAATAAAGCTATGATTCTTCTGTTCTGAGATGCAGAAGTCTGCTGTTGCTGAGGTGGGCTGAAAACAGCAGGATTACTCATTATTATTAATGATATGCACACACCTTCTGATCAGCTAACAGAACACGTTCAGCAAATGTTGCAAAGTCACTGTTAAAGTCACTAGTCACACCAAGACACTCTCTGTTCTCTCACTTGCTGCAAAAAAAACTTATTTAAAAGCCTTCCTGTGAGCGGGCACAAGCCAAGATGGACGAGGCCATGAATGCAAATTCACAGTGTGACATAGATATGTGAGGATTTTCAAATCCTCCCATTTCATTGTTTATTTTCTATCAGAAGCTAATTCAGAGGATAGGTGTAGGAGACTGTTTTCATGTTCAGCCTGTATAAAAACTCTGAGTGACCGATTATATTCAGAAATAATAATTAAATTAAAGGTTTTGTCAGTCAACCACACCTTTAAGATGGTGTAATAACGTGTATAATAAGAAAATGTTTTTGTTTGGACATCCAGTATCCAGAACAACTCAGACTCTGTTTGGTTAGATGAATGGAAATAAAAACACAAAATTGGATCATGAAGTCACATATTTTTGTCAGTTATAAACTTTGAGTTAAAATTCACATTAGTAATTTCTGTTTTCTTGAAAATAGATCACCTATGTGGACTTCGTCATGTATAATCTGTTGGATGTGCACAAGATGTTTCAACCTTCTTGCCTGGACGACTTTAAGAACCTCAAAGAATTTTTGGACCATTTTGAGGTGAGAACAAGCAGATGTTGTCTAATCCCAATGCTAATTTGGGGTCTTAAATGGGATTATTTCTGCATTATTCTCCTTACAGGACATGAGGGAATGAATAAGTATATTTAATGTATTTTTCTGTATCATTTATAGGCTCTGGAGAAGATTGCTGTCTACATGAAATCAAGCAAATACATAAAGGCTCCTGTCAACACCAAGATGGCTAAATGGGGGAACAAGAAGGAGTGAAAAATCATTCCTTTATTCAACAGAGAAATATTTGAGTTGAAATTTTCACAAGTACTGGCATATTTACAGTAGTATATATATAGTGTATTTGTTATGTTGCTTATGAAATCTTCATCATTTTACCTTCACAAGATGATTTGAGTCCTTTCTGAACCCATTTTTAGTTTCTGAATTATGAAAAATAATGTACTTAATTTGTGAAGATGTGGAGGTAGAAATATTAAACATGACTAACTACATTGTCCTTTTTTCTAACTCTAATTAGGTGTCTTTTTTAGTCCACTGTTAATTAGTGAAATGTAACTATTTTCACCCCTTCATCAAATGACACCACTTCTTATATTCATTTTACTCTCAAATTACTTTAGATGAATGCAGCAATTGTTTGAAAATTCAAATATCCCAGAGATGTGCTAAATCACATATGTCAGAGCCAAGGCCCGCGGGCCAGATGCGGCCCGCGGAGCATTTTTATGTGGCCCGCGAGATAAATATCAAAAATATATTAAAACTGGCCCGCTGGCCGATTTTACCGCAAAGACTTCGACTCCCATGATGCTTTGCGGCGTCAGCGCGGAGGCGACGTGCCCCCTCCTTTGTGTTTTTTCCAGCCCGAGGCAGTCAGGGGTAGTTGGGTGTCTGCAGCTCCGCTGTTTCGGACAAACTACACTCCTCTCACTCAGCGCCGAGTTCGCTCAGCTGTTTTCTGACGTTGAAGCCCAGAAACGGAGATTTTAGCCGCTCAGTAATGTGTTCATGACTGAAAGAGAAAGTTTTCAAACTAACGTCCAGACAGAGATGATATTTCAGCTATAACTCCAGCAAGCAGCGACACGCTCAAACCAGCACGGCTCTGTGGTTGTGTTTCCTTCCCGACACACAACAACGTGGTCAAGCTGCTCAGACATGTTCATCAGCACAAACCTATGTGAGCACCTGTTGTCATCTAATGTTGTCATTATTATGATGAAGATGAACAAAACAACAGGAGTTTCCTCAGCTCAGATCAGCCCCATGATGCAGGTATCTGGCTGGAACAGATGAGCGTCACAGTAAACCAGTGGAGCAAACTGAGCTTTAAATATTTAGGTTTTATGCTCTTTTTCTGCTCCAAAACATGAAAGTTAACGGGTGAGATGTTGCATTTTCATTTAAGATAAAATGATATTTTTATTTTGTTGTTGGCCCGTGAGAAAAGCTTTAACCTACAGTAAACAGGAAGTGGAAAGGCTGCAGATAGATGAATAGAATGGAAAATATCTTTATTGTTCCTCAGTGGGGAAAGCTAGACATCACAGCAGCGATGACACGTATTACAGGAGAAAAAAAGGAGAATAAAAAATAAGAAAAATGAATAAACAAGAAAACATAAATCCTGAATAGATTTTAAAAATGCTGAATATACCACAAGTAATGAATACCACTGATGCCTTTTATTTAAAACGGACTTGCTCGTGTGTAATTTGGTTATTCCACATTCAGTGTTAATGCAGAAATATGTTTGTTTCCAAATTTAAAGGTTCAAAATTGCATATATGTTGATAAAGAAATCGTGCAAATTTGCCATCACTTTTTCAAAAAATATTAAGTTTGGCCCTCGACTCCGTCCCAGAGTTTCATTTCGGCCCCGTGTGAGTTTGAGTTTGACACTCCTGTGCTAAATTGATGTTTTAACATCCATACATCATCTCTGAAGTGAAGATCTAATGTTTCCATTTTTAATCAGTAAGCTCCTTTAGGCTCCTACTTTAGATTTTAATTCTTGTGACATGAATGAGGTTGAGAGAGCATTATAATTGTGCTGTTTGGGAAAAATGAATAACTTCTTAACAGCAGTCAGGAGAAGGGAGAGGGGATTATCACCAGGCCAACACACAGATGCTATTTTTATGTGTGACACACAATCACATAGATGCATCTAGGCTCTTTTTAGAATGATCAGGGATGCTTTTATTCTGAAATTAACTTGCGAAAACAAGTGAAATTATATTTTTGGGTGAAATGATTTTTCTCTTTAGATGTAGGTGTTTAGTCTGGTTAAGGAGGCTATAGGAATACATTTTATTAAGAAAAAATTGATTTACTTATGACTAAACAATGCCTCTTTTGAGTCAGCACTTGATAATCACATGGGGCTTTGTGGGAGTCGGCATGAGTGAGCACAAAAAGTAAAACAAAGGTTGCATTGTTTGGTGAGTTTATATGTCGTACATTTTCCACAAATCTAACTGGAAATTTAAACAAATTAAATATATTCAGTTCAAAGAATTGCCTGCAAAAATAACACACTCTGTTATGCAGTGACATTTCCCAAAAATAAATACACACAGAAGGTGGATAGCCTCTGATGCAAAACTGTACTTGGGGTTTGGACGTTTAAAAAAAATCTAAAATAAAAATGTGTGGAATAGTAATACTTTAGTTTTTTATTGACAAAATAGTTTCCCAGGACTCCTAGCATTGCAACATAAAAAATCAAGTTACCCTTAGATTGCGTGAGACCTTTAGGCTTGATTGTTTACTTTACTTTTGTTTTGTACAAAGCACTCCCAGTAGCAACACATCGATGTGGACAAGTCATGACAGAGTCTAATATTTACCCAGTGTGAAGTCTCAGCTTACATTTAGGTTTCTGTGATGGAAAATTTCAGATTTGCTGGCTGTGGCAGATCTAAAATGTTTTCATGGGTGGGAAAAGGGGGCCTAAAATTTTTATGCAGGTTGGTAATGATTTGTGCAGAAAACCCCCATAAATAAAAATGGAATTAACTAAATTTACACAAAATGTGTCATCTTTGTCCTAAAATTTCTAGGACAACTTATAAATCAGAAAAAAATGTGCTTTTCAAAATAAATAAGTGAATGGAAAAAGACAGAAGACAACTTTTTCAAAATATTCTTATGGCTGATTTCATCAATAATGTTTAGGTGAGCCTCGCCCCTGCTTTGCACTGGTCACATAATTGTCATGTCTGTGAATCGTAATAAGCTGCTAATAGCTGCTTAGTCAGGTTGTTTCCACTGGGCATGGAGTGCTTTCCAAATGCTACTTGTGTTGTGTTCCAGAACTCCAACACATTTACTTTTTACTTGCTGGATGGATGGATGCTTCCAGAATACATCAATCAGTTCAGATCGGGCCAGGCAGGAAGTCAAACACAGCACCTAGCAGCTTTCAATAAAAGACAAATGCAGATTCCCTAATGCTTAATTAGTAAAAACAAATGTCAATGCCGGTAACACCTCTGGGGCTGAGGAAAAATAAGAAAAAATAAGCCAAGAGCTTTTTGGATACACACTTCAGTCTTTCTCCTTATTGTGAAAACTGGTCAAATTTACAACAAGGGGGCAATTACCCCCACATCCACCTCCTTGCAGATCGCCCCTGTTTGCAGGTTTTCCTATATTAAAATCCAATCTTAAGTGATGCATTAGATGTAGGTTTGCGTGTTCATGGGCACACGCCTTGTCTTGTGTGTTTTGAATTAAAAGCAACCTGCAGATCAGGTTCGGTGCATGAGTTCGGTGCATGATGATTTACCCCTCCCACTTCCCGCATCTCAACAAAAAGCCCTCAGCTGCGGGAGGCGTCTCTCTCTCTACTAGACCACAGCTTTGTCTGCAGCTGCTGCTTCTCTCCCCTGCCTGTTATTTTACAGAAAAGTAAACCAAAATGGCAATGACGCTAGCTTACTGGGACATTCGCGGGGTAAGTTAGCAATTCTTATTTTACGTATTCGCACAAATGCGTTTGCAGCTCAGCTTTATTTTAACTGCACCAGACAGGATTTTATATTCCCGTCGTGTATCTATCAAAGCAACTTGCATTTCCCGCAAATAATCAGAATAAACTGCTTAACTCCATGGTGTTTATTTACAATGCGTGCTAGCTTAAAAGTTGTGGTATGTGCGTCATCGGCTCATCAGTGACGTAGCTAACGGCTACAGCTTTTGAAGCTGTTATCAAACGTAAACAGGGCTGAAAAACGTTTGTCTAGCGTTAAATGTGTTCTTTCTTAGCCTGAAATGCACGTGGGTTTAACTGTTAGAGTTGGTCATTCACTACTTTATCATCCGCTACGTGTATTTAATTCATGAGGAGCTAAAACCAGTTTTTGAACGTGGCTCATATTACAGTGGACACACCTATCCGCTTCAGGTGGTGAAAGGTCATGTGTCTAAATGGTTACCTTCTGTGCTTTAAGCATGGAGAGTCGAATGTAAATTTTAAAATTTATATTTTTTTGTCGCTGTTCTCACATTTAGCACAAGTTTCTATGTTATGTTTAAAAAGCCTGAGAGTAGTGATCAATTTGAAAGGAACACTTGCTAATTTGCAGGTTTTTAGATTTTCACCTTTTCTAATGTGTCATTGTTTTGAAAATGTGTGTTTGTGGATGGTTTCCATGTGACCATCTTTTTTTTAATATCACAGTCTTCACAAATGATTGATGTTGGGCAAAAACATCACGTCTCCTTTCATCACTTTCATGTTTCTGTATTAAGGCATTCTTACCTGTCATCCTTCGCAGCTGTGGCTTTATGGATGACCATCTGAAGAAGTTTCAAAGAACTTGTGACCACACAGAGGTTCTTTATCTTAGGAGAATGGGGAGTTTTCCAAGCACGGTTAAGGTTTGGGATATTTTAAGCAGTTTAAGTCAGGGTGGCAAGTTAAGGGGATTTTGTGAAAACTAATGATGCACCGATGTGAAATTTTTGGGTCGATACCAATATCCGATATTATCACTGTTGTGGCTGATAACCGATATTTGCAGATATAATATACTGACATTAATACTTCTAAAATCTGCAGATTTTTTATAGAATGAAAATTGTTAAAGCTGAATTTGTTATGTACGCACACATTTATGCTTCTGAGATTATTACAATCACTGTCACATGACTAAACAAATACAGATCACCCCACCTCACCCCCACCCTCTGAAACAGATAAACAAATGGAAAGAAGAGGAAAAAAATATTGGTTGCTGCTATGTTAAAAGATGCCTAACATCTGCTGATACCAATATTGCCGACATATTGTGCATCCCTAATGAAAACCTAATAGGAATTCACTTTTTTTATACTTTTAGTTGATTCAGACATGCAATCTGACCTCATCAGCACATACAGGCTGTTTTCAAATAGTGATGGGATTTATGCCTCTTTCATGGGAGCCGTTCATTAGTCGGTTGTTTATCTCAAAGTCGTTCAAAAGACTGGCTCTTTTGAACGAAGTGAGCAGACGTCTTCCTGCGGTGTCCGTGAGGGCGCACAGGGTTGGTTAGCATTCCTCCCATAGTTCCGTCCTCCTCCTACGTCCGTCAAAGCAGTGGGTGGGGTTTGAGCGGTGAGTTTGACCAACTTCCGGGGAGGTTTGTTATGAACGGCTCTCTACAGGGACTTGGCTCTCATCATTCACTTGAAAACCTGTTCAAAAGATTTGATTCGTTCGTGAACTTCACATCACTAATTTCAAAGCATACATTTGTAAATAATCGGTAAATGCATCTTTAGAACACAAATGGGACATCAGTTATTAAAATTGCCTTTACTTAATGTCTTAATTTTCATTCAGCCAGTTTTGCACACAAACCCTGGAAAAATTGTGGGAAATGTGTGGATGATTTAAACCGTTTCTTCCAGGGCTGTAGTTAACAATGTGCTTCGTGGAATTTCATTTTCACACCAAATGATGCGAGCGAGTAGGTTTCCAAAGCTTGTACCAAAGTAATTAAAGTAAGAAAAGCCCCGGGATTGGGGAATGGATGATCAGGCTTGTTGAGGATTATCTTTTCATTCTATCGATACTACCTGATATCGTAAACATTCAACATCATGTTGGAGCAAATTTACTTAAAAGACTGAGAGGAAGTGACTTTTGTGAGGTCACACATGGCAACATTTAACTTTTTTAAGCTGGTAAAATCCCTTGAAAGGTTCAAAGCAAACATTCTTATCCGCATTCTCACATGGTTTTCTGACCTTTAGATAGTTGCAGGTCACCAACAATTATTGTGTTTCATCATTAAATAAACACTGATAAGAATTTATAGTTTATTACTGAGCCACTTTTATTACAGCTCACCGTAAATCTAATAAATGACATTTTTATGTGTGACATTAAATCAAGCGCTCTGATCTTGTGCAGCTTGCCCAGCCCATTCGCCTCCTGCTGGAGTACACCGGCACCAAGTATGAGGACAAGTTTTATGTCTGCGGAGAAGGTAACTTATTAAACAAAATAACGGTCTTCATCTGAAAAGTTCTAAGTCAGTGACGTGACCATCATGTTTCCCACACAGCTCCTAACTTTGACAAAAGCTGCTGGTTTGATGAAAAAGATAAACTTGGAATGGACTTCCCCAATGTAAGAGTTAAATTTGTACTTGAGTTTAATTGTAAAGCGGGTTAAAAGCATTTTTTAAGTTTTTATTTTGGGATTGTTTCTCTGCAGCTGCCCTACCTGGTGGATGGAAGCAGGAAGATTGTGCAGAGCAATGCTATCATGAGATACATTGCTCGTAAGCATAACATGTGTAAGTACCGTTTGTCCCGTTTTAATAATTCTGTACTAGTGTCTAGTCTTTTTTTATTTGCTATGGAATAATAAACACACTTTTTATATAGTTTTGCAGCCTTATGTGTGGTCTCTAAGTTCCTTAACCTTTGATCTGGTAACAGGTGGAGACACTGAGGACGAAAAGGTCCGAGTGGACATCCTAGAGAACCAGTCCATGGACTTCAGAAACGGCTTTGTGATGATGTGCTACACTGATTTTGTAAGCATCTAGTTAACAATTGGGACTGTTGCACATAGTTGTGTCTTGTCTAAAGTGAATCTAATCTTTATAAAATTAGGATAAGATAAAGCCGGACTACCTTAAGAAACTACCAGGTGTGCTGAAGCAGTTCTCTGGCTTCTTGGGAGACAGGAAGTGGTTTGCTGGTGACAAGGTAAGTTATTCTCATGAACTCGAAAGGCTTCACATGATCAGTAATTAGGAGTGCAACTTTAGGCTTTGTCAGTACCCTGGTTTGGTTCACTTTGGTACAGTGAGATGAAAAGAGTTCTAGCTTCAGGTTCATTCAACGTTCACGTTTTTGCTAGAAACATTCATTTGTTCACATGCTGAAAGGACGGATCTGATGTCTGTTCCATTGTCTCCGATGGTAGAAAATGTCCTCACTAGGGACCGAGGTAGCTCGTGTGCCAGGTCCCCTAAGTTTATTGTTGTCACAGTTGCTAAGTGACAGGACATATCAGAGATGGGGAATTGTGGCATCAACAAGTCCTCTCGGGCCGTGTTTTTCTTCAGTTCAGCAACTAAAGCAGGTGATTTCAATCAGCACAATGAATGAACCTGGTTCAGTTGCTGAGCAGAACAAAGTCACGGCATGGAGTTGACTTGTCGATGCCACAATTCCCATCTCTGGGACATATGCTGAGGTAAGGGGAGGAATAAATCTGAAAACTAGACTGCCTATTTCACAGCCACTCACTTATGGTCTTTGCGGCCACAATTGGACCCAGTTTTTGGTACTAGCTAGGGCTGAACGATTAATTGCATATGCAATTAAATTGCGATGTGACAAAAAAAAATTCTATTGCAAAGGCTGCGATTTGACTAGCAGCGAGTGGTTAGCACAACGCTAATATACATTAAAAAACCCAAAAGGATGCTAATGCTAATATCACCGATTACATTCTTACAAATTAGGAATGTGCCAAATTATTGCATTTGGAGTCTAATAAAAAGTAAAAACTGTCTTTAATCAAATAAGTACAGACAGATATTTTAGTAAATCAAGAAAACTAAGCGACTTCCAACTCCACTGGCAAGCAGCTATGAACGTAACTGAACTACAGAAGCTCTGCATGGACAAGACGTCAAAAACTAAACACACAAAAGACTTCAATAAATGGGACACACTTCTTTCATATACATTTTCACAGTTGATGTTAATACCTATGCTCCGTTAAAGGATGTGCTCCTGGCTGCAAAGCGTTGCACCTTCAAATACAAAATTTTGTCTTTACTTGTGAGTGTTTATGTATATGTAGACAATTAAACTTGTTTATTATCAGTACAAGTGACATGGATTTTTATTTATTTATTTATTTTGCCCTGTTAGTTGAAAAAATTAGAAAAGCCCCTTGACAAAATAATCGTGAATTAAATTGCAATATTAAAGAAAAAAATTGAAATTAGATTATTTTCCAAAATTGTTCAGCCTTAGTACCGACACCAGCCTACGTAGGCCATTCAGGGCATAACAGGTTTTGAAATGATGTGGAAAATGTTCCAAAACTGGAACTCGTGGCTACGGTTGTCTTGTGAGTTTTAAAATTATTTTTAGTTTCTAATTAAAAACAAAAGTTCATATTTTCTGTTTATTGAAATGCAAAGCAGTACCACCAGGGGGCGTTGTGGGCTATGCTGTACATGGCTGAATGGAGAGAAAATCTAAATAGATTACTGCAATAATATTTGCATTGATAAAACTTGTCCATTTTCAGGTAAACAAATGAACATTACTTTGAAGATTAGATGACACCCTGAAAGCTAGCAGAAGGGACTGTTATAGGTGCATGTATAAATTAAAATTTGACTTTTGACCCTCTTGTCTAAATCTTTACAACAGATCACCTTTGTGGACTTCATCATGTATGAGCTGTTGGATCAGCACAGGATGTTCCATCCTACATGCCTAAATGACTTCAAGAACCTGAAAGACTTCTTGGATCGTTTTGAGGTAGAAACCTTTTGACGAACATTTGTTCTGTTGAATTTGTGCATCTGTGACTCCCAATGTTTTTGTTTAAATGTCTTTCTAGGCTTTGGACAACATTGCCGCCTACATGAAGTCGGACAGATTTATGAAGACTCCTGTCAACAACAAGATGGCCAAATGGGGGAACAAGAAGGAGTGAAGAACTGCCTTTTAAAATCTAAAAGCATTTTACATCAGCTAGAAGTTTTCTTCAGTCTTTTCTTAAAACTGTTGTAGGCTCCATGCTTTGATCACTAGTATAACATGTTCACAAGCTTCGCCTAAAACATCTTCTTGCTTGTTTAAACAGGAAAAAAGACAACTTTGTATGAATAATTAGGACTTTTTATTTCAGTAAAAGCTTTTTGTAACAAAGTTTTTGCAAAGATTAAACAAATCTTGTGAGTTTCTTTGATTTTAGATGTTACTAACATTGTCTACAACAAATCACATCAGAAAATTATATATGGGGAGTTATTGCTCCAAAAATACATCTAGGTGTGACTCAACGGGTTCAGGACAAATGGGTTGTACGTGGATCTGTATTAAGAGTAAAAGATGTAACTGTACTTTAAATAATTTATTAGCTGCTGAACAACATAAATCCTCTTAAGTGTTCTTGCTAAAGGAAATGGACACTGGATGAAGTTCAGTTCATCTCTGCTCAAAAGGATGTTGGACTCCAGATGTTGGGGCAGCTGTTAGTAGTGGCTGTTGTACATGCCTGATGGTTCACTGGCCAGCTGCAGACAACAGAATCTAACGTCACTGATGTGTGGTGGCGTTGGGGTAGAAGTGCGACATTACTCGTTACCTACTGCGAGTGATGACTTGATGCCCTGAAGCTGGAAAAAGACTTTTCCAGCTTCCTCTGGACACACGGTCCTGATGTCATCTTTGGACATTCCCAGAAGCTGTCTTCCAGTCAGAACCCCGAGGCTGGAGACCGTACTGTCCAAGAGAAAGTGGAAAAAAGTTTCGCTTTCAGCACTGTCTACAAAAAGCAGGCCACTGTTACAACATGAACACCTTGAAGTACTCACATCCTGGAGAAACCCCTGTACTCCAGCCATGCTCTCACTTCTGCAGGACTGGAGCTCATGTCCAGAGTCACAGGGCCTCGGCTATTCCTCTGGGAGGGAAACTGAAAGAAATAGAAAATTTTTACTTAAATAAAAAAATGTTTTTCCCTCGAGTAGGGCTCAATTCCACTTGGCTCACCGGCTGGTCCTCAGTGGATCTGACATTATCGATTGGCTCCAAAACATTTGGAGGAACGTTGCCTTCCTCATTACGGGAGTTACGAACAAGCCACCATGGCCTGGACTTGTGAACCACCTGTAAAAGAAGAACAATCCTGCATGTCAATACAACTGGAAATCTTGCAACATAACTATTAGTAAATGATTTCAATTGAGGGGGGGAAGCCTCGTAAGCCAACAGAGAATGCTGCAAAAAAGTCTCAAATCCAAGTATCCTAGGTTGATTTCTAGCAGCAGACTCAGTGGAGAGAAATAACTTACCCTGCAGCCTCTTGGGACACACAGATAAAACAAATCTTATTCTTTTGATCGTGACCAAGTCACCTTTGCTCACCTGAACCGTCTCACCCTTCATCACCGTTAGTTCTAGGCTGTTTCTGGCTGTGAAGCTGTACATGACATGCATGTACAGAGGTGGCTCTGTGGGACTTAAATGATTCACTTGTGAATGAAATGCAAAAACACATTTAAAAGTGAAAAAGTGTGTTGACAAAGCTTACTGTGCATGTGGTGCAGGACTCCAGGGACCATTGGCCACGAGCTGTAAATGGCACAAAGTACAGCACGATAAAACTACAGATGATAAACTCAGGACACACATTTCCTCTGTTGTTATGACGACAGCAAGATAAGTCATTGCAAAATAGTAGCAGTGGTTACATTTAACAGCCATTCATAAAGGGAATTTTGTTCAGTAGCAATAATGTCAACCATTATCAATAACTTTGCTGTTGTTTCTGCCTCTAAAAGGTCTATTTATACAAAACTGATTTACGCTGAAGGAGCTACAAGTGTTAGTTTAAACTTTAAAAATATAAATGTGGGAGTTTGTGGGTTTGTTAACACCTCAGGCTGCTGCTGCTGCATGGCTCTGGGTGAGTAGATCTGGCTCTGGCGCTGGCTATAACTCCTGCTGATCGGGGCGCTCGCAGGAGGAGGAGGAGGAAGAAGCTCAGGAGGTGGATGAGAGGGCGGGGGAGGCTGCCAGCCATCGTAAAACTCTGGCATGTAAGGTGGGACATTATCGGGCCAGCCAGACCTTAGAGAGGATAAATCATGTTGGATCAGAACAGAATAAAAACAAAAGTTAATAAATGTTATGCTTTATTTTTAGTATAAAACAAGTGGTACCACTTTAAAATAAGGCTTCCCTTACAAATGGCTAATAAATGATTTATAGAGACTTTATTAATTACGTGTGAGACTTTATAAATCCTTAATGAGTGCTTCATTTGCATTAAATAAGGGTGAGATAGAGAGAACAGCTTTGGCTCATTATTTAGCAGCACCAGTCAGTTTTCTCTATGTCTCACCCTTAATTGATGCAAAGTAAGCAATATTAATGAGTTATAAAGTTTTTACAGGTTAATTAATAACATATCTATAAACTATTAAGCAGCTGTTTAATTAGAAAATGTTGCCCTTTGGTGCTGTCCAGTAAAATAAAGAAAAATAAATTAAGCTGGACCATAAATAAGGTGTCCATTACTGTTTAAATATTAAAATGTCAACATTGTGGTTGTGCTGACATTTTACATTCACAGTCTGGGGAAAACCCCAAATCCTTTCAAAAAGGAAACTGGCGACCTGCAACTGTCCAAAGGTCAGAAAATCAGAAGAAAAATTAGAGGATGTTTTTTCGTCCTCGTGAGACCCCTGTTTCTGGGTTTGTGAAATTTTTATCCCCTTTGATATTTTGGATTAGTAGGACCACAAAAAGGTAAGACATACTTTTTATTTATTGTTAATTTTATTAATAAAGCCACAATTCTTCTAAAATGTAGCTTGAGCTGCTTCATGCTGAAACGCTGTTTCCATGTGTTATAAAAGCCACACTAACCCCGACCTGTTTACACGTCAGCACTTCGCCCAGCCCTCGGGTGTGCCAGGAACTTTAGAAGATTTAGAAAGCAGCTTGTGTGTGAGGACAGTAAAGGCCGTCCTACCTGGGGACAGCCCAGCAGTCACCCAGGGACTTCCACAGATGTATTTCCTCTGGACTCAGCGTCTGACTCAGCAGGTTCAGAGCCTCCGGTGTCAGCAGGGGAGCCACGACTGTAGGAGGCAGGTCTGGAGGGTACCGAGGAACAATCTGGAGAACATTAAAGCAAAACGCTGTCAAAGATGAGAGGAAAACAATAATAAAAATATCTGAAATAAGAGAACTTTGAAGGGCTTACGATGCTCAGGTTGGTGAAGAAGATGTGGACAAACTCAGGGGCACTGGGGCTGGTCAGAACCCGGTTGAGCTGGGCCTGAAATATAGTCAGAAATGTTCAGACTCAATTCAGTCTGGTCTGTTTCCAGTCTGTTGAGTCTGAATGAATATTTACCAGCAGATTTAATCCATATTTGATTTTCTGAAGGCATGAGGTGTATTCATCCCAGTGTGGCAAACTGAATGCTGGAGGTGCTGTAGAGATGTATGAACTCAGACATTAATAACTAATCTGACACATCAGGCAGGGGGTTGTTGGTGGGAAATTACCATTTATTTTAGACTTGTTCTTCTTAGACCCGCTTTTCTTTTTGCCACCGTTTTCTGGCAGCGAGGGGGTGTTTGCTGACGCTGACACTTTGGCCACAAAGATCTCCAAATCATTGATAACGTGGTTTAAAATGTCCTGAGGAAAAGGAATGAGACGGATTATTACAGCTCTCTGATCGTGTTTCTTCACCTTGATCACCCTTTTCATAACAGCAGCACCAACCGTTTTCACCCCGATGTCTGATCTGTCAAGAGCCATCTTTGGGCTGTTCTGCTTCACCGTGGAGGAATGCACCATCTCCTCCTGTGAGGAGTAGGAGCGTTGGGGAGGCATGGGATCTAATTGGAAAAATTAAGGATATTGAGAGTTTACGGTTTGTTTAAAGATAACTCATCCAGACTGTTAAACTAAATAAATTAGATAAGTGTGTGTGCTTGCAGCATACTTGGTTCTCTGTCGATCCCCTGTGGGGCTGCGTAGTCTGGAGGTGGGAGCATCCCCTCTTGTTGCACGGGAACGCCCTGCCGGAAGCTTCCTGGATTATGCCGACTAATTCCATTTTCATGGTTATTCAGAAAAATAAAACATTAACAAAGCAGATTTTAATGTTTGTGTTTATGTACTTCCTCCTAGACCAGGCATGTCCAAAGTACAGGCTGGGGACACTTTCAAACATTTTTATGTTCATACTTTTACTAAAATGTCTGTTTTAAGTCTTTTTGAGCAGAGCAAAGAAGAAATCACCATGAAAGATTTTAAGCATCTTTTGTATTTAAAATGATCACATTTGGACTTTTAACTTGGTGATTTTGAGCCTTTTCTCACAAAGATTGGACACCACTGTTCAAGGGAAACGTCCTTTTCTTTGTACCTGATGCCAGTCGGCTCCCTGCGGGGGTCCGTATCGCTCCCTCCCCTCTGCACCGCCATATCCACATCAGCTTTAATGAGCTCCGCCTGAAAAAACAGACCTGCTTTTTAACCCCAGATATCTGTACAGATATTAGTATTATTACATCTACGGATAACAGCAGAAACATCTGTCCTCTTCTGGAGCTTCCATCGGGCCAAAGGTCCCGTGCTCACCCTGGTCTCCTCACACTGAAACATGAAGACCTGTGGAAAACGCTTGCTGCGCTCCTGCACCGTTACAGTCAGCAGAGAGTTGTAGGCGCAGCTGTCCAGGACCGCTCTGGTTTGCACGATGCTGCTCAGAGGCATCGCCTCCAGCTGAGCCTGCGAGGTCAGAAGGAGAAGCTGCAGGTTACCCAGTAAATGAACATGGATAATTAAGAGTCCAGATGCTTTCATTTTTAACGCAACAACTTCTGAACAAAAGTAAATTCTTAGTGTGAATTCAAGTTAAGATAAAACCTGTGAAACATTAACGTCTAAGAATGATGCTCAAAACGTAATTTCTGAGACCAAAGTTCTACTACAGATTACCACTAACCTTGGTCTCAATGTCACAGAGCAGGAGAGACCCTCCCGCGGCTTCCATGATCATCTCCTGAGGCCACAGACGACCTTTGGCGTCCAGTTTCATTAGTTTGGACACGCAGTCGTCCACTGTCTTCACCTCCTGGCCATCCAGCTCACATGTGAACAGATGCTGGGAGAAGAAAGGACAAATGTAAAGAGACAGCACCGTGATGTGCTCGTCTCCAACCTGAAGAGGGTTTCATACCTCCACTCGAACTTGAAATCTCTCTGGTTGTCTGTTGAGGACCTCTGAATATTCCTTTCTCTGCACTGAGATCAAAAGAACATGTTTAGTTTTAAAGTGACGGTGTGTATTTTCCCTGGCGATGGGGGGCAGCACACACCTAAATCATTTCAAGCAAGCTGTATTTATGTGTAAGGCCTTACCAACGGAATGCCACTAGGGTCAAAAATCCCTGGATGCTCAATTTTTAAACAAGTACTTTGTCAGACTGTTCAACCTCCAGCAAAATGACAATCACAGCAGACTCCCTTTCATCACTGGCAACGAGTGAAGAGGTGAATGTGTAAAACAAGGATGTTTAAGAATGGCGAAAGTTTTTAACTTCTTGCTACAAATCAGTAAATGCATTTTGTCCTCACGGGCTCCCGTAGAAGAAAACATGGCGTCTCCCAGAGACTTGGACCCGCTTTCATGTATTTTAGACCTGATTTTTATGGTTATACGTTATGTCACCAACATTTTTCAACAACTGGGCATCATTTAGTTAATTTTCATCCAGAGATTAACGGTATAAACTACATATTGTCTCCATAAGTTATGTCACACAAAACTGCAGAAGTGTTCTGATCTTACTGTAAATGGATCTTCCGCTGGGTCTGGAAATGCTGTTTCTCTGCAGCAGATCCTCTTTAGGCTCATCCTGCTGGAAGGCTCGTCTCTGCTGAGGGAAGTCTTCCTGTGAGAAACCCCTGGAGAGGAACAAAGCATGTCAGTGAAAACCACACAGAGTCCAAATAAACCACTTCAGGGGACACACCCTGGGGAGTAGGAGAAGGGGGCGCTGTTTCCAAACATGATGAACCGCCAGCGTTTTTCTACTTCAGATTGGTGGGAATCAGATGGATGAACCTGAAAAAGAGGACAAAATGAGTCTGCAGACTCGAACCCACCGGAGGCTGAAGACACGACTCTGGCAGCATTTTGCGTATCTTTGATCATGTTTGACCCCTCCCTCTGATTTAGGCCCCTATTCCATGTCATACTTCTTTAATAAAACAAAATCAGCTCCTGATCTGACTAAAGCAGATAAGAGTTTCCTTTTCACACCCTGCACTGACTCCTTTCTTGCCAAAAGACATATTTTTTTCTTTTTTATTTCATTCTAGCTTCTAATTAGCTTTTTTCAAATGTGATTTTCAATAAAGAAAATGTCCTACGTGTTGAATTTTATTGGGGGTTTTCTGGTGCCAATGTCCATCGTTGCTTTTTATCTGATTCTGACCTGATTTAAGCAAAGATTTTAGTGTAAATGAATCAAATTGATGAAATGCGATGTTCAATTAATCAGTTACAGAAGCTGAAATAAAATCAGTGTTTGAATTTTTAAAAATACGTCGGTAACACTTTACATAAGGGTCCCTTTAAGATTTAAGTGCATTATTAAGCATTAATAAACAAAGGGTCTTTTTATTAACGTTATCGTTCGTGTCCTTAAGGTTAGGACAAAGGGCCTCCTTAGTAATGCATTACATAATATGGTTAAGCAGTTAATGCTCTATTATTGCTTAATAAAACACTAAGCAACATTAATAAAAGGACAGTTATTGTAAAGCGTTACAAAAACTTCATAATTAAACTGTCTTGAAACCGCAGACGACTATTCACCCTTCAGTTCCAGCATCATTTAAACCCATCATTCCTCCTGAATTGATCGTAGGATGTAAAAGGACAACCCAGCAACAAAACTATCCACTATCTAAAAAAAACGCATTTTCTGTCTCAAATCAGGAAGCACAGCCACTTCCCATTAAGTCATTTGATGCCCTTCCCTTTTAATCTCGTCAAATTAACATCACATCCCGTTTACCTTCAGCTCAGATTTGGTGTCATCGTCGTCCTCCTTGGAAAGTAATTTTCTAGAACAAATCAGAAAAAAATCCGATCCTCAGGAGAACATGTCCTCAGCGCCTGAAAGCGCAGTGATCAAAGTTCTGTCAGGAGTGACGGAATAAGAAGGGGGCTGGTTGGACTCATCGTCTCAGGGAAAGCAAACTGTGTCTCATTATGACTCCAAAGGGTTTGGTTTTATACAGCCAGAGGGATCGAAGGTCAGCAGGCCTTCTCCAAGTGTTTATCCTGTTATGAAACTGAAGCGTTATGGATCATGAGAGTGAAACGGAGAGAATATGTCAAAGATTAAAGAAGAATACTAGAGAAATAATAACAGACCAAGGTTGAATAAGGTAACCATTTATTTTACCATCTGCTGACGTGTAAATAATGTACACACCCATAATGTTGACAAATGCTAAAGAGAAATATTTGATCCTGTAAATAAAGGTAGCGTCTCATTGGAGCTGTGAGAAGTTCCCTTTAGGATGGTTTAGATGACAGCTTTGGCCTGAGTGCTCTTGGCCAGCGCCTTCAGGTCTGTGATGCACTTAGCAATGCTCTCCTTCTCCTGAAACCCAAAACACAATAAATCTGCATTAATACTGTTCCTTCTCTAGTGTTTAACACACCTGAACAGGTAATCAACAGGAAGAACCCTGGACATGCTCAGAGGGGTAATTTAATAATTAAACAGGTGTGAAATCCCCCATTTAAAAAGATGCTAAATGATTTGGATTATATTTCTACCTCTCTAATACATCTCAGCCAGAGTGGTACATAAACAACCTTAAAACAGCTGCACCATAAAAAGCACTTATCTTTACAGCCCATAATAAACAAGGTCCCTTTTACACATCAGCAAAGCTCTGGGGCTGACCTGCTGAGGTGTGATGCTGCTGATGACGCTCTTCTCCACCCAGTTGATCATGTGTTCCTGCTCCAACCGGCGATTGAGGTGCTGAAGGGCAATCTGATAGTCCAGGCGCCTCTTTACTTCATTGGTCACCATGTGTTGCCTCTCCCTGTAGTTGGTCTCCAGCAGCATAGCGACATTGTTCTGAGAGGAACACAAGGCAGGAGATCCTTCAACACCAAGCCAGATGTCAGAAATACACATTCTTGTAATAACTTATGATCATATTAGAAGGAACAACTCATCTGAACTTAATTCTGCAGCACCACAAAGACTCATGATTCTAGTAAGATTTAAGACCTTTCAAAGACTATTATGGTCCAAATTTAAAGGCACACTTGGCAGTTTTACTTGTTTTTAGCACCCCCTAGTGTTCGCTATTATTTATCTGCGGTTTAACTGAAAATTAAATCTATCTCCTCGCTGTGCGTTCATTTTTTTAACACCTTAATCTAACAGCTGAAATGTCTCCCCAGCCTTCGTGAATGTCTGCAGGAGTGGTTCATCACTAACTTAAACAAAATCAGCTGGATTCATGATCGAAAACATGCTGGAAGCAGCCTGCAGCTAGGTATGTAAACTCAACTTTTTTCCAAGTCCCAAAAGAGTGACCCGCCAGTCTGATGTTGCAAATGCAGTATTTTGGCCACCTTGCAAAGGGTCATCGTAGCACATACCGGCTCAAGGAAATGATTAAAAAAGTTGTACAGTATGGCTTCAAGACATGAATTACACAAAAAATGCAATTTTAGCAAAATATATTTCCAAATTTGCATTAAAATGTTTTTTTCATTTAGAAACTAATAAATATGTGAATTTTTCTCTGTGTGTTTAATAAACTCGATCTTTTACAATAACAACTGCTAGTTTAAGTGTTTTCTGCATCACATTTAAAGTGGAAGTTTGGACTTTTATTTTTTCTTCAATCTTTAACATTTAACGTTGGACGATAAACTAGTTACTGTTGCACGTTTTATTTTCAATGATAAGTAAACCATACACGTACATTTTTACTAAGCTACAAAAGATAAAATCATAAGTTAATAACATCTCGTTTCTATCAGCTCAAATGTGACTGAGGTGTTTTATTTATTTATTTATGATTAAACGTTGGCAATACTGCAGGTTGTAGCTTCTACTTGTAGCCAGCAGAGGTCGACAAAGAGCCATTTTAAAATCATGGACACAGCAGCAGTCAGAAGACCCGACATGTGGTGCTCACCCTCTTAGCATCAAACAGCATTGACCTCCCCTCGACTCTCCACTGCTCTTTCTTCTCATTCTCAATGGCCTGAGCCAGGTTGGTCATGGCGAGGTCCTTCACTTCCTGGACCTTGGCTACTTTTTCCTGAGGAAGGAAAGGGTCGTTTAAATGAATCAGTAAATTGCAAATGGCCTTTATTTGATATAGCGCCTAGAACCCCTTAAGGCGCTTTACAACACAGTCATTCACCCATGCACACACATTCACTCCCTAATGATAAGCTACAATGTAGCCACAGCTGCCCTGGGGCGCACTGACGGAGGCGAGACTGTCAAGCACTGGTGCCACCAGTCCCCCCGACCACCACCAGCAGGCAACACGGGTTAAGTGTCTTGCCCAAGGACACAACAGCAGCATTCTCTGCTGGGAGCCAGGATGGATCCTACAACCCTCCGATTGCTGGACAACCTGCTCTACATCCTGAGCTACTGCTGCCCCAGTAAATTAGCACGGATCATAGTATTTGCTTTAACAACTCTCTCGGCCCACCTCATTCAGTTGGTCTGCAAAAGCTGCAACACTGGGACCAAATTTCTTAACAGCATAAATGATGATGGCGCCTATGGAAATACCAGCCAAGGTCTCTTGGTTGATCACATAGATTTCCTTGGAGAGCAAGTAGATGATGAGGCCAGTGCCGAACATGTAGGGTCCTGTCGGGCATACGTAAACACGGATCTTTATTAATTATCTTCATTAATGTACATTCATCCTTTTCACGTAGGAAAATGCTACAACAGTTGTTGAACGCGTTTTTGGAACAAAGGTGGTAATTGAAAACACGTATTGGTCATTAAATGAGGTGCTTTTATATCTTAAGTTTTGTTTTGGAACAAAAATTGAGTAATAGTTGGCATTTAATGAAGGATGACTAACCCGTGACTCCAGTTTTAGGGTACAGCAGCTGAAAAAACTCCTCTGGGACGAAGCCATGTCGGACTTTGCCTGGTTTCTCTGGCAAAGGAGGAACTGGGGCCAGACTCTGGGATGATGTGTGGAGGGAGCGCGGTGCGTGGACCAAACTAAGGAAGACAACATTAGAAGTTGATGTTAAAGGGATCTCTGTTTTTGTGCATTTCATTTTAATATTCTGATTTTAAATCAGACTTTCCCCTTAATAAACTGGTACAAAGTAGCTTTTACTGGCTTCTTCCCACAACTTCTCTATTTTCTGACTGAGGCCATCTTGTGTTCTTTCCTGAAAATAATGGTGCATTCACATCTTGGTCAGCCCAGTCTAGTCTTGGTTAGGTCATCCTGTTTCTGCGCGGCCAGGTTTTGTTCACACAGCCTTCTCAGGAACACGGATTTCTCTGAGCACGTGGGCAGGGTAAAAGACGCGCGGAGAAGTTTGTAGCGTCCTCCTTAAATTAATAAGCAATGGCGGCCATTGAGCAGTGCTGCTTTGGAGGTATTAACTGCAGCCAGCCAATCAGTCGGTAGTGGGTGTGTTGTTGAGATGGTGCAGCGTCAAGCTGACAGCCAAAAAGCAGGTCCAAAAAATAAATAATAATAAAAAAAACTAAAAAAATAAATAAACATAACCCAGATACGAGCACAATTACCCTCCGAGGGCTAGACCGACCCAGATGTGAATTGAGTCAGGTGTGCAGGTGCAGATAAAAAACTACAACATGCTGCAGAGGGGCACTCGAGGAACGGGGTTGGGTTTGTGTTAAAGAAGGAAAAATATGTGTGTGCTTGAATTTCAGGTATTTGGCGTAAAATATGAATATCAATACATTCCATCACATTAATACTCAAATAAAAGCTATTATTGACCTTATATATGCAAATGCATGTTTTAGTTCTGCTTAAGTCAACAGTCTGCCCTTTAGTTGGTTTGCTTGTGTCTATTATTGACTGTTTAATGGAACATTAATTGTGTGTTAAGCTGCATCGTGCTTCCCTTCATGGTAACCCAGGATCTAATTAGCACTGTGTGTTGACTTGTCATTTACAAGTGTGATGCTGAAATCTTTTCTCATGTCTTACTCATTAAAGTGCTGACCTGTTTATAGAAATTAGTTCACATTATTTTGACGCATTGTTTAGATACATAAAATAAAGCCATGTTCAGTTTTGTAAAGGTGCAAATGGTAAATAATTACAATGAATACACATTTTCAATTGATCTCCATATTGTTTAAACATTTTAAAATAAAGTAGTGTTAAAGAAACAAACCCAGCTCCAAGAGGGGCACTGCCTTTCAGAAAGTTGGCTGCAAATAGAAGACAAACAAGATAATATAGAAATGTTATGTTCCATAAAACATTTTCAATGCACAACTCTACAAGCCAAAATTAACACATAAAACAATTAACTAGTCATACAGATCAAAAAACTTGCAATAAATGTTGTCATAATACATCGGGAAACTTTTGAAAATAAAATGAATACACAAAAGCTTTGTGAGCTTTTAAAAGCTGATAGCTCAAGGTAGATTAATGCCAGTGACACATAGAGGACAATAAATAAATAAAAAACAATGAAAGTAAATCGGTCTTGGAGAAGATCCTCTGCGTCTTTCTTAAAATGAGAAATCAAACAGAACTAATCTCAAGTTTACTGACGTGCATCGCAAATGCTAACGAACATTGCTTCAGTTTAACCAAAACAAGAGTGACGTGGTATGAATACAGACATATTCAATTAAGAATGTGTTATTATCGATTGAAAATTATTATAATGAGCTTGAAACGAATACAATTTGACAGAATGTTATCAATTTTGTTCAAAATCGTTAGCTAGTAATAGCATGTCTCATTCAGAGTGCGGCCTTCGGTTTACCCTTCAGATTCCCTCTTTTATTTCTTAGACTTCTCGGGTCCGTCTCCCTACAGACACGCGTCATCTAAAGTCACAACAAACGCAGGTTCAGTACAAACCTGAGAGAAAAACAGCTCTCGACAACATGGTGAAAATATTCAGAGTCTAACTCTTGCTTAGCCGGGCACCCTTGTTTCGGCCTGTCCGTGCCCTTCTGCAGAGCCACAAGGATGGCGGACACACGAGAACATCTTCCTGAAACATCGCGAGACTTCAACACAAGTGATGTGGCAGGCTGCCACTAGATGGCGTTGAAGACACAAATCCAGATCAATTAAAATTTCCTGCAAGATGAGAAAATGTTTAAATCCCTATCTGTTTATTAATGGAATCATCATTTAAAATAAATTCATATAAAAACGTAAATAACTGATCATCAGTAAGACATATAACAAGACAGTACTAGGTGTGCATATACACATAACGGATATATAATACACAATAAGACACATAAAATAGGAAATAATGACAAGATTTTCATTCATTGTTGCTGTTTTCTCTTAAACATACAATGAATATTTAACAGCTCTGTAAACTAATTTTTAATTGTTCATTTTCTATGCATTCGGGTAAGAAAAACCCTGCACATGAATATTATTTTTTAATTAAATATCAATTGCTTGTTAATATTTGCAGCTGAACTAAACTGTATTGAGATCGTTGTAAAGGAAAAATTATTAGAATTTATTCTGATTTAAAAGTTTTCTTAAACGGTATTTATGGCACAATTTAAGCTGTGAGTAGTGTGTGGTATATGTTGTCACCAGTCGTCACCATATTTGAAAAAGAAATGTTACAAACAGTTTGCACACAGTTCACTTGTTTTATCCCAGGCTACATGGCTGGTTGGGTTTGTGTGTAATCTTAAGGCCCACCCGTGTGTGGCATCAGTGTGGAGCGACTGGCTGCTGAGATAGAGGAACATATGACGCCGTGCTTCTCTTCACTTCCTGTAAAACTGCTCAACAGAAACAGTTACATGTGAAACACAGACGAAACCCCGGATGCTGTTAGAGAAGAAAAGGAAAATGGATGACATTTTGACCTCCTCTGATAGATTTTGCGCAATGAATGAGATGATTTAAGAGGTAAGTATCATTTGCATGATTTTAGGCTTATTAGACAGCATTTTCTCTTTGACTTATCATGCACCTGCATGGCCGTAATCAACAGTTGCCAGGGCCTGCATTGGTCTGTCGAATGGCAACTGTGGAAATAGATCTTAGAGGAGATTTGTGATGAAACTCAAAAACTTCTATGTTAGAAGTAAACTGTTATCTTCACAGTTTATCATCTTTGTTAATTGAATTGTACCAGACTGGTCCCAGTTCCTTGGAGGATCACTAAGACGTTATTCTTCATTTGTTTTTGATGAGCCTTCACGCTCACATTTGTGTCCCTCAAACCTTTATACAAAGTGTGATTACACCACAAAAACCTACTTTCTGTGTTCTCAATGATCTGAAATTATCATTAACTGCTTTAAAATGCCATGTTGTTACAGTACTGAAGCTGTGTAACTGGCCGAGGAGCTGCCATGGACACCTTGGCCGTTTTTAGTCCAACACACTTCCCAGAGAGAGAATTTGACCAAAAAGCGGACTACCGAGCTGAGAAACGAGAGCATCTAAGAGGACGCAACAACGTGACTTTGTGTCGAAGCCCTACAAGAGACGATGACACAAGGCAGATCAAGAATCAGCTGAAGGAGAAAAGACAGCAGGAGTTTCTGAGGAGGAGATCGATGAGTCCTGAGTTAAAGTGTGGAAAGTGTTCCCGGCAGAGAAAACCTTCTCCACAGACATTTTCCTTTTTAAATCACAGCTCTAGAAGCAGGTCTGAGACGCTTCACCCAAACACGCCATCTTCTCCTTCTGCTAATGGACATCGAGGGATGATTCTGACACCAGAGAGCAGAATAACGGAATATCCAACCAAATGGGTAAATGATGCCTTGACTTTATCTGGACTCCTTCTACCTGTAGTGAGTAAAATCTGCATCCCTGCTCCTCTCATTAGTCTTTCCTCCAGGCCTCATTATGGTCAGAACCAACAACACCCATCAGGCAAGAGAGAAGTCCTGCAAGGAAGGAGACATCTACCTCCACAACAGTAGCAACAGCATCGGGTCAGCGATGGATGAAAAATAAAACACACATCAGCACAATTCCTCCCGTCAAACCGTGTTCGATCTGTTCTGGTGAAAATATAACTATTTGATTATTCTTGTAGCTCAGACCATCAAGACCATCGTTCAGATGAAAAAGATTCACAGCAAGTCGCCAGTGCTACTGGAAAGTGTTCATCCAAAAAAGACGCTCCGAGAGAGCTGCGTGCAAACAGAGTGAGTTTTATTCCTTAGGCGTCAGATCCCGGCTTTAATCTGACTCGCTGGTCTGGTTTTAGGTTTGTCTAATGAGGCGTTTCTCCCCAAACAGGGCCGGCATCGTCACCGTCAAAGAATCTGTAAGTTTCAGTCTGCTGCAGGTTGAATGGAAGGTATTAGATTATAAATCTGGAGATAAAGGTTAAAGGGGAATGGACTGGCATTAAACTGGGGGCATAAATGCACCAACTCCTGCTTTTATTATTCAAAAACCAATATTTCTCTCTATTTTAGGGTTTGATTTGCACATTTCGTCAGTTTTTAATGAATGTTTGATCTCTTCCACAACAGGAAATCCAGGGATTATCAGACTGCTTGCAGGTAAACTACACAACTCCATGCTCTGTAGTTTTCTTTTTAATCGTTTAGTATGTCGGTCAAATATTCTGCAGGAATCTCTTCTGCTGTTGGTTATGTACGCAGGAAGCCCTGTGGAGAGAGGAGGCACTGAAGAACAAGCTTGCCCTCCTCAAGGAGATCGCTGCAAACCTCATCAACACCTCAGACCTTTTATGGACAGTAAGAAACATCTTCTTTGCACACATGCATGACAATTTCAAACCATAACATGTGTCTTTTGTTAAAGGTTTGTGACCTTAGGGTGATTTCATGCAGATATTTGGTACCAAGCTGCTGATGTCTCAGGAAGGCCTATGCAGATTGTGGTTTTGAGCTTCCTGCTTCCGTTCTTGTCTATAGGACAAGTGCAAACTGTCGCTCTTGCACAGGAAGGGTGTACCACACAGAACGTAGATGATGCACATCTAGGTTAGCATTCATAGCTTCTGGATGGACCAATTTACTGGCAAATACTGGTGCTAACCTTTCCATTCAGCACTTTCTAATTAACTTGATCAGATTTTTTACTTTACGCTGAGTCTCTCTGAGGTATGTCACCTCCCAGCTGCTTGTTTTATGTTGTCAGCGTAGTTTTGCTGTAGAAATTTCTTTAAAGATCAAAGATGATCTCAATTTCTATCAGTGCAGGCTAGTGAAGCGTTTCAGCTGTTGATACATGAAACATTAATTTTCCATCTGCCGGTTAGAGCATGACAGCCGCTCATTTCCTTTCTAACCCACACAGTCTCGCTGCAATGAAGACCTGCTGCGAAACAAGATCAAAGTCCTGGAGGCGCAGCTGCAAGTGTGTCTGCAGGTGAGCAACCAGTAAACCTCTGAGGACTCATATTGTCACTGCTCTCCTCTTTGGTTCTATAGTTTCTAATCTGACTCTGTTTTTATTATTTTTTATTTAATTCTGAAACTGTGTTTCAACAGAAGTTTCCTAAGGATGGAGTAAAGAAGCTGATGCTGCAGATGGAGAAGCAGAGAGGAACATATGAGGAAAGGGCTTTGGCTGCTTTGCAGAAGATGACTCAGGAGAAAAGCGAGGCCCTTTCCAAAGCTGAGACACTGCAGGTGAAATTACAGATTTCAAAGCTGGGCTCTTTTGTTTCTGAACCCATATTTATTAGAACATCAACACTGCAGCAGATTTTTCTAAAGATAACATATATTTTTTGCCAACAGGAGGCACTAAGTGCAGCACAGGCAGAGGTGCAGAGGTGGGAGAGTCTTTACAAAGAGCTGAAGCTGAGCTCTGGAAATCTCAGGGAGAACCAGCAGCTCATATATGAACAGCTGGAACAGCTGCACACCCAGGTGGAGGTAGGGGTTACTGCTGTCAATGCAGTGCATGGTCAGAGGTTTGCATCCAAATCAGTGAAATTGTCTTGTGAAGCTGTCCAAATCCAGAGAGTTGGAGCTAAGAGAGGAGGTGGCATCCCTCAGACAGGAAAAGCAGGAGCTGCAGTACAACATATGCCTGCTGGAGGAGGACAACCAGACGTTAAGAGAGGAGCTCCAGCAACTTCAAGGCAATAATCCTGTCTAGATGGAAGCCGGACTGAAGCAAACTCAGAAAGTCTCATTTGTTCAAAATCCTCTCTGTCTCATAGATGGTGGTGATGAGAGTGGGGATTTCTTCATGCAGCAGAGTCTTAGATCAGAGGAAGCTCAACCCCGGCTGACCTCCAGGAGAGACTCTCAGCTTGAGGAGGAGCTTCGACACACTCAGGAGAAACTCCAGCTCAAAGAGAAGGAGGTAACCTGAGCCTGGGTCATAACTAAAGCAGTCACTCAGACAAATCCTTCTCCCTTGGATCATGTTTATTTACCTTTAGACACACAATCAGATGCATAGTGTCCCATCTAGTTTAGAAAAATGAAATTCTGCAGTTCTAAGATCAATATCTTGTTTGGTTGTTTACATATCTTTTTTTTTCTGAGGATGGAATCAGTTTTCATTTCATAAAAGTCACTGAGCTGCAAACGCATGCCTGGAATCTGTAAGAGTTCCTGGAGGCTAAATTTAGTCTACACATTCCTCTTCCGTGTGTGTGTGTGTGTGTGTGTGTGTGTGTGTGTGTGTGTGTGTGTGTGTGTGTGTGTGCAGTGTGAGGAGCTGCAGACTGAGATGCACACCATGGAGCAGGAGTGTCAGTCCAGCCAGGCCCGGCTGTCGCAGTGCAGAGACGAACTCCGGCAGCTCAGCCACCGCCACAGGAGAACAGTGAGTGCTGTGTGTGTGTGTGTGTGTGTGTGTGTGTGTGTGTGTGTGTGTGTGTGTGTGTGTGTGTCTGTGTGTGTGTGTCTGTGTGTGTGTGTGTGTGTGTGTGTGTGTGTGTGTGTGTGTGTCTGTGTGTGTGTGTGTGTGTGTGTGTGTGTGTGTGTGTGTGTGTGTGTGTGTGTGTGTGTGTGTGTGTGTGTGTGTGTGTGTGTGTGTGTGTGTGTGTAAAACCTAGACATTTTAGAAGCAGCAGACATACTTGTGACCAGGTGTGCTTCCTCTATAGATACCATGTGGCTCCTGGTGGAGGGTTTGTGTGTTCTTCCTCCTGCTCCTCACCATAGCGGGGGCTGCCATGTTGTGGTGCTGGCATCCTCCATTCAGGGATCAAGTTGATGACCTGTTCTTGGACATTCAGACCAGGATTGAAGACTATCTCATGGAAATGGCCTCTCCTCGACACTCGGGCTGTTTTCGACCGATATGACCAAACCTCTGCTTAGTAATTTAGTATTTGAATTGTAGTCATTTCCCACTGTCGTCGTTTTTATTTTAAAAGGTATTTTAAGTTGGAAACAAAGGTTGTATTGGGATGAGGAGAGTGTACTGTACATGTGTGCAGAAGATTCAGGTGAACACATTAAAATTACAGAAGTGTTTGAAACTCACACGGTAACTAACATGTAATGAGCCATGCCGTGAGTCTACAACAGTAGAATTAAAGGAAATATCTTTTGTACTGTAAAAAGGATCGTCCCGTCAGAGGTTCAGCTATTAAGACGACACCCACAGACTCTAAACCAAACATCTGATGAGGACTAACCCCTGTTGCTTTGCATTTTTGTGACCTAAATTTAAAAAGAACTTCAAAATAAAATAAAAAATAAAATCATTAATTCATTCTGCTTAATCAGTGATTTTTTTTAGATGCTTTTTTACTCATTTAAAGTCCACTTCCTGTATCTTGCAACATAAAGCAGTTTGGGCTTAAAAATGAGAGAAGGTGGAGGATAAATAATACAATAATACTTCCCTTGTAAATGTCTAATAAATATTTTATAGTTATGTCATAAATGAATCTGTAACACATTATAGATCATTAGTGTTTATTTTGATCTTGCCAAATAGTGAGCCAGATCTATTAACTTCATCTAAAGTTGCTACAATAAACATTTCAGACTAACTTATTACCTTGAGCATGTAGTTTTAGTATGTACAACTGTACTTTATCACTGCATCAAAAATATCCGCAACTAGTTGAGGAAATGTGTGAAAGGAGGATGCTGGAGAAGATGAGCTCTATCTTGGAAAACCCTCCCACCCACTGCATTCCACTGTGGAGACCATGGACAGCTCCTTCAGAGGCGGACTGACATCCCAAATGTAAAACAGAACGCTACAGTAGGTCATTCACCCCCTCTGCATATAGTGTAAATAGCCCAGTTTATGCTTCTGGGTTAACTCCACAAGGGAGAGACGCACACAGTGTTGCAAAGCAGTTCCCTGCCAGGGCAAAAGAGGGCGTAGCGCTGTTCTGGGGTATCCTGTCATGTATCCGGTCCAAGAAAACGCATTTATTAATGTGTTTATATTGTGTTTTTTGTCTTTCAGAGACTTTTTAACAAGGACACATTTGTCCCTCAGCCTCCTCCACCTCTTCGTGTGCTCACCACCTCTAAACCCCTAAATGCTTGCTGCCTATCTTTTTACTCCTCCAATCACGGGTGAATAAAACATTTCTATTTTTAGTTTTTCCATGAGGTATTCTTCAAGCTGTTCCATGTCTGCCGCTAGAGATCTTCGACTTTCTTTATGTTTTTGGGGGCACAGTGGCAGTGCTGTTGGCAAAAGTGGCCTCCTGACCAATCACAAGCTTGCGTTCTCTGTCTCGTTGGACAGATGTTTAGAAAAGTGGGCTCGACTTCCTGCGAGCCCGCTGGACAGCCCTCACAAGGACGGATAATGGTGCAGATGCAGAAGCATAAACTAGGCCTAACTCAGTGCTATACTCTGTACTTGTGCAATATTTGTGCAATACCGGATGTACATTAGTATGTCTGTGTCCTTCATGCTGCATAGTTCTATTCTATTCTATTCTATTCAGGGGAGACTTATTGTAAAGTGTAAAACATGAAATTACATGTATGCTGGATACACATTTAAATATGCTAAATAGGAGTTTTAAAGATTATTTAATAACATAATAATAAAATATTTATTAGGCATTTATAAGCAGAGTCTTATCGTAATTTGGAACCTGAAAGACTTTGTTTATAGTAGACTGTTTTGAGAAATAAGAAGAAACCCAACAAAGTTTGCTGGTCTGCTCATTTTAGTAAAAAATAATATTTGTGCATCAGCAGAAAAATGTATGTCACCATCAGCATGAGGCTGTGTGATGTGATTCTTCTGTTTGAGCTCCATGTGAGACAGAATAAAACGGTTCATTCCACAAAAGTCTTCCTGAATCTGACAGACGTGACTCGTGGAAACATCTGCTGTGTGATTCCGGTCCAACTTAGAGACAAAACCTCGTCGCAGCGGCCCTCTCTAAGCGGGCCTGGAGTCATTGTTCTTTGTTCCAGATGAAGCTCCATTGTCCAAAGGCCCTGACGCAGCACATCCACCCCACCCACAATCACTTTTACCTGTACGTTCCCCGTGAAGAGATGGATCTGCACCGGCCTGAATTCACTCCCCTTGTGCTGCGACCATCTGGCACAAGTTTAGACACCTTACAGGAATGCCCTTTACCCACAGAGTGGTGCACGTCTCCAGGATGAAGACCGCTGAGCTGCTGCTTGTTGGATTGTGTGTGATGAGCATCGCATCTTCACTGAAAATCTGTGCTTTTAACGTTCAGAGTTTTGGTGAAACAAAGGCAAGCAACAAGAAGGTTATGGGAGTCCTATTAAAGGTATTCAGCTGAGTGTTTAAAGCATGCAGAGAAAAACGGTCTCTTTAAGGATGTGTTCCTTTATTTTGTTCCCAAGATTCTCTCTCGGTGTGACGTGTGTCTCGTTCAGGAGGTCCGAGACTCCAAAGGAGAAGTTATAAAAGCTTTAGTGAAAGATCTGAACAGGTACCTGGATTAGAGAAGTTCATTTGGACCTAATTAAAAAAAATACTTTAATATTTTATTATTATGTTGCATCATCAGATTTGACAAATTCAACTCCTACTCACACGTGGAAAGTGAAAGACTGGGGAGGAAAAGCTACAAAGAGCAGTATGTCTACATTTACAGGTACATCAGGATGATTTTATTTAGGTTTATTTTACTGAACGAGTCAGACATCATCACAGACCTCTCCTCTCTGAGCAGAAACAACATGTTGAAGGTCAGGGAGAACTTTCAGCGTCCTAAACGGGAGTCAGACAGGACCAACGAGACCCAGGTTTTCTCCAGAGAGCCTTTCATCGTCCGCTTCCACTCCCCTACCACACGTGAGTCAGAATAAAACAAGACGTGTGTGTGTGCAAAATCAGACATAAATGAGTCACGTGATCATAAAGAATTTAGTCAATCCTTCACAGATCTCTTGAGAGGGGTATTTGTTTGTTATTCTGCTTAAATCACTTTTATCCTACAATAAAAACATGACAGTCCTGAAGAGATCAGCCTCCTCCAGGAAATTTTGGCCACCAAAGATGTAATCAGACACAAATGTGCTGACTCAGATCCTTATTTGAGTTAACTAAACGTGTTTGTTCCCAGTGGTGAAGGATTTTGTTCTGATTGGACAACACACGTCTCCCAAAACCGCCATGAAGGAGATTGATGAGCTGTATGCAGTCGTCAAAGAAATTCAGAAGAAGTGGAAGACTGAGGTGGGTTTACCTTTTTCTTCTCTGATTACATCACCTGCTGGCTTATCTCCTCCACTCCAACCGAGTGGTCTGACGCTTCTTCTCACCCACAAAAGAACGTGATGGTCCTGGGAGACCTGAACGCCGGCTGCAGCTACGTCACCATCAAAGGTTGGAAAGGGGTGCGTTTGAGGAGTGACCCCAAATTCCACTGGCTGATTGGAGACGAGCAGGACACAACCGTTCGAGAGAAGACACACTGCGCCTACGACAGGTGAGACGCAGTGGCTCCTCCAAGGGGTGGCCAGGGATGGCTATGCCCCCCCCCCCCCCCCCCCCGACAATCGTTGACCCCTACAGGAATGACCAGTGTTAATAAATCACATTAATGTTCACTCAAACCATAAATTCATCTTATTTATTCAAGACATACATGTAAAACACAAACTATGTTGCTACTAATAAAAACAATCAGAAATAAAGAAAATGATGCATTTCTGCTGCTCACTAATTAAAAAAAGTGTATATCTCCAAAGATTTTTCTGAAGACAGAAACAGGTAAATTAAACTAAAAATTAAATTCTAAAATACCTTTTGAAATAACATTCCAAATAGTTAAAATGTACTTTTCTGAAATGTTTGTGTTTCTCAAAATCGAGTTAGGTGTTTTGAATACATGTTATTTTTTTAATAATAAAGAATAAAGGAGCAAAGCAAGGCATTGCCACTGGCAATGTTTTATTTGCAGGATCATCGTGCATGGACGGGAGATTTTCTCCAGCGTGGTTCCAGACTCAGCTCAAGCATTTAACTTTAAAGAAAGCTTCCGACTCACAGAGGCAGAGGTAAACCTCACAAAAATTATTTCATTTGAAAGCGTTCACAATGATAGTAATACTTATATTTCTTTTACATCACTTCAGGCCCTTGAGGTGAGTGACCATTTTCCTGTTGAAGTTGACCTGAAGCCCAACCATCGCTACCTCCTCCGCCACGAGCTGTAGATCAATCCAGAACTGCAACTTTGTGTTTACATTTTAAAAAGACTTTAAACTGATTTTAATGAATTAAACACATTCAGAAAAGCATTTCCTGGCAGTGTTGCTTCTTTTGTAACTTCATGACAGTCGCACCAACAAACGCCGCTTCAGCATGAAGGAACTGTGTGAGTTTGCCTGCTAGAGCCCGTGTTGCACATCTGAAGCCAAACCCACATCAAAGCAGACATCAGTTCATGAGCTCATGAAGGTGCCTTCGTGCAGCAACAGACAACACAAAAACATTTGTTTCAGGATCTTATTTTGCAGAAAACCCGAACGGATCGCTTTAAATCTTCTTCTTTTATGGTAAGTTCATGCTAAATTTCCATTTCTCTTCTTTTAACTGAATTTCTTTGGTCTAATGTGAGTTTATGAACAATCTGTTCAACAGGAAGCCACTTGCAGCCGTACCAGAGGAGAGTTACTTCAAGCTCTCTTTTCTTTTGACTGTCTGGTACTAAAAACTCCCGTTTTCTTCGTTAAACGACCGGTTTAAAATTTTGAGACGATGGACGGGTTTGCCGATCTTCTCACTGATGTATTTACAGGTAAGAAACATATTTGCATTGTGACATGTTTATTTTTTAACTAAATAGCAAAGGATCCTTTTCAGACTCTGTTTTCATTCCAGATTCTTCTCTTCCGTCCTTTTCCGATGGAGATCTGGACTTTGAGAATTTAAATTTTGACGAGAAGAGTGAGGAAGACGAAGCTGAAACCCCAACGACGACAGACGAGGCTCAGCTCCAGGAAGCGACCGCTGAAGGTGAAGTTTTGTCAGATGCGGCAACAACAGACCCTCTGCACACAACTGCAAACGCTCACCAAGAGAAGACCAGTGATGAAAGTGATGGGGAGAATTTCATGAGTCAAACACCAGCTGGTGATTACACAAGCTCTGGAGAGGAGCATTCTTCCTCTGGAGAGGATGAGGAGATGGATGAAGGAACATCAGAGGAACCAGGAGATTTGTCACCAGGCTGCAGCAGAGAAAACTTCCAAGATGATATAAAGGAGTACACGTTCTTCTCTGAGGGAGAACCTATGGTCGCAGAGGGTGCCAATGACCCTAATGTTCGCTACAAGGTGCAAGATGGGGCAGAGGGGGATAAGGAAGTGTCCTATTTGGGAAGAATCCCTGAAGGCAAAGATGAAACCGTGACGAAAAGTGCAGAGGAACGAGAAAGAGAAGAAGACTCCGAGACCGAAGGCATGAAAAATGAACAAGAAGAAAATGTTCATCAGCTGGAGTCCAAAACCTCAAATGAAATCAAGCCAGGGGAAGACAGTTTGGCGTTTTCAAGTCTATCTTTGCAGAATTTGCAGGATCTCATCACTGATGTCAATGGGGAAGAATATGTAGATAAAATGACAGATTTTATGGAAGATGAGCACCAAGAGGCAGGTGAGAGCTTTGCAGATTATCCTTCAGACTTTTCATCAGGCGAATACACAAGAGCAGAAGAAAACAAGGAGGAAAACAAGCCGGGTGCCTTTCCTGGTATGGAGAAGGAAGCGTGCATGGAAGGAGCTGTGATGGTAACCCCGTGGACTCTGAGAGCTCAGGACACAGAGAAGAATGAAGGCTTCTTGTACAGCAGAGATTTGGAGATGAATGCAGATGAGATGACAAGCCTGGACGAAGCAACAGGGGACCTAGATGAGAGCAACTCCAATAGCGATGAGGAGGAGGAGCTGCCGAGAAGATCCAGTGAATTTTCAGATGATGTTGAAAACCACAAGAAACAAGAGAACATGCAGCTTCATGACTACAGCAGTGTAGAGTTTTCCAGATGGAGCAACTCTGGTGATCCCAACGGCAACCATAAAGGTGATTTGGCGGATTTCATCAAGTCAGAGTTGGATGCGTTAGAAACCGACAACCTTCCGTCTGAATACCTGTTCATCACAGATGACTCGGATGAGACGGAAGATCCTCCTTCAGGTGTGAATCAGCATCCTGCTGAACATGTGAATCACTACTCAGTGGTGCAAAGAAAGGAGGCCAAAACCACATCTTATAATCAGGGATCCATCGATGACAGCTTCTTCTTCAACTCTGAACTTGACACCCCCGAGGTCCCAGAGGTGAGGCAGCCGACTGATGAGGAGTACGAAGAGAGGAGGAACATTGAACAGATGCAGAAGAGAATCGAGGCATTCAAAAGGTTTTATGATAGTGATGACGAGAACAGAAGAGAGGGTGAGTGATTATAAACGATCTGGATGGTATCAGAGAGATTTGTCGACCCACAAATAATTCTGTTTTCAGAGAGACAGAAAAAGGTCCAGTTTTGTGATGATCCGTTGTCCCAGATCATTCACTATGAAACGGACAGGTAGGTGGCACTTATTGTGGCTAAGAAGCAAATATGGGATGAAATGGCTAAAATCACTCCCTGTTTTCTATCAACAGTGACAGAGAATCACTCAGCAGCTCCTCAGACAGAGAGGAGGAGGAAGATGATGAAGAGAAGGAAGAGGAAGAGGGGGTGGAAGAGATGGTTGGGCAGGATGAGGAGATAGGGGAGAAACATGATGAAGAAGAAAAGAAGATGATGGATGAGGAAGAGGAAGAGGAGAGTGAGGTGGAAGAGATGGTTGGGCAGCATGAGGAGATAGGGGAGGAACATGAAGAAGAAGAAAAGAAGATGATGGATGAGGAAGAGGAAGAGGAGAGTGAGGTGGAAGAGATGGTTGGGCAGCATAAGGAGATAGGGGAGGAACATGAAGAAGAAGAAAAGAAGATGATGGATGAGGAAGAGGAAGAGGAGAGTGAGGTGGAAGAGATGGTTGGGCAGCATGAGGAGATAGGGGAGGAACATGAAGAAGAAGAAAAGAAGATGATGGATGAGGAAGAGGAAGAGGAGAGTGAGGTGGAAGAGATGGTTGGGCAGCATGAGGAGATAGGGGAGGAACATGAAGAAGAAGAAAATAATGTGATGGAAGATGATGAGGAGAAGGTGGAGGAGGATAAAGATGCCAAAGCCAAGGAAGAGGAGGAGATTGAGGACAATGAAGCAGATGAAGAAACGGAGGAAGACGAGGAAGAGGAGGAAGAGGAAAATGAGGAGAGCCTGAGCTCTACAGAAACATTCGATGTAAGATGTCATACGTTTACATAAAGAACCGTGGACAGCCCAGACCTACATCAGACTTTATACGTTTGTTTGTGTTCAGGATCTGACGGATGCTAATGACTCCTTCCAAATCAGCCCTGAATGTGATCCTTCAAATATTCGGCTGCAACAAAAGATGTCAGAAGTCAGAGATACACATGCCTTCCCAAAAACACACAAGGTATTGGCAGAATTGTTATTTTTCTGAATTAAATAAAAAAAAAGGTTTTACCTTGTCTTATTTGTTCTTGCAGGGTCTCAGTGTCCTGAAGATGATGATAAAGTTAGGTGTGATGACAACATTGGGGCTGTTGATGTTCTGGATGATCTCAGATCAACCCGACTTCCTCAGAGATATTTTCTCTGTTTAGAGCTTTGAGCTATGTCTATAGGTTTTGCTTACGTTGTAATAATAAATGTAGTAAAATTGTTTCCTGTACAAGAATGTAGGAAAACGTTTGTAAATACAAATTGTTTTACTGACTTGTGTTCTCTTAATAAAGATGTATTTGGGTTTGAAATCATGCAGCTAATTATTACTTTGTTTTCATTAGTAAAAACAATAAATAATTCAAATTTTATTGCATTCAACCCCTTTATTAGAATTATGATTAAGCTATTCAGACACTATATTTAAAATGATTGTACCCAAAGTGATAGTCAACCTGCAGCTAAAAAAGTGTTTAATAGGCAAAACGTAATAAATAAAGAAGAATATTTTTTTTAATGATAATTATTATTGTGGTTAAGAAAGTTTAATAATTAATTGGGACAGGGCTGGATAAGCTGTTGCTTCTTCCTGATCCCCTTTTCGAATGCATTTGTTTACGTTAATGACATAAATTGGTGAGACTATTTTTTTTCATGTTCTTTTCTTCTTGTTTATCTTTGTTCATTGTGATGTAATTGTGTTCGAAATAAAATAGGAAAAAATGTATTAATTAAAGTAGAGTATTATTATTATTATTATTATTATTATTATTTATTATTATTATTATTATTATTATTATTACTATTATTATTATTATGCTTTTTAGGAATGACGTGGGAGCAATAAATCGTCTACACTACAGTATATGATGTTAGTGGACCAATATCTGCCTACAGGGGGCGCTGGTTCTGGCTATAAAGAAACATGCACACAATCCTAATGAACGAAGAAGAAGAGATTTATTGAAAGTGCGTTTGTTTTATTTTGTAAATTAACAAACGAGGGCGGAGTTTAAGCAGATCCATGTTTGCCGCTCCAACCCACTCATGGCCGCTATAATCCGCGCGGGAAAACGAGCTGTCGTGAGTAGGAGGAGTAGATTCTGCTTATTTTTTGGTTCCCGAAACGAAAGATTCCTAACGAAACGCACAGGAAAGTAAAATGTCTTCGCTTACTAACAAGTCTGCGGCGGAACTAAGCGAACTGTTGGATGAATATGGAATCAAACATGGACCCGTGGTCGGTGAGTTGCTCACACCGACCGACTAGGTGGTCGGCCTGGCTGGTTAACTTCTCAGGCCTGTCCATCTGTCTGAAGTTCGAACATGTCGCCTTTAGTCCCATTTGTTTTGTTTTCACCAGATTCCACCAGAAACCTATATGAGAAAAAGCTCAAAGAAGCCATGGCGAAGGGGAAAACAGCGAAACCGTCATCTGATAAAACCTACTACAGAGAAGAAGGTTTGTTGGTCCTTTCTAGTCATTCTAACTGATTTGTTTACCTAAGGTGTAGATGTTCTCGTGCACTGAAAACTTGGTAATATAAAAGGCAGAACTCCAGTGTATGAATATTTAGGTTTTTTAATAAGATTTCACACATTACTTTGAATATTATGTTATGATGCAAAGTTCTCACCTCATTTGTTCTTATGATGAGTTTTATCCACCATTGGATACAAATAGTTTTTTTTCAAAACCAAGGGCTTCACAATTTATAAAATATAATTTCAGTAATATAAACCAAACAAATCACACAAAGAAATATAAAATTGTATAATTTAGGTTAGAAATATGTAATTTTGTCGTTACAGGAAGCCTTTTTGACATAAAGCTCTCAGTTCAAGCCAGCCCCAGTAGAGTTGTTAATTTGTTGTAATTTTTTGTGATGTTTATGTTTTGTTTCAGAAGAAGAAGTCACTTATGTTTACAAGACACCGGTGAGAATCTTGTTCATGGTTCTGTGGCTAGTTTAGAGTTTTATCCATTAATTTTAGCTCTATGTATCTTCAATTTGCATGAGTGAAGACTACTCATATTTATTCTAGTGGATGAATGATTTGTTGTGTAACAAGATGGATGTTTGTTAAATGATCAATAAGATGAGATATTCCATATAAATATGAAAAATCAATCTGATTGGTCTTTGAATATTTGATTTAATATTAACTTAGGTTCTTTGGACTATCTGGGGAAACACACACTTCATATAAATTCAGACAGTCATGGATATAGTTTATTCAAATGAATTTAATTCTATCTTTCTGAATTAATGATGGCGCAAAAAAAAAAGATGAATGATGGTTGGACACGATAACAGTCAGTGCATCAAATGATGGGATGTAAGCTTAGATGCAGGTCACCAAGCTCTGCAGAAGCCTGGTAATCAACTATTGATTAAAATCAGGTGTTTGTGAAGCAGGGAAACAACTAAAACATTGTGGATCGGCGCCATCAAGGACCAAGGTTGAACACCACACGTTTTAGACCTGCACATCAACTTAGTGCTCGTGATTCAATTGTCCTTTGTTCTTTTGATCTAGTTAACTAATGGGGTTGATTACTATAATTATTATTTTTGATTCAATACATCTTATATGGCAGCTATGCATGTATAAACATGCCCCCATAGGGCTAACAAGCTTTGTTTACATTCATTTTGTTGTGAATTCTTATTTTTTATCTCTGTTTCCAACATTTCAGACCAGAGTTGACGACTTTGCAGAGAGGTCAGACCAGTTTGATCCAAAGTTATCAGATTTCATATTTAATGCAGATTAACTCACCCGCTGTCTCTCTCATCCGTCTAGTGGGACCTACAGGAGATCCAGACCGGAATGGACTGAGAGGGAATATGTGCATGAGTGAGTTCAAAGCATAAATGTGTGAACAGGTAAAAAGACAATGAATTCACTTTTTCTATTTGTCTTTGTGCAGGACTTCCTACTCGGGCTACTCGCAGAAGAAGCCCGACTACAAAGGGAGGGATCTTGTTGATGAGTAAGTGTTTCCTCAGAAGTCATGTGTGGACATGTTTACATTTTTTTTTCTCAGCGGCTTTAATTCAAAGCTCAGTTTTAGTGCTATTTAATAATTCTCAAACTAAATTTAAGAATACTCTTTTAGAAGGTGCCACTAACATTCTATCTTCCATATTTTCCGGACTATAAGTCGCACCAGCCATAAAATGTATAATGAGGAAGAAAAAAACATATATAAGTCGCATTTTGGGGGGAAATTTTTATTATTTTTCTTACAATATCTGAGACCAAGCATTTCACATTGCAAGACAAGTACTGGTAACAATAACAGAATAAACAACCAGGGCGCAGCAGCGCGCCACGGTCTCCAGCAGAGGATGGCGGTATTTCAAACCCTCCCAGTGGGCAGGGAGAGCTCATTCCTGGGCCGGAGCCAGACTGCTGCAGCAGGTGATGGCGGTGTTTGAAACCCTCCCAGCGGGACAGGGGAGCTCATTCCTGGGTCGGAGCCGCCCGGCCCGCAGCAGCGCAGTATACATAATTTGGTATATAAGACACAGGACCAGCCAGACTATGAAAAGTGTGACGTATAGTCAGGAAAATACGGTACTCATTTTCTACACTCATATTTCTCCTACACTGTATTTTTTAGACCCTACATGTACGACACACCGTCCAAGTACAGTAATTCCTATTTGAAAGCTACGCCCATGAAGTCTAGTCAGGAGGCTCCGAAGGCGCCCAAGTCCTCTCGCCTCATTCCTCTCTGGATCCAGTTTGTCATCTTCCTTGCTGTGGCCGTCTTCCTCTACTTGGTTTTCTCCAACATGGAGACTCCTGAATCCTTGAAAGGATTGGAATAATTTTATTGGCTTAATATTTTGGGGTTTTACACATTTATTCTGCATTTAAAATTTGGGGAATGTACGTATTTTAAACAAAGCTGAAGTTTTGGTTTATGCCGTATTTGTGATTATTTTTTTAGCTGACACTGCTTGCTTATGTCCAGCTACTTGTGAAGGTGAGAATGTCCTTTTATTATGTTTGTGATGTTCATTGCAGCACCGTGTTGAGCGCTGAGGTGGGACAAAGTAAAAAACACACACCTAGTCTCTTCTGTAAGTGTAGCTTTTAGCTCGTCATCCATTCAGGTACCTGAAGCGTGATCAAATAATCTCAAGCCAGGCTACCATTGGCTGTTGGCTTTAAAAACAAACTGCAGATTTTAATGTCAGATTCTGAATAAGAAACATTTTTACCCAAAAAAGCTTTAATTTACTGACTTTATTCATTATTAATATGACAAATTTTGTTTCTATGTGCTCAAAATGCTGTGTAAGTAGTTCACACAGACCTGATGCTTCCATGTTAATCTCATATTTGGGCCAGATTTAAAATCCAAGTGCCTTTGTGTTTTAATAATTGTCTGTAAATAGGGTTTGTGTGTTAAATAAAGGAGGGTTTCAAAGTACAAACTTATGAAAATGCACTAGAGTGGCTGTAATTGTTTACTTTACACCACTTTGTATCATCCATGCATTTTCCAAGTCTGTCGTTTGTTTTGTACTTCTTGGTTTCATAATGTAATAAAGAGCTTGAATACGGAAACATTTAAGTCATTTATTCAGGAACACAAAAATGATTTCCAAAAGTTAAATGAGGTATAAAAATAGACGGAACACAATACTGCATCGTGTTTACAAGCTGCTATCGTTCTCTAGTTTGATGCTATAAAAACTAAAGTACCTTCTTCAGTTACAGTAGATTGTCAAACTAACAGTTTGAACCAAAAAAAGCTCAGTTAACACTTAGCATTCTAATTTATTGCCACTTCTATTTGCAGACATAAGTGCATTAATGACAGATGCATAGTGTTAGTCTGGAAATACAAAAACATCCCACTGTCCTGTGGGCGAGTATGTAATTACCTAGCAAAGTGTAATTAGAGTCATTGAATCCAAAACAGTGTTTTAGCTGTTTAGGCACACAACGTCACAGTTATCCCAGTTTAAGGTTTCATAGCAGTTTTGTCACTCGTTAGATCTGAGGTGGTGGCAGTAGCCCGGTCTGAACAATGTCCTGCTGGTCCACTGAGACTTATTTTATATCGTTACTGTGGTAGATGTCAATCGTTCCCATTGTTGTCCAGGAGCAGTAGTATGAAAGATTATTACAGTCTTAGTGTTCATGGAAGTGCTGTTAGGTTTACTGTGCCTCATCCAGAATGAGTTGGTGTAGTTCCAGAAGTCACCAGCAGGGGGTGGATGATCAAGGAATTCTCTGGTTCTGCTGTCTGGATGTACTTGAGACACATTATGGGCCATTCCCATCTGTACTGGGTCGGCCCGGGCCAGGTAGCCCCAGTCGGCCCCAGCCTGGCCCGGTTGATTCCACACATCCTTGTCTTAAGCCCATGTGGGTTGGTTCTACCCACCAATCAGAGGCTTGCTCTAATGGAAGGTGTGAATTTGCTGTCAGCAGTGGGTGTGTTGGCCCTGGTCGGCCTGAAGCAGACCCCCTCGAGAAGAGGGCTGAGAATGAGCCTTGGTTGGCCCGGAAAAATACCAGGCCACCCAGATATGTAAACAACCTACGCTACCCGGCCCGGGCCGACCCGGTACTGATGGGAATGGCCCATTTGAGTCCCCTAGAATGTACACACACACACACACACACGACAGAATGAAGAAAAATAACAATGTTCACATTTAACATAAATCAATAAAAAATATAATTATTGGTGTATTTAGTTAATCTGTGATGCATTCAGATCAGATGTTCAGTCTAGTCCTGTCATGCTTATCCTAAACAACCTGATTCCTTCTGCAGATGAAAAACTGCATATTAAGCTGAGTCCTGCACAGAGCTATTATAGGAAAATTATGTTTGCTTCAAAATGTTGCCAAGCAGAGCTGATTAAAGCTTCAAAGGTAGACTGGGATGCCTGTCTGTTGTGCACCAGCTGATGGCCGAGTGCAACACACAGGTATGAAATCATCTAAGTATTCTGTTAATTTTTTATAGACAGTCAATTAAAAAAGCAAATGGGTCATATTTGATAAATACCTTTGAGTGTGTGAAGCCTTTAGATCCCATCATAGCCTGTTAACTGATACAGCAACATAAGTGTTGTCCACACCTGTAACAGAAACACGCCTGTTTACTGGAAACATAAACAGGAGGCTTTCTGGGAAAAATCATGCAGCCTTGTGATGGACAAGGGAACTTACAGGTTCTGGTTTCCCGTTCCAGTTCAGAGGGCTTCTTCTCCTTGTTGCACACCACTTTAGCTACAATAAATATAATGATGACGGCTACAACAAATGTCACTCCAGACACAAGCCAGCTGATCACCATGGGACTCAACACTGGGTCAGGATCTGCAAATAGGAGGAGTCATCTTTAAGTTTCACTCAGTTCAGATTTCTTACTTAATCTGAAAAGTACCAACGCAAACTAAAGAATCACAAAAAATGTAATAAAAATCACTCGAGTTTCTATTTTTACAGCTAACAGCCTCACCTCTGACAGCTATAGGCAGGGGCTGGCTTTCTCTGGACACGAACGTACGTCCGCCCAGTTGGACCCGATACAGGCAGTAGTAGTAGCCCTCGTTGGAGCTCTGCGCATCAGGGAAGGTGAAGGTGACAGCGTGGGAAAGGGCAGGCAGTGACTGACGCACCGTGCCGTTGGAGCGTACCAGACGGAGCTGGAAGGAACCACCGGGGTAATGCTGCAGCGTGGAGCAGGTGATGTTAAAACTCTGACCTTTGACGACAGATCCGAGTGGAGCCTCGGGGGACGTGTTGTACCAGAGCTGGGGAGTCAGGAGATCCACTAGAAAACAGGGGGGGGGGGGGGGGGGGGTTATTCAGGGCTGCATAAAAAACTAGAAGAAACTAAATAAACAGTAAACTCACCCACTGTGATGTTAATGAAATTGCTGGGCGGAGAGCTAATCCTCTGGGAAGGAAACCCACCCGTGACACTGTACTGACAGCTGTAGCTGCCCTGGTAAAAGGTTTCCACGTCAGACAGGGTGAGGTCCACTCTGATCTGGGTTGGGTCAGCTCTTTGTGTGACTAGCGGCGTGGCGATTTCATGTTTGTAAAGGTGGACGTCGCTGACGCGGTTCAGCTGCATGATGTTGCAGTAAAATCGCACCGACTCCCCGGAGGAGAACACTGACTGAGGCGACAGCAGCGACAGCCGGGGCTGAAACAGCAAACCTGAGAGCAAAGATTGGTCAATCTCAACTTTGATGGTGTTGTCACACACAAATGACAGTTGATGACACAAACTTAGGTAGCCTCACCTGTGCATTTCACACTTGCAACATTCTCATGGCTGCACAAAGAGTTCTTGTTCAGGGACAGACCACAGTGGATCAAGCTTGATTCATGCCCCGTGCACTGGACAGAGTTCAGCGCAATCACCCCGCTGCCTAAACCAAATTCTGCATTGTGAGAGGTGGATTCGGCGAATCCACAGCCCAGCTCCATGCAAACCACGTTGGCTGCACGCAAATCCCATCCGTGATCACAGACAGTCCCCCACTGTTCAAGGAGGTTTACTTCTACTATGCCAGAACAGTGATCTCCATTCACTACTCTTACCCCACCTGTGGATCAAAGAAAATTGAATCAGAGATCCATGAGCAGTCAGGAAAGGGTTGTGGGTTAGCACTGATCTCAGACTCACCATAAGCACCTAAACTAAAAGCAGCGACACCATCCCACAGGGCACCGAACAGGCCTGAGAGACAAAATGATGAACAGTGACTAGTTGTTTACAGATTATGATCCGTGCAAAACAAGAACACTAGTGTTCATTATGTATAAAGAGGCTCTGACACCAGAAGCAGATCTGAGCAGAGATTTCAGTCTTATGTTAAGTGGCCCTAAAAGGCACAACAACCCTACAACAAAAACACAACTAAAAAGCTACAAAACTGATCTGTCAGCTAATTTTGCGCTTTCATATTATTTTTATTTTTGCTGAAAAGCAAAGTTGGATGGTTTAGCATCAGTGTATGCAAGTCAATATGAAAAACAATGCTTTTTTTTACACAGCTCATCTGTAAAGTTGAAATAAAACATAACCAAGCTAAATTTCCTCCCAACCTTTTATGCTTTGTTCCTACTTATTGATCTTTTGATAAAGGATTATAATTGCAGCAAAAAAAGTTATTTGTTTATACTCTTAAAAACACAAGAACAAACATCTGTTTGATATAACATAAGTTTTAAAGAAATTTCCCCATTATTACTTAATTTTATTATATTAACTAAATAATCTTAAATTAAAGGAAAATGTTTTTTATTAGTTTAATTATAGAAATACAGCTGAAATGTATTTTTCTTTCATTTGTTTTTGGTTTACAAATGCTTTGTGTAAAGTAATAAGTCATAAAAGGATGTTAAACAAAAAATAATAATACTGAATTAATATATAACTCACTATAAATATCCAAATAATGACACTAGTAACTAGTCATTCAGACAGAAAGTTCACACTGCTTAGCGTCACCCTTTAAACTGTTCACAAATTCAACGAACAACAAACTTTATTTAGAATTTAAAAGCAACAGAAAGCGTTTAAACATCGTTTATATGTTTACTGGTTATTATCACATTGCATAATCACATGAAAACAGCAACACAAAGCTATCACTGTAGCGAGCGCGGCTAATGTTTTTAGCATACCTGTTAGCAGGATGTGCAGGAATGTTAGCATTGTTCCGTTAGGCTTCCATCAGACAGATGTGAACACAGCCTGTTGTCCTGGTGACGCAGCCAGATGCTGAAAAACATCCGATTTTATTAACACAACCAACAAAAGACACAACAGTTCGGAGGAGCTAATAGCTAACCAAGCGAATGACCGCAAGTCAAACTGCGGCGGTAAGAAAGAGAAGCTAATGGTACTCATATGAAAACATTAATAAATGCGTTCAGACTGAGTTGGGATGTCTATTTTAAACTCTACTTTACCTTCGTGTCGCTGTATTCACGTTAGGAGTTTCATTGTGGTCGTCAGTCCTTCTCCCTGCGGCAGACAGAGGTCACCACAACGCCGCAGCTCGCCCGTAAGCTCCGCCCCCTGCTTCCGGAGGCTCGACACGCAACGGGGCGTGGTTTCAAATTCAAATAAAATATTAAAAGCTATAACTATCATTAAAGTTTGTAATCAGATGCTAAAAGTGGACTAAAATCCACTAAGATCTCTCCGAGCACACAGTATTAGTTTGGAATGTTTGAATCTTTGACACCGAAATGTTAAAAAAATGTCATTTCACATTTTCTCTTCATCATGGAGAATAACAAGCACCCAAAAGACTACTGGCACAAACCAAAAGAATAAACATAAGGTTTCAAAAACAACAATGAAAAAGCCCCACTGGTTCTGTGGCTCCATGTTTTTATTGGCCTAACGGAGACCAGGTGTTGATCAAAACTGCTACAATAACTGACCAAATCTAAAACATAAATAAAAAGGAAATAAAACTAGTATAACATAACTTGTCACATGCTTGATTATATTTTTATACTGAAAATAAAAGTGATGAAAGTAAGTGCAGATAAAGACGTTTTCTTATGTGACAAAACTTGAGATATGACTGTAAATAAACCTTATCCTAGGTACATACTTTTTTTTTTTCAAACAATGTGCGTGTGTGTGTTTAAAACAACTGCTAATCAAGACATTCATGCTTTCATTACCCACAATGCAGTTGGACTAGTTCTGTTTGTGTCAGGTCAGCTTCCTTAAAACTGCACCAATAGGTTTTTCAGTTTTCCCACGTGCAGTCTTCAAGTCTAGATGATTATGACTGAAATGAACTCTTTAGGATCCAATGTTTGGTGTTTGCTTGCAGCAATAATTATAAGTTTCATGAAGCACATGTGTGTGAAAGAACCCAAAGCAGAAGACGAGCACTGTGGGTGTGTTATTAAAATATTTCCACACTAACAGAGAGTGACCTTCTAAAGAAGTATGCTTACCCGTTTTACAGGAACACCGCTTCATGATGACTCAGGATGCATTTATTTATTTCTCAACCCTTTATAGGAGCTACATCTGCCACAAACAGCAGGAAAGGGGCAAACATGTTGACTCTTGTCTTGATTCGTTATCTTGCTTCGTACACCAATGTAAAAACAAAAGTGATGTTGGGTTTTAACCGCTTCCCATAGACATCACATCAAAACATTACTTTTGGAGCCAAACCGCCCTTGGGCACTATCAGACCAGGTGTTTGCATCAGGAAGGTCACTGCTCCCTACACAAGGCTGGCCTCGGCTAGTTTCAGGAAGAGTTGGAAGAAACTTAAGTATGATCACACCCTTATTACACATTAACTATGACTGAAACTCGAAAACCTCCAAAGATACTGATTCATCACCTGCAATGCAGGAACCTTTGCATCTCCCAACTTCTTCATTTGTGTCTTCTATTGAAACAATAAAGAAAAACATCTGGACATTCTCTCATTAACAGATGTTGATGCATTTTATTAGCTAGTGGTCAAGTAAGCATCCAGTTTCTCTTCTATTGTAAAAGAGGATCATTTTCAAGTGAAACCCACAAATAAGTCAGATTTTTTTGTTATATTAATGGAAAAATACAATAGATCTCTCTGCAGCACAAGCATCAACATGAAACGGTTTATAGAACAGAAATCTCAGAGTAAGCGGTGTTGTTATAAAGCAAAATACAGCTCTATTCCTAACAATAACCCTTACCTGCCTGGTCATGTGTTGTACAACAGAAAACAAATAACTCCAGCAAATTAAAACAAAAATAATTTATTTAACATAAAACTGCTCTTCTACATAGATGACCTTTATCCACAGGATTGGAGTTTTAATCCGTAGCGTGAATTCCTGTGTTGATAACCTCCTTTTGAATTAAATTAAGTGTATAGAACTCTTTAGACAAACAGTACAAGCTGCTAGTTTCATCGCAACAGTCTGTGTAGCACCACTTCAAAAGAATATTTGTGCTACATTTTCAAACGTCCCCCGTCCAGCGTGTTGTGTGGTTTGTGTGACTTCTGACAAACAAGTCCCAGCTTTCAAACGTGTCATCACTTGGAATCTCCCAGCAGGTGGACGATGAGTTCGTAGGTGGAGAGAACGATGGCTGTGTTGGGGATTTGTCTGATTAATTGTGGAATGAGTCCTCTGTAAAAAGCTGCATAACCTTCTTCCACAGCGATTAACCTTCCTGTCTGGAAGAAATATTTATACTTGCTGCCTTCTTCACGCAGCCGTGTTCGGATGACCTCTGGAGACACAAGGTATAAAAGGTTAGTCATTTAAAATGTACTTTTCACTGACATCCGTTTGTTGTGTTCCAGACAGAGATGTGTGTTTACCGTGTGGGTAGGCTACGCAGGATGCACAACCCTTGGAAAAAGCAGCCGCCATCATCAGACTCAAGAAATCCGATGCTCCTTTGCCCTTCACGCCGTTCGGGGAGGCGAACTGGCTCTCAGCGAGGTGTTTTTTCAGCGTCTCGTAGATGAGGAAGCAGATCATGGTCTCCGAAATGCCGGCGTAGGAGGCGGTCAGGCCGCGGTAGAAGCCCCGGATTCCCTCCGTTTTGTAAACATAGCGAGCACACTGCAACGCGTTCATTTTCTTCTCTCCTCTGGCTCTGAAAGTCCAATCAGTCAGACTCATTAGTGACCAAAATCACATGAAGTGGGAACTTAACGTTTTGTTTTGTTTTTTTATCTCATCAGTCACGTGCATCACAAGACACCATGTGCAATTAAGAGACGTGTGTGAGAACCTTTTGGGAAACAAGCCATTTTGTGGTTACGAGCAGCTTTTCCCTCAGACTTAATTTAAGGAAAAAAAAATGTCCAAATAATTTGATCCTTATTCGATTATAAATAGCTATTTAAATCTGAATAAAACACCTCTCATGAAGCATTTACTCATTTCTGGACAGATATTGGGATAAAAATGTGAAACTTTCAAAAACAAAAAGCTCTTTTGGTATTTCTGTAGCAACAAACTTACAGTTAGTATTGAAAACAACAAATAGATTAGTCAGCTTTTAACAGAACCAGGAAGCAAGCAGGATACAAGATTTTCCCTGTAGTGATAAATGATTATCTAATTAACTAGTATTTAGGTACATGGTGTGTTTCCCTGCAGGACTTTACAACTTGAGATAAAATGTTCTGATGACATAAAGATGTATTTTTGATTCAATCCTAAAGTGACTAAATGTTTATCCGTCGTTAATTGTTCTGTAGGAGATTTGTTGTAATTTAGGAACAGTGGGAGCAGGCTTGTTCCTTTGACCTGACACGATACTACTGTTCTCTACTTGGTAATGTAAATATAGCCTCCAGCATGAAGGACAGAGCGTCAGCACTGCGTATTTATAAAAAGGCGGGTCACATGCTCAGTCTCCCACACTGCAGAATGGAAGGGCAGTGCAGCGAGAGGGGACACCCCTTAAAAGGCTCCTGCTGAAGGTCAAATAAACGTTGTCACATGACACCCTAAAATAAATGAGGCTAGTTTGTCACATTACAGATAAAGTAAAATAGGGCATACTTCTTCTCTAGCTGCATCCTGGTCTTCACCATCCAGATGGGATTCATCAGAGAATTTGTAACAAAAGCTGAAGGCAACAAACAAACAGTGTTATCCTTAAAGCATTTCTCATACGTGCATTAGACTGCATTACATGTGCATAATAGAAACGTGGACCAGAAACGGTGCTCACCTGCAACACCAGCTGAGGACATGTGCACCAGTCCGCTGTTTGGGACAAACAGCCGATTGAACTTCTCTTTTGACTTTGAGTAAGCAGCAAAATAAATGGCTCTGCAACACAGAAACACTGATAAGAACTCTGACACGCAGCTGCAGCTTTACACAGTTTTTCCATTAAGACTCAGTTTTTTATAATGTGAAAGTACTATGAAATTGAGTGAGTAATTTGAGCTGGTCAGTCTTTGACAGTAGGTGTCCTGTGCAATCGGTTGCTAGATTTCCCTGTTTCTCCTCTGGAACAGACCGTGACTGCACCAGAATGGACTGAATAAGCAGCCCCGTGCACAGGCGATACCCACAGCGCTGCTCTGAAGCAAGCCCGTCTAAAGACTCTGCAGCAACAGATAACACTGTGGCTACTTTTCAACCACAGAAACATTTATATGTAACCTTCTTTAGTTTCAAAGTCTGATCAACACCATATGCTGCACGTTTCAATGTTAGTTTCACCGTTTATGCTGCTTTGTTCAAACAGAGTTGTTCAATATTATCAGCAGTGAGGAAATGGGCTAAAGTCCCCCTTTTGTTGACACTAAAAATAGAATAAAGGTGAAATTTAAACATCGACCAAACACTGAACTCTTGCCCTAGATTTGTTACCCGACTCCCTCGTTCCAAATCAGCTCCTCTCTTTCCACAAACATACATGTCAGACGTTTTATGAAAACATAAATTACACAAGCTGACTCATGCTGAAAGCTGTCGCACGCGAGACCCAAACAGCTCATTAGAGACTTCGTACTGAGGCACGGGGCTCGGAAACTGTCGCTATGGCAATAATTTCCTGTTTACACAGCAAAGTGATGTTTCCAACTATGAAAAAACCTACATTCATCTTTCTTGCCTTGTGTGTGTCACGATATATGTGTGTGTGGTGTGTGTGTGTGTGTGTGTGTGTGTGTGTGTGCGTGTGTGTGGTCTTATTTGCATGTGACTTGTTTATCATTTTGAATTTCTGACCATGTGAACACATCAGAACACACAGCTTCAACACTGTTGGGATTAAGCCTGTAAAAATTAAACACTGATATTTTATTTACCTTGAAGGGGCAACACCAACAAGATTCGGTCCTAGTCCACGAAAAAGAGAACTTGGGCCCTCTTTTTCAAGAATTGATCTGAAAGAAAATAAACAATATTTAATAAATGAGTCACAAAGTAGTACCGTACTTTATTAATGTTTCAATGAGATTTTTCCCAGGATGTACTATTGGGAGGATGAATTTGCTCTTTACTGCAATCATCCCGTGTTACATCAGCTCAGTTTACTGGGTTCCAAACTGAACTTAGTGCCCTGAATAATGTTTGGCATGTCACGTCAGCCACATCCCCACAGAGAAGTTTTAACTCCTTGTAGGAAGTGACCTTAGCTTGCCACATGACGGTCTGCTTTGGCAGGAACGACCAGAGAGAAGGAAGGGCATGACTTGGTTTCAGTAACACACTCCACATTGGTCAAGCTGAGTTCATGGACTCCACTCCTCTCTGTCAAAGACACCTGACACCTCATTTCATACAAAGAAAAGCATTAAGACAACACTGACCGGTTAAAAGTTTACACTGAAACTACTGAGAAACCAGACAAAAACTGGAAAGACAAAGAAAATTTCCCAACTCTGGAAATCCCTTTTTGCAACCAAACAAAGGAAAAAGAAGTCTGACTAAAGATCTGAAATTACTAAAACATATTCTGTAGGGTTGAAAGATCACTTTTGCCAACACTGCAGAAGCAGCCGACGCCAGTCTAGACCGGTTCTGTGTCTGAGCCTTGTGATCCTAGTGCAACATGACACTGACCCTGTGCCACGAGTAATCCCTTCCCTTCTTCCCTCTCAGTCGAGTGGGACAGTTTCTACTCCTCACCAAGAAATCTCAGCAAACACAGGAAGGGTGCACGTTTATGGACATCATAATGTTTTATCCAAATTTGGAGAGGTGATGAAGAGATTCGTCTCAGCTCAAACGGCTGGAGAAAGGCACGAAATATGAGCAGCGCATAGTGGACTTTATATGGGAGAAATAATAGGAAAGACAAGATTACTCCTCAAAAGAACAGAGCACCCCCCCCCCCACCCCGGACAAAAAATATAAAAATCCCACCGTTGCTAAATGAGAAAAATCTCCTGTGGTATTGTGATGGCAGGATAGGTAGGCAACTAATGCAAATACATGTCGTTTGCACACAATACTATTCTCTAAATGGCAAAGTAGACAAACAGAATGCCCCAGCTGTCAGGAAGGAACACTTTGTCCCATTGTTAATAGGCAGAAAAATACAACATCTCAAGGGAAAGCCTCAGAAAACGCTGCATCACTGTGAACCCAACAGCAGCACAAAGGATCATCTTACCGTAAAACCTGCAGCAGCCCAGGACTAACTGTCCCAGGTCGGATGACTCCAGTGCCACTGAGAGTGCCCAGCTGGACCTGGAAGACAGGCCGGAGGGCGAGGCCAGAGGACTGCAACCGCGTCTTCAACACCTCCAGCGGGCAGGTCACGATGGCCCCCACTGTTCCACTACATCTGCAATTTGATCACACAGAAAAGAAGATGAGCACTGAGGTTTAAAATATTTATATATTTCAAAATTTATACACTAGTGTAAAGGGCTTTGGAGTCCTTACTCTGAGAGGCGCTATAAAAGTGCGGGTCATTTATCGTTTAAAAGTTTCAATCACCTTCTTAACGTTGCTCACTGAAGCTCTGACAAGAGGGTTTTTTTCCCTCTTATCACAGCACAGCTGAAGAGCTAGAGCAAGAGCACTGAACAATTATGGTCAAAAGTTTCCTCACTCTGCTGTGGAAACAATTCAGCTAAATCAGAACACATCTGGCAGACAGGGATCTTTATCTCAGACACGCATGGGTGGACAGGTCTTTTTGCCTGAGGAAGAGTAATCTTAGAGACGTACTTAGAATTCTGGAACAGGTTAAACTAAGCCTTTGTACTGAGTCATGTCTGAAGAACAAGGCAAACATCTTAGTAAATGCAACACCTGACCCAATTACTTATTCACAGACTATTCCACCATCTATTTACACCTAATTAGGTTATGGAAATATTAGAAAAAACATGCCAAGTTGGACGTGTTGTGGTCATGAAATCTGATATGATATTAGCTGTGAAAATCCCTTATCAGTAACAAAAAAAAATTAAATCTGTAGTTTTTCTAGCATGATCTTGAGTCCTTCAAGTCCATTCATACTAATGATTTAATTCCCCCTCTCTTAAAATCCACTTTCAGGTGTTGGATCTGCCACATTTTCTCTTTAATACATGCACAGAGTGCTGCAGTGTAACTTTCCCTGTCAAGCAGTAAATAATGCAATTTCTGTTAACTGAAATAATTATTTTTATATAAAGAAAATCACAAAACATTTTGTTATATAAAATAAACGCTATTTTGTAAAACTTGCAGAACCAGGGCCACAAACAGCAAGAAAGATTTTTACTGATGACAGGCTCATGTGCTGATGAACCGTTACATGTGAAGGGATGATGCAACGTGTAGTTAGCCGAAAATCAAACTTTAATTATGACTTAAATAATACATTGCTTTTTGTAATTCAACAGTTTCACGATAGATGGTTTCGTTAATTAATTTATTTTGGGTTGGTGTCCAGCTGCTAGCATCAGCATCATAGATGCTAAAGGAATTCGCAGAACTTAGCTTCAATGTTACATAACAGTGAAGGGCATCCTGCGGCTAAAAGCTAACTAAAGCTTAGACTGAGCTAAAATCATGTTCAATGAAGATGTGAGGCAATCCGTCTCTTGAGTCTCAATGTTATGAAATATAGTATATGGTCATATTATGTTAAATAAACCCTAAAGCCACGTGCCAACTAGCATATCTCGGCCAGTAGCGATAGCCTGTTTGCTAGCTAGCTAGCGGCGTCGATAAAGGATTAGCCAACTTCCGCATGGATGTGGTTAGAAACCGGCCGGTGAATTAAATCGAACATTAGAAAGTTGGTCAAAATGTGTTATGTATACCATCAAACGTTAACAATTTCATTCTCCAATCTGTAATACATCCACACCGAAATGAACAAGAAACAAAGACTTTTGATTCAGTTGAAAGCTCGAGCCGCGCTAACACGAATTAGCTTTGCAATTTCACATCGAAGCTGGAGGCTCTAGTTGTGACGCTGAGAAAATATTTTTAAAAATCTCTATGTAAAAAGCTACCAATGCTCGATAATTTTACTGTAATTTAACCTTTAAGTGCATATTAATGTAAATGCGCATCATTTAAAGTGACTTACCCCCCGGCGAAGAGATGCAGTAGCGTGTCTTTTTGTGGCATCTTTCTCCCTTCTCAAATAGCCACCATAGTTCTAGTTTTCTATTAAAACCGTATTAAGTCACAGAGATGTTTTACAATCTTAATGTCCTACTGCTCATTTTTAGCCGTCTATTTCCCGGTATAAGTAAAACCACGAGAGCAACGGCTAGTGATGGTGATGAGTCTAATGTGCCAGGCAAAAGCCCGGCAGCGGGGGTGAAAAAGTCGTCACGTCATTACGCAAGAGGGCCGGACGGGGGTGTTGTCCATGACGCAAAAGCATGCGTTAGCCACCTTGTGTCTTTGGCCTTTTTCTATATTGCTCAATTGAAGTACCCACACCAACAAAGCTGAAAACAGCCTGAGCAGACTTTGATCTTCTGACCTTCACTAGTTTTAGAACATAATAAAGGTAGCTCTCAGAATAAAGCAGAGGATAATCTAAAAATGTTATCAATCTGATTTGTTATGATTATGATACAATCAGTGACAAAGAACTACAAATCTACACAGTCAGTAGATTGTACACTTTTTTTGTCAAACAGCTATTAGGTAAGCAGGTGTACCAATACTGCACCAATTTTCTTGTGTTCGGGAACTGAGAAACCCCACTACTACTTTTGAAAGCATCTCTTCTTTGATCCAGGACTTCAAAGACTTTAAAATTCCTGGTTTCTTTTGTGCTATCTGTAATCTATTACATAATGTGACTGATGTGTCCTTTGAAAGACATATATTGATTGGTCAGTCAACTATATTTGTACCTCCTGAACTATTTCTCACTACTGAGTCATACAGCTGTTATGATGTGCATGCTTGGTGTGATTTGATTATGCCAAAAAGGATAACATTTTCTGAGATGCCAGGATGGACGCCATATACATCAGCGTAGACCAACGTAGACCAGGTTTCTTTGATGCAGGTCATTGACGCTGGGTTTACTTGTGACTGACCAGTCAGTAGTCTGATCGCTTATTTTTAATCACCTGCTACAGAAAGATTAAATATTTGTCCTTGTGTGTATGTTTGCTAGTTAAATATTTCATAAATTACTTGATGGATTTAAATGAAACAGGGCATTCAGTTTGGACTAGAGTACAAGTTGATCTGGGAGCTTATCTCTTACCCTTTATTACCTCCTGTTGACATACCAGCTTCTAGAAATCTCCCATTAAATTCTTTACTTGGAATCAGAAAAGCTAGGACATAAAAGTAAAAAAACAACTGTGCTTTTATGCTTTGCAGCAGGAAAATCTACTTATCAACAAATTATCATATCAACATGACTACTACTTAGTTCAGAGCTTTTTAATCACTGGCCATCTTTCCCCAATAAACTATCAATGTGACTTCTGTAGAAACATTGCCCGTTTCAAGAAGTAAACAAGCAACACTTTCCCCTTAATCAAACCTAAATGGTTTGGGTAGTTAAACCTGAGCCATTGTGCAATCTTGTCAGACTAGATGCACCTACACCTGCCCTGTTTTATAATGCAACAATGTTGTCATGCAGCAGGGTGTAGATGTAAAACACCATCACTGGGCATTAGTCTGAGTTCAGAAGTTTGGTTTTATTTGTGTTGATTGTTTCTATAGAGGGAGTATGTTCTGAGCGGTTTTACATAACAAGCAGGGTGTTGTTTTCCATCGTACATGCCGACATGACTGATCTAATTTAGAAGTGATTTGAACTCTGACAGGAGGTACCACCCCTGCACTCTGGTGTAAATAGACTCAGACACATCACATTTCATTTTGATAGGTTTAAGTTAAGGTCAAAGAGGTGAAACCGATCAGCTTTCCTAAACATAAACAGAAATTTGCCCAAGCATTTTATATATTTGACAGCTAAACATGATACATTCTGATGCATTTATAGCATCAAAATGTTTCTAATTCTTCTTCTGCAGCATGAGCACACTCATATTAATGCTTTAGTTAGAAGTTAAGTTCTCATGCAGATAGGTTTTTAAAATGCTGACATCCAGTGACTAAACATGCAATGTGCAGCTCAGGAGGGGAAAAAAATGTACTCGTCACCTCCTTTAAATGAATCTCATTTGATTTCTAGTGTCAGTTTCACTGGATGGTTTTGTTTTGGAACATCAAGTCCTGCAATGTTTTCATGTTACGTTGAGTTCTCTTTGCTTTCAGAAAACTGGGTTTTATTTCCTGCAGCAGCTGCTAACTAATCCGGAGTCTTATGTAAAAAGATAAACAATCACAGTTTAAAATGTCTCTGTTTGTGCATCCATGTCCAGGAATACTGCGCTGCAGTTTCTCTCACTGATGCATGAACCGTTTCTATGCATTTTACTGCAAAACCTGAACAGAAATGGTTACAAGTTTGAACACATTCAACTGAAACTTAAGTATCCTTGAGGGAAAAATATTAAATTTACGCATTTACTTTCTCTGCAGCAACTGTTAATAAATTTAAATATCTAAGTATTTAGAGGTGTCCTACAATTTGTATAGTTTTATGTAAATCTGGTTATTCCTGTATCTTATTTTTGACATTTCATAACTTCAATATACATTAAACAGATTTAAACAGCATTTTCCAAAACAGCTATAGACATTAGTTAAAAAACAAATCATGTTCTGAATCTGATGAAAGCAAAAAGTACATTTCACCAACCTAGTGACAGCAAACACATGTCCAATGATTACATAACAGTGACCTGAGATGAAGCACAGATCTGCCTGCTGTCAAAAACGAAGTCCTCATGTCTGACTGACCGTCATGAGGCTCGGTGCCATTTGTGGACAAATAGAGCTCTAGGGATTTCTGTTGTAAACAGCTGCCCGTATAACGTTATTTATTGCTGTAAATTTACTTTTGCAAATGTTTTACATGGTTAACAGTGTGACTGAATTAAATCACCTTCACAACCACTTCTGAACAAAGGGTGGGTCCCAATAAAGCTGATTCCAGGTCTGTTCATGTTTGACTAACAGTTAAACTTATACATGATCCAATCAGGTTTTCTGGCAATAGTTTGCATTTGGTAAATGTATGTATTTGGCCTGTATTTGATATAGCACCTTCTAGAGTCCTGGAACCCCCCAAGGGGCTTTACAACACAATCAGTCATTCATCCATTCACACACACATTCACACACTGGTGGGGATGAGCTACAATGTAGCCACAGCTGCCCTGGGGCGCACTGACAGAGGCGAGGCTGCCGAGCACTGGCGCCACCAGTCCCTCCGACCACCACCAGCAGGCAATGTGGGTTAAGTGTCTTGCCCAAGGACACAACGACAGCGACAGACTGAGCGGGTCTCGAACCTGCGACCTTCCGATTGCGAGGCGAGCACTTAACTCCTGTGCCACCGTCGCCCCACATTTAGTTAGCTTTCTAGGGAAGAGCTAGCTAAAAAACAATGAAACATTGAACAGTGCACAGATAATTTGAAACAATTAATCTTTAATAGATACTTGGAAACAAATCTACAACAAGGAATACAAATCAAATGGAAGCTGCAAGCAAAGAAAAGAAAAAAAAAACAAGTGTAGCACAAAGTGCCCACATTCAACTAAGCGTTGAACATGCACCACTTGTGCACATTTAAAATATTCTAGACAGGCTCAGGAAACAGCGGGTGACAAAATGTTGGCAGTCTGGATTTCTTCGGAGTATATTTGTGCAGCACTTTGTAGATTGTCATTTTGTGTCAATATGGTGCTATAAAACCAAAGCTCAGCAACTCATTCCATGAATAATCATGAACACAAACAGTTCTCACTTGTCTGCCAATGAGCCCCGAGAGTCAGCCATCACCGGCTTTCCCCTTATTCTCTAGTTTAATATGTGCAAACCAGTATCTAACTGGTGGGGGGACCCAGAGTTTAAAAACGCTCTTGAACCTCAACAGCGTGTGGTTGAAAACTATTGTACTTTAAAAAAATAATAACTGGATAGAAATTATAAAAAATGTAGTTTTTTTTAGAGTTTCCTGCAAATGCATGTTAATAATCACAGTGAGTACATCTTTATGTAAAAGAACACCAATGTCATTCCTTCCAGATGGCAGCTGAAGGGACACTTCCACCTCACAGAGAAACCCAAGTGCAGCAAGTGGTCAGTGCATTCATCCACGCTGCACTAAGAGGTTCTCTCTAAAATGGTCAGCATTTTGTTGCATTGTGTTAACAGTGAATAGAATTTATTTAAAAACATTTTTTAAAAAACAAATCAGGATCTTATGACAGTGCTCAATTTGAGGTGATGCACTGTTGACTTGAGGTTGCTGCCACCTTGTGGTCTGATAACAACAGTGCAACTACTGTGTCAACATTCCAAGTTCAGCTTACACATCAGTATCGTCTCATTCAATATCTTATTTTTCAAAGGCTACAAGACAGGAATGCATAAATGAGAAGTCTGGAGGTTACAGCAGAGGCATCGAGCGCTTATTAACCTGCAAACTGGAGGTGGTTCACCAACACGGCGACTGTCTGGGCATCAACTGGGTCGGTGTGTGCATAGTGCTTAGTGATTCCTGATTTTTTCCCCCCAAAGTTAGAGAATTTCAAAGAGTCATAAAAACAGAATAAGAACCTTTAAAGAAGTCTAGCTGCTGACGGAGAAGTGTACTTGCAGAATCACGCCTGGAAGCTTGAGTAATGCTGCCAAACGGGTCAAACCCACGACGATCCCAGAGAAAGATGAGGCGGAAACAAAGGACTGCCAGTGTGTTGTGAGCGTCAGCGTCGTCATCATTGGTAGAGCAGGTAGTTCTTGAGTGAGGCTGGGAGGGGTAGTCTATGGATTTCACCCAGGCGCTCTCTCCCTAAAGCCACCCTCACAGAGCGCCTGCTCAGGTCCATCAGTGAGAGGGGCTCAGCTAGAGGGACACAAGAGGGAGATGAGTGAAGAATGGAAATGGCTTTTATTTCTGTAACCCAGTTTAAAGAAATACACATTAGAATGCATCATTAGTTTTTTAAAAAAGCAATAATTATTTTTTCCCATGAATGTTTTAAAATCTGATATGTTATACAAGCAGACTGCTCACACCAAGTCATCAAACATCTGGTTTGGCTTCCTCAGTTACATAGTAAACAAAATAAGCAGTTTAAGATCATCAGGGAAGCTAAATTTAGACTAGGCACACATCCAAACTTTACAGTGACAGAAATGCTTTGCAAACTCAATAAATCTATGGCAAGGCAAATATTAGTTTTAAATGTTTGAACTGACAAAAGCTTTTAAAAACATACTTGCATCTCTGCCTTGTGTTTTAGCAGCAACACAAATACATTCAGAACTTAAGAAATCACATTTAAATGAGCTAAATAAGCCTGGCTAAGAATGCGACCCTTTTCAGTTTTGTCACATAAGACGAAGTGTGCAGTTGGCAGGAAAAGTGCAGATCAGAGGAAGACACACAAGCGCATCGTGTACAAGTCTTTTGGTTGATGAGCTAGAAAAGACACGCAGGAAGTAAGTTGTTTTCCCAGCTGCAGATTTAGACGCAGGATACATTAGTCAAGCTGTCAGATGAAAGCGTTGGCATGTCTTTTACTGATGATGAGGAGGAGGAAGAGAAGAGCAGAAGCTACGAGGGTGTGTGTTTGTAACAGCCTCAGAGTTTAGAGACTTGACTCAGAACAAGTAACTCTCAGGCCTCACTGAACAGGTTAAATTCAGGTCAGTAAGAGCCATTCACCACAAAGTTAATCTAACTCAACATAGCCTGCGATAAAACCTTAGTGACTGGAGTAGTTGTGCACAAACAAGTCACAAAAATGTAATTTCATTTTTGACAGAACGTCCTGCTCTACAGCCAGAGGCAAGAAGATGTCTCAAATCCAACCAAAGCTGGCTTTTGTGAATAAATCATCATCTGTGGAGCCTCGTTTGAACAGATACAAACTAGGTCAAAGGATCTGAGCTGAACATTAAACTCTGATGAGCACAGAGCACCAGGGAGGAGCAGTGGGGTAAGACAGGGTCTAACAACGAACCCGTGTTTCCTGACCGAAAGCTCACGTTGCATTCACCGATAAATAAATGGGATTATTCCATTTGTAGTCATTTTATATTAATCTTAGGGATAGCAGGCAGCTGTCAGAAAACAGCTGACATGTATTATCTTATGTAACAGGGGGACATCATTTATCCTGTTTAGAAGACAGGACAAAACACCCTTTTCTTGATGGATCTTTTACCCCCCCCCCCCCCCCCCCCCCGAAAATCCTATGTGGCTACACACTGGCTTATAATAGAGTACATCTCGATCAGTGTACAGATTTATACTTACGATCGAGTCCATTTATGTACCGGATTCGTATTTCACAGTGTCCCCACACGGCGCTCACCACTGGGTACAGCTTTTTGCCTTTCAGTCCTTTAAATGCCACACCGAGATAATGTCCATCCACTAAGTAACCAAGAGTCCCCTCATCCATGTCCAAGACCACTAAGAAGGAGTCTGGTATGATGAAGGCGTCTTCTGGCTCGAGGAAGGCTGGGTATGGCTTTCCTGGCACATTTTTACCGTCGTGGTAGAGTTTACTCCGGCACAGGTCCCAGCCCCAGGACTCTGCGTTGCTTCCTACCAAAGCTGTGTAACCCACAGAGTGCAGCGGGGCGTCACTTGTTGCCACTCCAACCACCGCGTGCGTGCCCCTCTGACGCATCGCCCAGTTGATCTCCCACACGTGCAGTCCCCTCGTGTAGCCAACGCGTCCCCGGATGGCGTCCGTGCTCTGTGCCACAGGGTGCCTATGAAACACCAGCTTGTTGTCATCCTTGACAAAGACATTGAGGGACCGGTCATTGTTGTTCCATGAGTTTTGGATCTGGACATCTGGGCCGGCGGGCGGCATGTCCAGCAGCAGGTCCAGTCGAGACGGCTTGGTGTGACTCAGGGCCTGTAGCTCCAAAGTCAGGGGGCTGAACGCCGGGTCCCGCATGTCAATGGTTTTAATGCCACCTGGGACTTTCTGCCCCATGCTCCAGGTGGTTGTAGAGCTCCTCCTGCCCCACCTCCTATTCCTCCCCCCTCCTCAAAGACAACTGGGGGGAGTGGTGAGCCTCAGACCTTCCTTCTCCACCGTGCTCCAACAGCCTGAGATGCAAGTTGATCTGCCAGCGTTTGACGCAGGTCACCAAAGTAAGATGAGGGAAGTTTTAAGGCCTACCTGGAAATTTTACAAATGAAAGCAGATAAAAGATGTTAATATAACCGACCAGGCCTTCTGCATCAAACTCTTACTAGCCTAACATTACAAACAGTTATCATTTAAAAGGCAGCAACATAGAACATCAGCTGTAACTAAATCAGTCAACTGTAACTAAAAATGTTATGGTACATGTTCATATTATACAAGCACTGAATCCAGCTCCTGAGTGACAGCTGGAGATTAACTTCAGGCCTCTGCTTAGCCTTTAAAGTGTTTTTGTTCTCATGTGATTTTCAGAGTTATGAAAATCTTAAGTGTCTTATATTTTAAACCTAAAGTCATATCCCAGAACAGATTTATATTAAAACCAGGAACATACTTATGTGTTGAGCAGCTAGAAAAAGTAAATCACATGGATGTGTTCATTTCAGTTTTTTCCAAAGTGTTGAACTATAATCTGGAAAAGCATGGCAGTATGGCCTTGCTTGTTGCTTCTGTCACTTAAATGTCAAGTTAAGCCAACCAAGACAGACAAGAACAACAAGTTTCTATTATCAGTGAAATGTCGGTTCAAGTATAATAGACTGGATTATTGACTAAATAGAACAGCCTGTTTCAGATTTAACTTAAAGTGAACAGTCTAAAAACGTCTTAATCCAGTATTACCACCATTTTATAATGTTCTATTAATCATCTGTTAGCTTGATGAGAGTCCCAACTTTAGGTCAACATTTACCCCAAATGGACACACTTGACTGGGAGTCAAGACACTGTCTCGAGATAAAATACCAATATAAACCAAATTTTACTTTATGCTTTAGAGCAATAAGTCAGGAGTTTTACTTTTGTAAAATTTGGTTTTCCCTAAAATAACCAGGGGCAAAAGCTTGATAAATTAAATTAGTATGATTTCTCAGATGGTACTGATATGGTTTCATCACAACAGGACTGTTGACATTAAGACTTTTTTTTTTACAAGAAAAAAACTCAAAGCTTTGAATGAATCCATCTTCATATTTTCCTTGTAAGTGATTCTTATGCTGCTTCTCTTGATAAATCAGAGACAAGAAAAGATAAGAATGTTTATGACGTCAGCTGATCATCAAGGCTGCAATAACAAGCTTGACACACTGGCCCAGGTATACCAGGGGTTCATGGGTTATGCTTAAGAGGAAAACACAGCTAGATTGAGGTAAAACCTCAGCGTCACAGAAATTCAAAACCTATTAAAATAGATCACACCTGTATTAAGCAGCAGTGTTTAAATTATGGGAAATTAGACCCCACTTGTTAATATAATTCTATAAGCATCGTTTAAAAAAGAACTGTTATTGTACAGAAACGTATTAAACTTACCACCCAAAGTAAAACCGATTTAAAATAGAAAATTAGTCAATGACAGATGTTTTTTGGTCACTGTACAGCAGTGACTACAAACAATGTTGTGTAACATGGAAAATTGTGCTGCTGGGAAGGCCACTCTAATTAAATTGTAGACAAGAGTTCATTGAGCAGTGCCTTGGCTCTTCTTCTAATGCAAGTAAACAACCATTTAAATGGGTCATGTCTCTCAGTGATTGGAAAGCAGGAGAGAAGAAAAAGCCTGCAGTGGGTGGCCAGCATCTAAATGTAAATAATCTCCTTTTCAATAGCTGTCTGGCGTTCAGGAAGAGTGAAACATATTAATTTGCACAGCCTTTGAGCTGATACTTCACAATTCTTCCTCCCCTTACAAGACGCAAAAAAATCAAAACAGAAGAATATAAAGTGATAGTTTTAAACAAGCATGACCTTTAGAAGTATGAAAAGGTTTCTTGTGGAGGATAGTGTTTTGGGGGCTAAAAGCCAGGCCTGGGCTGATCAGGGTTCCTGGGGCCCTGGGTTGCTTTGAAGCTGATTGAAATGCAAGAGGAAGGGCTCACTAGATCTGCTGAGCCACAGAAACACTTGTTTCTCATTTAAGGCTCAATTTAGACTTGGCCCACCTGAATTAGCTGCTTGTTGACCAGCAAAACAAATGAGTCGATGCTTACTAAAAAACCAAGTTTAGTAGACTCTTTCACATGCTTTTGTCTGTTTGATCAGGAGCAAAAACATAACCCGTATAAAAACAGTGACCTTCATAATGTTTTTTTAAGTGAGCGTTCTGAGGTTTATTGTGTCGATTAGCCGTTTTGTGTTAAGCAGCTGTGGTTTTAGGAGTCACTTTCAGTCTACCCTCAACACAGAGCATTGAAATAACACCAGAACTCATCGTTCACGTGAGGTTAAACGAATGTTTAGGTTTAAAAGTGAAACATTTGAGTCAATGTTGGCACAGGCCTGAACAAATGTCCTTTCGTTGGAACACAAAAGGAAATTCCTGTGGAAAACAAAAGGTGTTAGCATCTTTAGGCCTACTAGCCCATGAATTGAATTGAACGTTAGCATAATCGGGCCGGAGGCTCTCGCGGGCTCCTCCGGACTCGAGGGCCATCCACGCGCGGCTCGGGGCGATCTGCTGTCGGTGTGAATGCTGCCCCAACAGCTCGACTGCGTTTAAAACGTTCGTTACACGAGAAGAAGAGAAACATTAAGCGTCGCTGTGTTAGCAAAAACAAGCGACATTAAGCTAACGTTAATGTGTCGTGGAGACGAAAACAACGCGGTAATTAATGACTGCGTCCACAATGGACATCCGGACAGTCAGAGCCGTTCACAGCTGCTGTTGTTTGACACCAAACAGATGAGAACAGAAACACAAAAAGGAAAAACAAACGCATCGGCAGCCACATTAATGAACGTAAAGAACACAGACAGACCTGGTAGATGAGGAGGTGAAGTAGAGACCAGGGTTCCGCTTCAGTGTTTCACTCTACTTCATCGTGGTTTCCCTTTGCCTGGTCGTTCCACCTTTTTACCGTTAGAGCCCGACATGAATTAGGTGAATGGTGATGACTGCTCAAACATCACTCGCGTCACGTGGTCAAATGCTCCCAGCTGCTTCAGCAGATTAGGACCTCCCCGCGAATCTGCAGCCAGACGGCCTGTTCATGAGGGTGATTTCCGGTTTGCGTCTCTCTACAAACAAAAATAGATAAACAGCAAACTACCTAAACATTTGCAATGATGTTTAATACCAGACAGAAAGGATAATAATGAATAATAATACACTGATTCGCTTGGGTTATTAAACAAACCTTTTGTTCATTTTCTTTCTAAATTTGTAAGGGAAAATATCTCATAAAATCCACTTTTCTGCACAGAGCAACTCTTGCCAGCATCTGACCTGAAATCTAAGGTTACGTGAGTCAAACATGATTAAACTGTTTAATGATCTTCTTGGTTTAGTTTTAGTTTGTTTCCACATCAGTCAGTCTTGTCTAGAGAAGATCCAAAACCAAGTTGGTGAAAGGAAAACTGATTATTAAAACCTTCTAGTCTTTTACAAACACACAAACATCATGTGATCCATATATACGTAATATAACCACACCTGTTCCAGCACTATTTTGTAACTCAGGCTGCCGGTTAGACCTTCTAGTTTCTGAAACAGTGACCTTTGTGAATTTAGTAAGCGGAGGGGATCCACATGGAACACTGCTGTTGACTTAGTCATGCTGAAGTGCCAGACACACTGAACCCAGAGAAACATCCAAATCATCTTATTGAATTGGACTGAACGGGATGACTCACGCTGCACACAACCTTCATGTTCAGCTGGATCGCTGATACAGTCACTTTTTATCTGCTATGCTGGTATCTTAACAAGGAGAACTCCAATACAAAACAAAGTTCGATCGTGAGTGGAAGAGAAATGAAATAATGACCTACGTGGATGACTATGACCTAAATAGTTTTGCTGGAAGATAACCTATGCAGCAAAATTCAGGTGAATGCTAGAAAAACTAAGACACTGTTGCCATCTAGTGGATTATATGAAACACACACACACACTGCCTGAGCTTCACCCTGAGACCCCACCACCACCACCACCACACACACACACATGCACTTGTGCACACGCTTACACACCTCTGAACACATTCAGAGTTAATATTTAGTTCTTTAAAAATACAATAAATGTTCATTTTTATTGTGAGCGAACAGGAATAATGAACTGATGTTTGGTTAAATGTTCTCATTTCAGTGCCCTCTCACTCTCAGACCTCATGCTCATCTTTGCATTTGTCATATAAATTATCTGTGGCAGGCACTGGGATTAAATAGACCTTTGAAAATGACCTTATTTGTCCAATGTGCAAAGCCTCTGAAGGTAACTTGACTCATTTTACACCCTTGATGAGGAACATGGCTTGGCGACTTGAATTACCTTCCACTCAGCTCGTCTCCCATTGAAAATCCCATTTTCCCATGCAGAGATGGTGCAATGTGCTGAGCTTGGGGATGTCTCAGGACCACTCCACGGCAGAGGAGGGGCATACAGACATGCTTACTGCCTCCCTTTTAGAAACCATGGTTTCAGCAGGATCGATAGTACGTCCCACTCCACGACTGGCAGAGTGCGCTGCCTTTATGAGGGGGTTGGGGTGTGGGGAGGTATGCATGGACAGCTGCAACTAAAGCAAGTCTGAGCAATGCATGCAGTCAAGGTGAATGATCGTATGCTGCATCAGACACTCTGCTACCCGCTTGCTCTCAGATGCAGTTTGTGAAGAAGACCAGAGGGTGGATGCTGCCTTCAAGTGGTGGATGCAGTTGCAGGCAGCGCACGGATGAAGCTTTTGAACTGATCTCAGATCTAGTATCTGCACTGACTCACAAACAACAATGAATAAAGACGAGCAACAAATGCATCTTCAGGCTACTTTCATGAACTCATTGACTGTTTTTACATAGATTCATGCTGGAGGTGAGAAGAAAATCTATGGTTTCAGTGTTTGGCGTGTAATCTAAGATGTGCACAGTTCAGCTCTGTAACGGAGATATCCTTACTCAGCAACAAAAACCATCGCTTTTGGTTCCTAGTGGAGTTAAGGAAATCATTCCTTCTAGGAATCCTCACCAGTTACTGTTTAATTGATGTGGTCAAGAACAAAATCTAATAGGTTTTCTACAAAATATTATACAATTTTCTTATTTTATAGATAAATGAATACATAAAATAGTAAAAATGTTTCACAATTTTCAATAATTTTAAATCCAATATAGTTTTTTTGGTTTGGACAAACTAATTAAATAGATTTAAACAAAATAAGCTGAAAATGCCCACTTTTGTGAACACAAACGTGCCCTTTTATTTAAACTGACTTTAAATATTCAACAACAAAATAAAAATATATTAATTTTCACTCAAATCACTTCAAATAAAATCCATGCACTTCCGTTTAAATCTTCAATAAAATGAAAACAAGCTGAATGAGAAGAGTATTGGTGTGTGTCCACTCACTCTTTTAATCGTTTTCTAGTGTTTATCAGATTTTTAAATAGTGTGACTTTAAGCGGAGCTTTTGCTGGTTTAGAGTAAAAGCGCATCAGTTAAGGGAGGTGAACCACTGCAGGGCAGAGGGATGTGGACGGGACAGGATGTGGTGCAGTACAAGCATCCCCCACTGCTCAGATCGCTGCTCATTTGTCAAGTCGCCCGCAGACTTGAATGGTGCATTGCTGCTGAAACACAGAGAGGCAATCAGCAGTGGAACAGCACACCTCATCCAACTAGGAGGGGTTCGAGGTGGAGGAGCGCCTCCTTGGCCCACATGCAGATAAGGCTTTTTTTATCCACAACGTATGCTCAGAAACCGTTTAGCTGCTCATTAATCTGTTTGGTTAATATGAGGGAATATACTAAGCTCTTTGTAAAACCTCAAAAACAATAAAATGTGTTTGAAGTCACAGGCGTAACGCCAACAGAAATAATCCAGGAGGCCGGCGGACTCTTCCCATCCGTCACTCAGCAGTTTGGCTCATAAACACTCGGGTCGAGGTTCTCCTCCCTCCACAAAGCAAAGAGAGCTTCTACGTCCAGCTCAGCAGTGGGCTCATCAAAAAAAATCTACTATCTTACCTCCAGTCTGACTCATCAGGTAAAAAAATGAAATGGAGCTGGACATAACTGAGGTGCAATTAAAAACAAGATGTCACATCATACGCTACAATCTGCCCATATCCTGGTAAAAAACCAATTGTGGAGGGAAATCCTGTAAAAGAAAACCTGGGGGAAAAGATTCTTGTGGCATAAAATCAGATTTTATTTGGTGGATTTGCTGTCTGAGTGGTGAATTAGAAAATAGATTTTTTTTTTTTAGAAACATTCATGATTCGGTTTTGTTCATCAACACTAAATAATGTAGAATATTTTAAAGTAATAATAATTAACACACTGAATTAAGAGAATCTGAAATAATGGCTTCTACTCTACAGAAAAAACTCTACATCAGTGGATGAATGTTCGTTATTCATCCTTTCACTCCAAACCAGTTCCTCCCTATTTGCCCTTTTTATTTAGGTGAAAACGGTGCATGTGTCAGGATTGAGCCCAGAGCCGCTGCAGCTGCTAAACTGCATCAGAGGAACGTTCAGCCGTCAGCAGGGAGCTCTGGAGAAGCTGTGCATTGTCTACCTTTGTGCCGGACCTGGTTGTGACGGTAACAAGCAGCAGTGGTGAATGTAGGCCAGGAGTCAACGCTCTCCTCCAGATGACACAAGCCGCTGTGGAGGATGTGCGACAGCGCTCCGAGAGCCTGGAACGACGAAGACAACGCAGCAGTGAAAAAGACTAAAACAACAAGCAGCTAGCCCTCTGGGGGATCACAACTAAATCAAGATTTAATTAAACCCAAAGTTATGTCATAATCCAGCAGGAATGTACTTCAGCACTGAGGTCCTTTTTTCTGGTTATAGTTAAATGCACTATTGTGCTTTAGTTAAACAAGTCAAGTTCACTAGAGTAATTTAGCATTCAATGCACATATAATCGCTTTAGGAACACAAATTCTTCATGCAGATTTATTTACCTGGCCTTGAGCTCAGGAAATAATCTGGAAAAATAATAAAACCACCTGCCATTTTTTCTCACATTGCTTAGGGGAGCTTTAAATGAATATCCTATCTAGGTAGTGTACTACTCTAGGCTACTGAGCCATTCTGCTGCAGTTATAACTGGTGTGTGTGTGTGTGTGTGTGTGTGTGTGTGTGTGTGTGTGTGTGTTGGGCTTTGCTACAGAGCTGCTATAGAGACGGGTTGGCGGCTGCTGACACTGCCAGCTGACGGAGCTGCTGCTCATTCACCACAACAGAGCAGCCAGCTGTCAGGAGTTCAGCCGCTCTCCATCACAAACCCTTTACTACCATTCATCCCACACTGGAGGAGGAACTGGTTTTGATGCTCAGTCTTCACGTATCAAGTTCTGTCTTCAAAACAAGATCTTTAATATTGTTGCAAGAACTGTTGGTGGAGAAAAACATAATTTCATAGGACAGAAACAATATGTTGACACCAATGGAATAAAAAGCCATCTGGACGTTGTTATGCTTTTCAAAAACTGAGAATCTGCTCATACAACCCTTCCGGTGCGACCACATTTGATTAGTTGTCTTTTTACCTCCAGTTGGCCTTGAGAGAAATCTGCTCAGCTTTACAGAATGAGGTCAGCAAAGAAGCACTGGTGCAGTGAAACACACTACACAACTTTCTCTGCAAAGTCAGGATCCCATCATTCAGTCTATCCCCGCTTTTTTGTGAAGTTAATTTATTACCAGCTGGTGTGCCTCTGCAAACGCTGCTATTTGATCTACAAAGAAAACAAGCAGATATGCAGTTTACAGCGTTAAGTTATTACATAATGCAGATTTTCATTTCAATACACTATAAATTATATAATGTGATGGTAAATGGCCTGTATTTGATATAGTGCCTTCTAGAGTCCTGGAACCCCCCAAGGCGCTTTACAACACCATTAGTCATTCACACATTCACACCCTGGTGGTGATGAGCTACATTGTAGCCACAGCTGTTCTGGGGTGTCTGCCGTACACAGGCGCCACCGGTCCCTCCGACCACAACCAGCAGGCGAGGCCAGTTAAGTGTCTTGCCCAAGGACACAACGACAGTGACATACTGAGTGGGGCTCGAACCTGCAACCTTCCAATTACAGGGCAAGCACCTAACTCCTGTGCCACCGTCGCCCCAACTGATTACACCTCTTTTCTGATAAATACATAAACATACATACATTTAAACATTTGGAAAATTGGTTCTACTGAACAAAAAGTAAATCAGCAGTTTCAAAGAACCAGAAGTCAATTGTCAGTCAAGACAGTTCTCATGTTGACTGAGAACCACTTAGAATCAGTCTGATGTGTAAACCAAGCAAGCTGCTGAGGTGGTGAATCAATCTTTCTATTATCTTTTCTGCACAGATCAATGAAGCTGATGAATGAACTGTGAATCACCAAAAAAAGGGGGTGGGCACTAACTCATGAGCCAATACTTGGGCTTCACTTCATTATCCGAGTGTGTCAGGACAGTCTGTTCTTAACACATCTCCTTTATTCACTCAGATGAACATTAGCTCTGTTTCACTTTGTGTCATCTTTAGCTCTCATTCAATATTTTAGCAGGTCGTTCTCATTTTAATTCAAATCCTGAGCAGAGGCGCGTATTTACCCTCAACTGCACATAGTTCTAATTCGGTTCTGACTTCTATTCACACACAATTCTATGTGCTACCATATCTTACCATTTGCTAAGTCAAGAAGAGAATTAGAGGTACTGGTGTGATGCTAACCAGGTAAAAGCATGGTGTGGTAATTTAATAGGACGTGTGAAAGGGCCCCTCCTCATGGCTTATTCATTGTAAGGGATGTCATTACTGAGAATGGCGTGAGCTATGTGAGGGATCTGCTGGTGGGGGCATTTTCCCCGGTGTCACAGAGTGCAGGGAGGGCAAAAGCTGCAGGACTCGGCGAACTGGTGCAGCTGAAGCAAATCGTAAATGCAGGCAGTGATGGTTTGCTGTCAGCAGATGGATATCGGTGTTTGCGTGACATAAACGTATGATTTATGTGGAGAACCTAGTGTTGCAGATCCCCAATAATGCATTATGGGAGTTTTCGCTGAAATAACAATTTAGCAGTGATGTTATGAGCTAATCGGTGGGGAAAAAAGATTTTACTTATATAAAAACTGCAATGAAGTTGCAAAAGGTATGGACATTGACTAGATGGAGTCAGGGTTTACACGTTCCTTTTTTTTGGGTGCAAAAAATTGAGGTTGGCAGCTTTCACCTTGGTCCAGGACAGCAATCATGAAAAAGAAAGCTCCGCAGCAGGGAGCAGGAACGCTGCACTGCTGCAGGAAAACCACCTAAAGCCTAAAACAGAGCATTTCTAACAGAGACACTAAAGCCATCAGTGAAAGACTTCTGAGAAAAAAGGAAGAAGTCAAACAATGGCTGACTGCATGATGGATGATCTCGCTCTCACAATTGTGGATCGCATAAAAAACAAATTCGGTTGGTCAAGATTTTTCTACCAATTTAGCGCAGTGCAGAACAGCACTGGTGGAACATTGCATCATGGGTAATGAAAGGTAGGCAAGAGAGATCGCAGATTAAGGACATTTTGCTTCACTGAAGGGAATTTTGTGCTGTTCCTCAGAGAAGTGAAACCCTAACCAGGTTTTGAGTTGGCGGCTTGTAGACAGGCTTCCATGGCTGTTTCTCATTTGTCAGACTCTGGTGACAAGTGTGAGCAATAATCAATAAATAATGTGCAATAAATAAAGTTTGATCTTTTTAGTTGAAATACATTCGTTAGTTATTACTTGGAGTACACCAAATCATTTCATTTTTACTGAGTAAGGGGTTTTAGGTTTTTCTAGGGAAGTGTCACATTTCACAATCCCAAGAAAAGGAATGACTGAACATAAAGGAATAAGCAAATATTTCTATAACATATCTCTGCAGATCATGCCTGAGAACATCCATCTTTCTGAGACTTTTTAGACACTGAGAGAACTTTCTCATCACTCTGAGTTTTAACAACCTCATGTCTCCAATCTGCTTTTATTGTGGTGTGAAGATTAATATGAAAGGATGGCGAGTTATGTTATGCATAAAAGGGTCCTTTACACTGAATATCCTTTACACAGTGCAAGGATGGGGAGGAGGAGGAGAAAGAGGATGGCTGCTGAGGAGAAGGAGAACTGAGGATGCGCACACACGCACACACACACGCGCGCGCGCGCACTGACCCTGGAGGTTGCGTTCCCCTTTAAAAGTCCCATCCCTCTCAGATACGCAGAGCTCATGCAGGATCTGCTGCGGCAGTGGGGGAACACTGCTGAGCTGTGCAGTTTATGCTGCCAGTGAGAGTGCAAAGAAGAGGAGGGGGAACAAGCGTGTACCGGAGGAGGAGGAGAAGGAGGAGGAGTGAGGGAGAGAGAGAGAGAGAGAGTGGGAACAATGTCATTCTGTTCAGGAGGCAATGCTGCAGTCAACTTTGCCACGCCACGAAAGCACATCACCAGTGACCAAGAGGCTCAGCGCAAAGTGAAGAGAAGTTTTCATCCTCTCCTCCTTGTGTTCGATGCGGCGTGAGACTCTTCTACAGGTAAACATCTCATTCCTCTGTAGTGTGGCTTACTTGCATGCTGCCTTCTTATGCTTATTCCTCTTTTAAAAAGCTCACTTTTTAAACCAGCCTTATCTGAGCTGATAACCATATCGGTGTGCATGCCCGCAGTGAGGAAGCTCCAGGCTGCTTCTGTCTCATCAGTTCCAGCCTCCTCTGCACCAGTAACAACTAGGCAGCAGCTGGCCAAGCAGAGGCAGGCAGCTAGCAGTCAAGCTCCACTGCTCCTTCATCCATGTTTAACACAAAGTACAAGCTGGAAATAGCAGCCGGCGTGTCAGATAGCGGCTGGTCAAGAGGAGTCTGTGTTTGTCACAAGGACAATAAAAATAAAAAAAAAAGGATGCAAAGACATGCCTCGTTTGCAGGAGACACATCTTTGCTGACTGCTTTCAGGAGTGCAAACATTCAAGTCACTTGACTCCTCTGTTAGTTTAAATTGAACAGAATCAGTTAATTGAAATTTGTAAAAAGGTTGTGCGGGACCGTCGTTGTCTGGGTGAAATTAAAATCAGGCCACAGTGGCCCAAACGGGACGGGGGAGCCGTGGTGCAGTTATGAAGTTGTGCTGTAGCTCAAAGGACTTCTCTGCAATCCTAAAGCAGGATGCAGTTCTGTTAGCCTCTTCAAGAGATGTTTTTAATTATTCGGCTCTAATACAAGCGCTCTTAGCTGTTTCTAAATGCATTGTTAAGTTAAAAGCAGTACTGCACTCAGAAATCTTGTCAAAATTCTAAAAGTCAATGTTTCTATTTTCGTCTTACTGCAGTATGCTCAACTTCCACTCTCTTTAAAAAGTGATGTAAAAATAGTTTGTGATCGATAAGCTTGCTGTAAACGTGAGTCAGGGTTAACTAAAGCTCTGAAACCAGTTTACAAGGTCTGACTAGGCCACTGCACAGTACGCCTGGGTCATCTCCAGGTTCACCTCAGGTAACTGTGCTGTAACGTAAAAAAAGACCCTCGTGTTTCAGGCTGGTTAAGTCTAGAGGATCTCCGTTTTTACATTTCTCTCTATAGTGGGTGAGTTAGTGCAGTAACAATAGCCTAGTGTGCTAATTGACCACGCTACGCTCAGAGCCTCACATCAACCAGGAACATCTGCAGTTCTCCTGTACACCCGCTTGGGGGGTGGGTGCTGCACTGCCGGCAAAGGAAACTGCCGCACTCACCTGATGTTTCGTTTCTGCACCTCCATTCCACCCTCCTCCACCTCCCACCCTGTCATCCTTGTCCACCCTCCTCCTCCTCCTACCCAGTTTTCTCTAATCTCTCTACTGTACTTTCATTCATTGGTACAGCTGGCCAACACAGCTCCTCACCTGCATGGTTTGCACCTCTGTGACTCTCTCCCTCCCTCCCTCCCTCCCTCCTCCTCCTCCTCCTCCCCCCTCCAGTGAAAAAGTATGCAGCACATGCTCTCACCATCCTCCTTCAGCAATTTGCCTGAGTGAACAGAGGAAAAAAAAGCAAGAACCAGTGAGAAGGCAGCAGAAAACCAGCCCTGCAGTGTCCTGCAGCAGTTGTGTTCCTGCAGTGCCGGCTGAGAACAGAACACACATGCACACAAACACACGCACGCATGCGTGTGCACGCACACACGCACATATGCTAACCCACATGAGTATGTAGGTGCACCTCAAGACCATGATTCTGTCTTCAGACGGACTTTAGCTCATGTGACACAGTTGAACTCAGGCAGAACAGGCCGTCTCACTCTGCATTGGACTGAGCAGAGTTTGGAGAGAGAAGAGAAACAGACGATTGCACCCCCACCACCCCTCCCTCACCCCCGATGGTGCATTGTCCCATTCCAGCACTCCAGTTCTGATGATGTAATCAATGCAGCAAGCTTTGAACTTGCTGGGCTAGGGGTTGCTTACCCCCCCTCTCCACAACTCTTCTGACCTGACTGACAGATTTAGGACGATAAATCAAAATTTGATCTGAATAGTTAGTTTTTGCACAAATAAATAAATTCCTCTGAGCGACTCTCCGTGTTTCACTCTTGTATAAAAGGATAGTTCACACTTGAATATGAATTAAGAGCCATCTCAGCTGATGAAACTGCTGCTGGTGATTTGTCAGAAGGCTACAGTGCCGTAGCACACACTCACCGTCTATAAATTCACTTAACTATCTGCAGACCGGCAGCTCTCCTCTACTCTATTTCAGAGTTGATCTCTAGCGGCCTGCAGTCGGACAAAGACGAAGCTCCAAGCAGATCTTAAAGTGCTTCGGTTTCTGTCTGAGTGTAACATCATAGTGACTTTGCTTTTTTATTGATAAGGTCATCAGTCTGTTGACAGGCAGCAGTGGAGAGCAGCACCCGTGATGTACGGTACTTTAGAGATGCTCAGGCAGCCAAACTCAGACCATATTGTAGCAGGTGAGTTTTGCTGAGCTTGCTCCTGCTGCCTGAAGCCAGAATCTGCCTAGTGATCAACTTCCACTAACAGCAGTGATGAACTGGCATCACCCCTCCTCTAGTAAGAAAAAGAAATAAATCAAACATCAGACCAACCTGAAATAATTAGCATTAACAAATACTGATGACTGCATGTTTTATGCAGTTTTATGTGTCAGGAGCTAAACAGCATGCAGCGCACATTTCTACATACGGATATCTCTTTGATCTATCAGACAGAAGATTCCCTCCCCAGTGCATTAATGAATTACTTTTAAATTCAGATTCAACATCAAATGTCACTGCTTGGAGCAAACATTAATATTTCACATGGATTCCAAATCTTTGCTGATGCAGTTTCCAGTTTTATGATTCCCACTGATGGGCTTCATCTGTAATTGAGGTTTACTGTACAATCTGATTTGATGAATCAGCAGCATTCATCGGTATGCTGCACACCGGTGTCCAGTTACAGCTTCTGTAAGCTGTTTATTCTACCGTGTTAAAGATGAAGTAAAAGACGCAAATGAGGGGTAAGTGTGAGCAGTGATACTAGGGCGATATCCAAGTTACTTAACTTCATCCATTAAAGATTTTAATTTGATCACAATTGAGAAAACACAAACACTTTCACCGTTTTTGAGCATGACAGCTGCTGGAAGAAAACCTGAACTTCATCCATGACATACATAATCCAGAGTCAGTCCAGTTGCCGTGATCTTGCATCACGCCTTCAGCACAAACAGCATCTCCATCATTTGCTAAAGAATTTTAAGTGAAAGCTAACTAACTCACTGCAGCCGGCTGAGGCTATCTGGGCTTCCCCACTTCCCTGATGCTCTGCTCCTCCCTCTGTGGTCTAGGCTCCATGCCCACGGTTCAGCTGCTGGTGGCCTGTTGGAACATGCCTTGACTTGTTGCTGCCTGACTGAAGCAGAGAGAGAGAGAGAGAGAAGGCTGGAGGTCATCTGGTGACCCACAGGCTGGGAAAGACTTGGTCAGACATCTGCAGATTTAAACAACATTGTCCGAAGAGGTGATGGTGGACAGAGAAACTGTGCGGGTGAGTGTCGACTCTGTGAACGGATGAATTTTGACCATAATCGTACAGCTTACTTTCTTTAGAAGTGCAAGAGTGCTCCTCTACTTGGAGTAAATCTTTAGTAAGACAAAGTCAAAAAGCCATATTGAGGCAGTGATTTGAGTTAAATATAAATGACAGAATATTAATGTGAATCAAACAGCTCTGGTGTTGTGAAAGCATCTGAGTCGAGTCCTGATGCTAGCATGACACCACGGTAACTAGAGAAAAGGTTACTGAATGCAGATGACAGTTATACCAATTACAAAGTGGTTCAGTTACCTCCACACAAACAAAGTGGGGAGGGAACGCGACCCTTCTATGATTATTGTTCTTAATGGGTTTGATCCTCAAATGAAACAGACAGCAGTTTTCTTTGTTGACTTTTTCGTTTTTCCTCCTGTTCACTCTAAACTGAAACAAAAGTATTGAGCAGCATTCATTCTGCAAATCCCAGAGAACTTCTTCAGTCACAAGTGATGTGTTAGGATTTCTGCCTGGAACTAATAGTGTGACAGTAGATTTCAATTCAATTCAAAATTCAAAGATACTTTATTAATCCCAGAGGGAAATTAGAGAAGAGATTTAAATCCCTCTTAAAGAGATGAACAGAAGTTTACAGGGATCATGCAGCAAGAACATGTAGTACACAGAGAATCACACACACACACACACACACACACCACACACACACACACACACACGCGCGCGCGTGCGCGTTATAGATACGGTCAACAGTAAGAACTCGTAGACTGATTACAATGACTCAGATAATAATCATTCAGTGTGCAGTGCACTGTGACCTGTGTTTTCATTGTGGGCAGTGAAGCCAATAGTTACTGAGGAAACTTAGTACTGAGGATAACTTAATTAGTTAATTAGTAACTCACTATTTTAACTATGCAACAGAATAAAATGCTGCACATAAAATGTATGCAAATAAAACATTTAAATGTTTCCAAGTAGTTTTGAGAGTACAAGTAAAAACGTGTGTTTATATAAACTAACATCCTTTAATAAAATTAGTATTTTTCTGTTGTTAAATTAAAGCCAAAACGCATAAAAAGCATAAAAAATCCAGCCCAACAGATTTTAGACAGGAGATGATTAGGGTAGAAGAATTGGACTGAAAGTGCTGAAGCATTGTTAGGTGGCACTGGAGCAACAAAGAAACACACGGTAGAGAAGAGGAGAGATGCCCGGAGCTGCTGATGGGTAGCAGCGTGTTTGTGTTTATTGGCTCATACTTTCTGTGCCCTGACAGCAGTGGAAACCCGCAGACTCAGGTGAAGGTGAGCACCATGTCTGGATGAGTGTGTTTACTGTGCTGCTGAGAAGGGCTGTTGCCTCCAGGTTTAATATGTCATCAACTGGGAACTTAAGAAAGAAGAGCAGCGCTGCTGTAACGCCACATCACCACGAGTACGACCCAAACAACCATATGCATTCTAAAGATATTACACGCAATCTGCAAACTTCTATTAATTAAATAATCTTTATCAAAATGTCTGATGCGTATGTTTTAATAGTTTTGCCTATAATTCATAGCTCTTTACACAATTAAGAGCAATGTCTGATAGTACTCAGCACATTAAACAGCAGGTAAATAATAAACATTATGGTGTGTGGAGGAAATGGATCAGCTCATTCTACTCTTTTCATCTTGAGCTTCAGAAAATATAAATAAACAAATAAAAGACTGAATGAAGGAACTCATTTAGATCGACGTAAATGCAGCATTTAAGCTGCACCTTTATCCAGGAGTCGATAAATGAAACCCATTTAAAACAAGTATTGAATTTGAATGAAGACCTGAGTTATAGCTGAACAGTTTACACTGGTATTTACTGCAGTATGAAGTAGGGATGCACACATATGAAATATTTGGGCCGATACCAATATTATATATATATAATACAAAAAAAGGAAGTAACATCACCACCACCATCGATCTCTGATGATGACTAGAGAAACTAGCTGAAACATGTCAGGTAAAAACTGTTAAAATAAATAAATAAAAAGATAACAAAGATAAACACGGAATGAAGCTACAAAATAGCTCTGACAATATTTACAGCTTTAATTCATACTTTGAATCTACTTTCTTAACAAATCTCCACAGCCTTTTTAACTTTGTGCAGCCTGAGAGATCTTTGTGGAGAAGTTATGCTGTCGTTCAGCATCCCGTTATTTTTACTCCCAGCAGAGTTACGACTTCATTGGCATTCCTTGATCCTGTATTAGAGATGGCATCAAGGCTCAACGAGGAAGCAGGATTTCTGGCATCATTTGCTCATTGAAGGCAGAGTGTGGCTTGATAAGAGAAACACACACAGATGCAGTCATTTGGCAACAAAAAGCTGAACAAGAGGAGTTTCTGTGTTTGTCTGTGGATATTAGCTGCATTTGAATTTGTTCAAAGTAACAAAATTATTTCACATCAGATTAAGTCGAGAGGCTAAAACCACAAATCAAGCTTTTGGACTTCCACTTACACAACCGAAAGCAGACATGTAGGACAACAAACGCCCTTGTTACTGAATTCAAAGATAGAGACTTCCTCCTTGAAAAGTCCCTGCTCTCCTTTGGTTGACAGCTGCTGCTGGTTTCTAGTATCTCTGTTGTCCTGTCGCTAAAGCAGTCAACACGGAGATGATGGTGGTCAGCCAGCCTTAAATAGCAGCACAGAGAGGATGCAACTGATAGCAGGGGGGTTTAGTTATTGTCCCTGAGGTTCATAAACACACACCAGGGTGTGTAGCGCTCAAGTGAACAGACAAATACACACACAAGGAGATGAGAGCTACATCATACCAGCCATTTGTTGCAAAATCATGAGTCATGGCATGTCTATTCTTAGTTTGGGGGTGTTAGTGTTTGTCCAAGTTATGTGAACTTGATGCTTCACAAAAAATAAACAAATCCAGACTCTGCTTGGAAGGAAGTTTAGGGGTTCTGAGCAGCGGAGTGTTTAGGTTCCTGGCCTTATAATAAAACTCTGACTCTAATAAACATTTTATCATTTTAAATTAAATGGCAACAGACCAACATAGGTTTACTGAATGAAAACAAATATTGCTCAGTTTTCTTTACACTTGTCTTCCTCTGCAGGTCACCCAGGAGTTTGCAAAGCATCACACCCCCAAACATCAGGGAGGAAGAAGAGCGAGCGAGCGCCCGCAGCACCGGACTAACAGGTTAAAATGAGCTACAAAGAGCTGCCAGGATGGTGCTGAGAGGAAGCAGGTAGACAGATGGGGGGTTCGGACGCGGCTGCTGTGGGTGTTTCTCTGGCAGTGTCTTAGCTGGTTGTTGTGAGGAGTGAGAACGAAGCAATCAGCAAGTATACTGCCGCAGAAATTCTTCGCAATGAGAAGCCCTGCGGTCGTGAAAGTTGTGGGCGCAAAAGGGAGGAACGATTTGGATTGCAGCGAATGACCAGACACTGATGCTTCAGTGTGTTTAAAGCCGGTGCACAATTACTCAAAGACAGGATGACTGAGAGCCCGGCCTTTTGGTTAACACCATGACAATATTTATGATTGGATCAAAGCATCAAACTTCTGGAGGCTGTTTTTGAGTATAATGACCTTCTGCTGCCATCTTGTGACTGAAAGAGGCCTATCAGCATGCTTTTGCTCATCAAACATTGCACCAATTTATAACACCTGCATAGATTTTCTCTTTTAAACAAACTGTTAAAACAGCACGGCTTAACAGGTCCTTGTTCCTGCTTTTAAATTGCAAATGCATGTTTCTTTATCAGTCTCAGTTTGCTTTAAAAGTGTTTTATTTATCCTGGATGCAGACTAATTGAAATTTAATTTTTTAATGTATCTGCAGGTGCCAAGTCATTTCTTCACATTAGATTATAATTGTGAAAATGTGGTGAATAAAAATTATCTAAATTCGGATCCATTGGTTTGTCTTGTTTGTTTCTGAATTACACATGCATATTTTAATTATGGAGGAAGTGTGTTGTGTAACCACTTTGCACTGTGTGAAAGAACCAAGACATCTGAAATAATGACAATGCCAGCATAACAACAGCAGACTTAATGAGTGCAGATGAAGCAGGTGCACATCTTAACTTCTAAAACACACACAGATTTGCCTCGTCTTAGCAGCTGATGCTAGCTTGAATAAAAACTGTAAGCATGTAGATCATTTTCGGCTAATGTTACTCTATAATGCAGATGCTGCATTTGCTGCAGTCTGCAGAAAAAGGCACTGATGTTCTGCTGCACTGCTGCAAACACTAAAGGGGATTGCAGTTTTTCTGGGCTGCAGTGATGCCGAAGCAGTAACGTCGTCTCCTCATGCAAGGTCACTGCGTTATGGACTTTTAGCCTTTTTCTCAAGGAAAAACCTTGAATAAAAGACCTAAATCATTACCAGTAACTGGTTACAGAGAATCAGAAATGTTACTCTTGAGTCAAATATGCTAAAAACTAGTTTTCTCTGCAAAGATCTGCAAATTAAAAATGGACTGTAACGCAAACAAGAAGGATCAGCCACATGCAGGGAGTAGTTCAATGGAAAATTATAAACATTTTTAACAAATTATTATTTAAGCAAGGCATAAAAGCAAATTAGATCAATTTTACATGAACAAACTGCTAATTAAATATATATATATGTATTCGTTTATTTCATTCAAAATAAAAACAAAACATATAAACAATAAGATACACAACAAAAAATCAAATTTGAACGAAAAGGGCCAGAATGAAGAAAGCCATCTTATAATTTCTGCCCCCTTTTCCAGAAGAAATTATCTATTTATATATAATTTCCATTTGTCAGACACACATACAGATTCATTTTAAACTTTTTCCTGTTCTTAATTCCAGAACAATCATGATCATTGATTTAATTTACATTTTCATAATTATTTAGTACACTCAACTTGGTACATTTTTTGAATATATTAAATGACAGAGTACTCCATAGTACTATTTAATAAGTGGGTGTTACAGCCTCAATATATTTTAAAGGATGTTTTAATTTTTATGGGTTACTTCACTGAGAATAGTACAATAAAATGTCACAAGTATTCCATAAATAAAATATAGCAATTGCATGTAAAATGCAATTAACTGATGTGATGATCATGACTGTAAGTGCTTACCATACAGACCAAAAAAAATCTATTTACACAATAAAATTGGCCTTTTTTCTATCTCATCATAAAATCTAAATTTAAAATGTCATTATTTCAGCTTTTATTTTTAAATGTCTACTTAAAGGCTTCTTTTAGTGCCAATATAATAATGTAACAAAACACAAACATCCCATTCACAAAATAAAATAAAAAAAACAATATGCGGTATTTGAAGAACCTACATCAAAACAAACAAATAAATAAATCAGGCAGGATTAAAAGTGTGGATCTAAACTACCAAAAGTGTTCATTAAAATTCTGACCGGTGCCAGGACAAATTACCCTCTAAACTAGCTGAACAGACCACTAAAGCATCACCGCTTATCAACTAAATGAGTCTGAGTGTGTGTGATGGATTGACTTTGAGATGCAAAACGGTCTTTAATGTAGCACTTTTTCTCTTTTCTCCACTGACCTGGCCAGCCTGCGTAATCATCTTATTGATCACCTTTTTCATCAACCAATGGTGGGCACAGCTTACAAATTGACACTTACTAAGATTTCCTAATTAGATAAAAATAGTATGCTTTTTGATTACTTAAAGGACTCGAGATCCTTCTAGAGCAACCTTGAGGGATCTACTGCAGGCAAATACAACAATCTTTTTCCATAATCAAAATATGTTTCTTATAAATCATCAAGGAGTCTATAATTTTATATTTAATAAACAAAAAAGGGCAGCAGTAAGAATGTCAATAAAAGAAGTGGGGACAACTCATGGGGCTCATTTATTTGCTCATAACATGTTAGACAAGTCTGAGCAAAAATGTCAATATTTCCACAAACATTAAATGTGCCTTTCTGGAAACCAAGAAGTGTTTGAATGAACTTTAGTGGAAAAATATGATTCAGAGACACATCTTCACTTAGAGGAAAGATTTGTTAAACAGTGTAAGTATGTTCTGTTACTGCCAGGGACAGAAATTCCTGCTTTTGCAATGTCTCATTTCCCAGAAAAATTATTACTTATGTTGTAACTTTTACATTAAATGTAATAAAACAATCTGGGTCGTCCTGTCTCCCTGTAACACTAATACCTGTAGCCTGACCCAGTTGGGTCAGGTATTAAATTAACTTTAAAAAGAATCTTTGGTATTGTTCTATCTGTGCTCATATAATTTTTAACTGGTTATGTCACTACCCTCATAGTGTTTATTTGTTGTGGTTTATACACATATAATAATCAAATTTTAGTCAAATGAAAAGGCACATTTTGACTCATTTAACACACATTTTATAAAAGTAAATGTAAAGTAATATTCTGTATTTTTCCCTGCAATTTTTGAACATTATGAAAAATGTGCCAGCACCACTAAAACGTATCATGTTGATCTCACAACAGCACAGGCGGTCACACTCCAAGACAAAAATAGACTGTTGTCATTTCTTTACCAGCTGACTGAGTTCTGCTTTAAGTTCCGGTTGGAGCACCGAGGAGGCGGGCAGAGAGGGCTTAAAACCGGCTGGAAAGTTGTGTTTGGACTCAGCGAAGTTCGGCTCGATTGGACTGTGAGCTTCAAACGTCGCATGGCTTTCAGAGAAATCATGTTGACATCTAATTTAAGTATGGTGATTTCACCAGAAGCGTTAGCAAACACGGTTATATCGTAGTTGTTTATCTTAACGCACGGAACCATCATGGCAAACAGGACTGAGGTGTTCGTCTCGGAACAGGTGGTCGTGTTGTGTACCTGCGTTCTGTCGTTTTTGGGATCTTCTCTGATCATCATCACCTACATTATTTGGTCAGATTTGAGGACAACTCCGAGGAAACTGTTGGCTTACCTTTCGGTGACTGACTTGTTGTCTGCCGTCTCATACGCTTACGGAGTCTGGAGAGCTTTCCTCACCGACTCGGTGGACTGCGTCGTTCAGGGAGCGATATCAACTTTCGCCAACACCAGCAGTTTTTTCTGGACCGTCGCTATCGCTGTGTACCTGTACGTTTTCATTGTGAGATCCAGCCAGAGAGTCGCTGATAGCCTGGTGACACTGTTCCACCTGGTCAGGTATGTAAAGATTGTAAACGGAACTTCAAAGTTAGCTTAAAGTGAAAGTAGCTTCAGGAAAAACACGCGAAACATCCTGAAATGTATAACAACTTAAGGTGGAACATCTAAAACACTGATATGTGAACCGAAAACAACAAAATAATGCCAAAAAATAGTTGGTGGTTTTAGTTTGGGCTACTGAACGTAGAAAGTTATAACTAAAAACCAAGAAATTGATTTACTCTAAACTAATCCCCTTTGCTAACCCCGTGGACGCGACCGTTTCTATGGAGACACATTTTGTAGGTGTGGCCTAAATGTGTTACTTAGTCTCCATCCTTTTCTTACCTTTAAATTTGTTTTATTTGTGCTTTTCTGTATGGATTCACTGCTAAAGTTTTACTATAGGAGTTAACCATGTATATTCACAAAACATCTCACGTACCACTGAAATACTTTTAATAAAACTCAGAAAGACATAAAACTTTTAATTATCAAGATGGCTGCCACAGCTAATTGACTTTAGCAAAGACAAAAACGACTATGACTGGTCAGTTTAAAAGATAACGAGCTAAGTTTTGATGTGGCTTTAGCCTACAGTATTTCAAAGCCATATAGATAGACATGGAGTCCCTACCTACTTTAGTTGTTCAAAAACGTTGGGATGTCGACATTCACAACACATATTCCAAGTGTTTAACAGGTTGCCGAGGATCTCGCGATATCATATAAAATCACGTGTTACAGTTACAGTGTTGTTTTTGCCAAAAGCTGAGGTCAGGACCCCTCTGGGTCACTGGTCAAAGCTAAGTTCATTTCAGCCTTAAAAAGCCCAAGTAGTGCTGTATAAAAAGTTGTAAGTTTGTTGTTGTTAAAGGATGTGAGATGATCAGGAGAGCATAGTTTAAACCACTTATACAACATGTTTTATTCTTTGTATCTGACGTTGAATTTGGGAAGAGAGAGTCCGTTGCAGTGCTGTGTAACTGGATCTGCTAGTGTTTATAGAAATATTTCATTTTCACCTCTGTGTAGCCTCGCTGCAGTGTTGTGTCAGTAACAGAGCCATTATTGAAGTCACACAAGTAAAACACAAGTTGGCCTTAAGCATTGTTCTCTTTTTAACAGCCTGCTGCAGATTACCAGAAACTGGAAGATTAAAATAGCTTTAAATGGATTAATTTACAGCAAAAATTAAGCTTCAGGAAAAAACACTGAGCCTTATTTTCAAAAGAAGAAATGAATCAGTTTTTTTATGTAAAAAAAAATCTGACTGCTTGCACCACACATCAGAGGTCTATAGCATAACCTTTCAAATGATGTCACTGTTTGTTGCATTCAAAAGGCAAATAGCATTTAATCTTCAAACCTTTGTCCTGTTCTCTAGCTGGTGTGTTCCGTTGATCATCACCGTCACCGCTGTGAGTCTCCAGAAGATCGGTTATGATGCATCAGAGGTGTCGGTGGGCTGGTGCTGGGTTAAGATCCACGCTAAGGACCATGTCCTGTGGATGCTGTTGACTGGAAAGATCTGGGAGTTCCTGGCTTACCTCACACTCCCTGTGCTCTACATCTTGATCAAGAGACACATCCACAGAGCGGTGAGAGGCCAAAATCTGCTAGTCATGTCTGAAACAGCAGGATTTTCAGAAGTTTCAGACCTCACTTATTTTGAGTAAAATGGAGCAAATTTAGAGCAATTTTTCTTTTTTTATTGAATTGAAAACATCTTTTGTCTCTTTCATCTTTATGATCACAATTATCACAGAGAAGAAATCAACCTGATGCATTTCAGATAAAAACTTACTTTGATTTCATGTGAGTCTGAAAATCCTTTTAAATTAAATTACAAAAGGAAACTTGGGCTGATAAATAATTTACTTAAACAGTCAAGACCAGGGGTGTCAAACTCATTTTAGCTCAGGGGCCACATTGAGGGAAATCTAGTCCCAGGTGGGCCGGACCGGTAAATTAAAAAAAACTTCAGATTGTTTTCTTTGTTTTAATTCAATTAATATAAAACAAGGCTGGAGCCTGAGGACAGTGTAGTACAAGTACAACACCTGAAGTGTACTTGAAAATTTGAAAAAAAAAATAAAAAATCAATCAATAAAAAAAACATTCCTTAGTGATTCAAAGAGCTTACAGATCACATGGCTAGATCAGTTTCATGCAGCACTTAAAGAATATTTGACTCATTTTACTTTACATCTTTTAGCTTTCACCAGCACATCAACATCAGAAGTCACATCCTGAGTGGCAGCCAACTTCAGGATGTGATTCAAGTTCTTGTGTGAGCCTTGAGCGCAGCTTTGTTTTATTTATACTCACTACAGAGGAAACTTGCTCACAAAGATACATTTATTTTCACTCTACATTGTAAAGTATGAAAATAAAGTTCACGCAATCGTCTCGCGGGCCGGATTTAACCCTCTTGCGGGCCGCATCTTTGACACCCCTGGTCAAGACACAATAAAGTTGTCTTAGAGCAGGAAGCATCTGTAAAGTTTATGATCTTTGGATTTAAGTTTTATTTCATTAATATTGTGAGATATTTTTGTTATAACAAAAGTCAAGGTAAGAGTTTAATATTAAGCTAAGTCGAAAAGAAAATAAAAATAACTTGTTCCTTCACTTGTCTGATTTGTCATAATTAGGAACATGTTGTGTCCGAGTGACTCATAATAAAGAGGCCATTTTATTTTAAACCACCCTTGAAGTTTTAATTAATTGCCACAATGTCTAATTAGCACAAATGCTCTCCAGCTCATCAAAACTTCAGCAGCAGAAATGGCTAAGGGACCTATTCAGTCTGTAAATCCATAACTGTGACCCCTGACCTCCCTGTAGATTCATGTAGGAATGCTGGGATGATGCAACAGGCCAGAAAGCGTAAACAGGCCACTCAAAATCTAGTTCCAATTCAAATCTAAAAGCTTAGTCACGAGTGAGCGTTCTGTTAAGTCTTCAGTCTCTTCTGTGTTCAGTGTTTTTGTGAAACCTGTTCTGACTCTCGCAGCACGCCGCCCTGTCCGAATACCGTCCCATCTTGGCTAACGGCCCTCAATCAAACTCCTTTACGTCCATGGCGGACATGAAGCTAACCCTCATTCCCATCATCTTCATCTTCCTGCGCATCTGGAGCACGGTGCGCTTTTTGCTTTTGCTCACTGACTCCCCGGTCAGACAGCACCCGGTTTTGGTCACACTGCACGTGAGTTCAAAGTGTAAACTAGTAACGTCCTGTTTTCAGAGAATAGGTCTATAAATACTCTGTATTCTTTTTGTGGCTTGTGGACTTGTGGTCCAACTGGTGAATCCCCTCGTTGTATTGTGTAATCTGCAAAAATATTGTTGAAAAGTGATATTTCTTTCCCCCCTAGTTAATCTGGATGCTAGTGCATCTTGAACAGACTTTAACATATTGCTGCACCCTGAGTTTTGTAAAATGGTGTCAAGCTGTTAAATCTTGCAAATAAAAAGGGGAGAAATAACTGCTGCTGTCTCCTCTTTGATCCAACAGGGAATCGGGAACACCTCTCAGGGAGCAGCTAACTGCATCATGTTTGTTTTGTTCACCCAGCCGATCCGCACACGCCTCTTCTCTGCTCTCTGTTGCTGCTGCTCTAGGAGTCGAGCAGAGGAGCAGCGCGGCTCCTGACAAGAGGCTGGGGCCTGAACGCGCTTTCCCCTCGAACAGAGAGGAGGATGGTGCCAGTCAGCTGCAGGCAGACGGATGAAACTGAGCCTTGTGACGACTAAAGACAGAATGAAAGGTGTACGTCGGTCAGAGGCTCATTAAGGAAAGTGCCCTTCAGGAGTGTTTGAGCTTCTGCCGGTGCGTCCACGTCTGTGACTATAAACCAACATTTTAAAGCCCTTAAAGTAACTTGAGGTTTTTCTTTTTTTCATGTTTTTGACCATGTTACACTTCATGAAGCCACTTTCACTGTAGCACTTCTATAAAGCACTGTTGTGAGGTCATCGCTGTGAATTCCTATCGAGTTTCTGTTTTCGTGTTTTGGAGTTGATCGTTTTATTTTACCGTTTAGAAAATTTGAATCAAACTCCACTTGGAGTCATGATCATTCTGTGTAGTTTGTGTCACAAAAGTTTCATGTACCACAGATTTGCATGTCTCATCAGACGATTGCAAATGTTTCTTCTCAAATCGCAACAAGCGTTGCTTGAATTCTGCTGACTCGTGTCAGAAATGTCCAAACCAAACCACATCCCATCAAACGTCTTATCCAGCTCTATCCGTTTGTCTCGTAGTTTGTTTAATCGTGTTTTTGATTAAACGTTTCCCAAAAAAGTTCAAAGTTTCAAATGTAAATTAAAAGCAGAATAAATGATGGTTTAGTCATCTTTTGATGTATTAAATACAAACACATGTTAAAGTGAGAAAAATGCATTTGATGACAAATATACACTTGGTCATTAAGACAGAAGCTCATGAGGAGTTTGTCATCTAAATTTTAACCATAGGGCTCATTTTTTCATAATGCTCCTTGTGTCGGCGTGTCACAAAGCTGGACTGGTCACAGATCAGTTGAACATCTACAGCATGTTGGGTTCCAGGATGTGATTTTAGCTTTATTTTTCAGAAATAAGAACACATTTCTCTGATAAGAAGCAGATTTTTTTCTGGAGCTTGTGATTTTGCCCTGTTCCTCCGTGACTGTTACTGATGAAGGTTTCTGTAAATGTTCTTTAGCGTGTGGCGAAGAACTTTTGTCTATTTATTATTTCCTGAGAACAGGTGAATCACAAATGCTCTTCCTTTATGTTTCACGTGAACACATTTATATTTATATGGTTGCTTTGCTTCTATTGTCAAACTAAAGCTTTAATTTTTTATGTGCTGGAGGATTTGATGGAGAATTATGTCTGTCAGTGTTTTGTTTGATTTCTTGTGCATTTTTTAATGATATTTAAGCATTTTTCTGATTGTCTACATTTTATAATGATTATTTATTGATTTTAAACTTCCTGTATCTAATGAATGTGTCTGTAAACCTGTTTTGCAGCTTGTCTTGGCCAGGACACTTTCTTTGGCTTTTATTGGTCATACCAATTTATTTTGATTCAAAATTTTCCTTTTTCCTTTTTACCCATTACCCAATGGGTAATGACCGAAAGAACGAGATCGCGGATACAAGCGGCCGAAATGAGTTTCCTCCGTAGGGTGGCCGGGCTCAGCCTTAGAGATAGGGTGAGGAGCTCGGACATTCGGGAGGGACTCGGAGTAGAACCGCTGCTCCTCCGGATCGAAAGGAGCCAGTTGAGGTGGTTTGGGCATCTGGTCAGGATGCCTCCTGGACGCCTCCCCGGGGAGGTGTTTCGGGCATGTCCTGCCGGCAGAAGGCCCCCGGGTCGACCCAGGACACGTTGGAGAGGTTACATCTCCAATCTGGTCCGGGAACGCCTTGGGGTCCTGCCGGAGGAGCTGGTGGACAAGGCCGGGGAGAGGACGGCCTGGAGCTCCCTAGTTGGGATGCTGCCCCCGCGACCCGGACCCGGATAAGCGGAGGAAGACGAGAGACGAGAGAATTTTCCTGTAAGATGAGGAAATCTTATTGAAAGTTTTATCTTCTCAGTAACATTTGCATGCAGGTATTATTTTGGGGAGAATATGCATTACTTGTATTTGCAGAAATAAGTAGCTGTAACTGTGTTACTGACTGAATTTAAGCTTTCCCGTTTTGGAATTTTAAATGTGAAATCCACATTTATTTTAACTAAGACTTGAAGATTTTTTTTCCTGCATCAGATGTTCTGTTGTGACTCGTTTAAACTTTTCTGTTTGCGCGAGGTCTTCTAGTTTTATTTTTAAAGGCTAATGACTCTTGCTTAAACTCATTGTTGCAACACTGTTAATGCAGAAGTTGTAGCAAGTCATCAGAGTCACCTCCATTGGCTTTGTGGTGCTGTGGTCAGGAGGAGGATGAAACTCATCACATGTCATGCTTCCTCCTTTGCAACCTGATCTGCACCCATGGGCCTGGCTTCTCACTTGACCCCTGCTGGTGGGGGCTGCTCAATTTCAGAAAACTCACTGGAGGGACATCTAAACCCTGTGAACCACACATGGGTCATGCAACTGACCTGCCTTGGTACCATAATGATTTTTTAAAGTTTTTATTTTTTATTGCTTGATCTACTTTTGTTTCTGTGCTCAGAAGCACATTGTTTTAGTCTTTTAATAAAGAACGTAATAGGCGTCCCTTCTGCTGTGTCATCTGTCATGCCGGCTTCTGAGAACTAAATAGAAGGTCACGCCCATCTGAGAGTAATGTACAAAGCGTGCACGCAGGATAGAAACCAACTTTGCAGTGCAGAACGGATTCTAGAAACGTTTAATAAGGTAAACGGAGTAGTGCTTGGAGAAAGTAGTTCTAACTTATTTTGCTGTGTTTTAATGTGATAAATGTGATAAACTATCATTGCAGCACTGCAACTAAAGCATGCACATACACTTCTCTATGCATGGAAGTTATTTGTTTAATGAAAAAAAATACTATCAAGGTTAGTTGACTCAGCAGGAAAAGCCTACACCAATTTAACTTCTTTAAGTGGATTAAAGGGATGCAGAAATAAAAATAATATTCATAACTGTTAAGGTATGTCAAGCCGATGTTACATCTTTGAATGGATACTAAATGATGTCAAAAATAATAACTGTTGATTTGTGGAAAGCTGATTTATCATAGAATGTGATCTTCTGAATCAGATTTCAGTAGCTCAGATTTAAAATGGCCATTTTATTTAACAGGATTTAGGTTTTTATTTTCTATCCACTAATCAAATATGTACAATAATTTACCATGCACATATGATCTTACCCCTTATCCTGTACACTAACAACACTGCCAGTGTTCTGAGACCATTCAGTTCCCACAGACTGATTTCATTTTCACTATTTAGTTCAGTTATTACAATAAATCAAAGCTTAATTTTACTTTGGGTCTAAGTAATGAGACACGGATCACGGTTTGTTCCTCAAGGCCATAAACTGCATTTATGACAGAATCCAGGACAGCATGTCTGGGAAAACGGAGAAGGTGAACATTGCTCCGATGACATCTAAAAAACACGTTTTCCTCTTGCAGACAGCAGGAAACACACAGAGGAGATGTTCTCACCACATTTCCTGCAGGACTGAATCCATTCTGAGATTTGGCTGACATTGAAACAGCTCGAGCTGGTTGGAAACACTTGAGGAAGAGGTTTCTGCTCTGTTGGCTCTCTGCCCATTTAATTCATTAGGTCCAAGAGTACTTCTGAGCTATGCAAAGCTACCCCGGTGACCGCTCACCAGTGGGAGTCTTTTCTGTTTTAACAACACAAGCTGAGCTAATTCTTCAACTTCCTGTCCGCCACAAGCAATAAGTCAGAGCTTTGACTGAAAGAATATTATAAATAGAACTTTTACCAAGAATGAATGAAACTCCATGAATGTTTTGCACACAAAGCACATAAATAGTGGGGTTATTGGCGGGTTTATGATTTATTAAGTGTGTTAATATTTATCTGCTTTAGTCTTAGTGAAACATTTTACTGTGATTCAGCAGAAAGCTCCACCCCCTTTACACTGATGCACATAGTTGTTGTGAGATTTCCATTTTATCTATTAAATAAACATAAAACACATTTTAAATTTGCTCATTTTCAGTTTTAATAGCAACTTGCAATTTAGACTAAAGGTAGCAGCTCCAATGATGCTGCAGCATAAGTGTATTTACTAAACTGCACGAATATGGCAAGAAAAGCCTTTTTGGTTACAGAAAGAAGTCTGTAAACTTTTATAATAGTGTTGTTAAGAGTCTGTGTGTACAAGAAACTGGAGATTTGAGGTTAAAAACAAAGCCTGCTGGCAGCTACAGTCAGCTGATCATAGTTCCCTCTTTGCAACAAACACATTTTTCAAAAAGCCCATTGGGGGAGCAAAAAGAATATTTCTGCATGCTGTGCACGGCTTTCTGCACGGAGTTCGCATGCTCTCCCCATGCATGCATATTTTTTTTACTGTTTTCTCCCACAGGCCAAACACATGCATGTCAGGTCAAAAATCGCTTTAGATCAAAACATCTTAAGAATGCTTCATCTTTTGGAGTGGTCTAATTAAACTGTGGTTATTATTTATTTCTTCTGTCAAAGTTTGCAGGCAGATGCTTTGTGGTAACCTTGTGTTTGCTCTAGGGCCCCCCTGAAGCTAAACGACAGCCAGCTTTACAAGCAAACAGCCGGAGGGACCTCGTATTGACAAACACTCAGCTTTACAGATAAAAGGCGACGCAGCATGGGGCAAATTGTAGACAAAGCAATTTGGTTTGCAGCAGTGTTGCTTCTGCAGAAAGTGCATCTGTTGAATATCTTGTGGGATTTCTGCAGCTGGTTATTGTTTTATTAATTACCCCAGTATTGCAATTTGTTTTGTAAAAGCATCTCCACCTGTGTGGCTGGTTAAACAAATTCCTATTAAAGGTTTGGTGCACACTTATGCAACATATCAACCAACTAATATATCTTGTTTCCTTTAAAAAAAAAACCTTCCCGAACGTGAGTGCACAATCAGCAGTGTGAAAGTGATAATCATAATCTAAGCCGTAAACCACTGCCACGCTCTCTGATCTCGTGTCCAAAGGGCATTCCAGGACCAGCAGTGCAGTAATAACAAAACACAGTTATGGTTGCAGAAAGTGACAAGTCCAGACGCAGCCATGGACGAAAATGAGGAATTGGGGGAGCCTGCGGAGAGGAAAGGGGTAAGTTTCATTCTTCCAAAATAGAAATTACAGATGACATTTTTGTTGTCAGGGGAGATTTAATCCAGCATGATGATGTCCTCCACCAGAGATTGACAGCAGTCCTGATTCTGGCGACGCTCATATCTGCATTTGGTTCATCCTTTCAGTATGGATATAACGTGGCTGTGGTCAACTCTCCTGCACCAGTAAACTTTTTTCTGTAAAACACACAGAAGTTTGTATCACTGACATTTTTCTCCCAGTGGTCTCCTGTTCTCCTCAGCTCATGCAGCAGTTCTATAACTCCACCTACGCGGGTCGTTTCAACACACCGATGGAGGATGACCTCCTGACTCTGCTGTGGTCTTTGTCCGTGTCCATGTACCCTCTCGGAGGCTTGTTTGGTTCCCTGATGGTGGCTCCTCTGGTTAACAAACTGGGGAGGTAAAACACTTTTAAAGAAGACATGATGTGTTCTGTAATATTCAGCTAAAATATGTTTTTTTAATCTGATTTTAAAAGGAAAGGGACCCTCCTCTTCAATAACATCTTCTCCATCATCCCTGCTGTGATGATGGGAGTTAGTGAGATTGCCAAGTCCTATGAGATCATCATCATGGCCAGGTTTATTGTGGGGATATGCGCAGGTTGGATATTTTGGTTTTTTTTTTAGGTTTTTGGGGGGCAAACATGAGTTAAAGGTGTTGAATTTTGTTCTTGTTCATTTGCAGGTCTTTCATCCAACGTAGTGCCGATGTATCTGGGTGAGCTATCTCCCAAAAACCTGAGGGGTGCTATTGGCATCGTCCCACAGCTCTTTATCACTATTGGCATCCTTGCTGCTCAGGTGCTGGGCATCAGACACATCCTGGGCCACAGCACAGGTTCTGACTTTCATGCTAGAGTCTAAAACATGTTTAATCTCGTTTTTGGGTTGATAGTGGTTGATGATTTTGAAGTAACACGCAGTCAAAGATGTTTTCCTGTTCAACCCACCCAGGATGGACCATTATGCTCGGCTTGACAGGCATTCCTGCGGTGATCTAGCTCCTTCTGCTGCCCTTTTTCCCAGAAAGCCCCAGGTACATGCTCATCCAGAAGGGGGATGAGGAGAAAGCCAAGAAAGGTAAAAATACACCAACTACTTTGTATGACTGTGATAAAGAAGTTATCAATGTGCTGCGTGTGTTTTGTCCTCTTAGCCTTACAGCGACTGCGTGGATGGAGTGATGTGGATGCAGAGCTGACAGAGATGCGACTGGAGGACCAGTCAGAGCAGGCCGAGGGCCGAATGTCGGTGCTCTCTCTGCTGGCTCAGCGCTCCCTTCGTTGGCAGCTGATCTCCGTCATCGTCATGAACATGGGCCAGCAGCTGTCAGGGGTCAACGCGGTGAGACAGACCTGTTCTCCACATTTCTGTCTCTCGTGTCTTATAATTGTTCTGTAATTTTCTCATCTTTCCCATTTCAGATCTACTATTACGCAGACAGCATTTATGCCTCTGCAGGAGTCAATGACAATGACATCCAGTTTGTCACAGTGGGAACAGGTGCAGTGAATGTCGTCATGACCATAGCTGCTGTAAGTACTCTGAAAACCTCAAACGACAGGAGCTGAGTTCTGCATGTTGTTTGTGCCGGGTGTTTCTGAGTAATAAATTATTTTTAAATCCAGGTTTTTATCGTGGAGTCCTCAGGCCGACGGCTACTACTTCTTCTGGGATTTTCGATCTGCGGTGGGGCTTGTGTTCTGCTCACTGTTGCCTTAAAACTCCAGGTACCTGACAGCTCACAGTAGTTAGACTGTTACTCTGGTGCTCTCTGGTGGCCCAATAGGTTCAACACAACACAAATCAAATGTTATTCAGAAATGATTTAAGGAAAAAAATCTGCACAAAGTGCTTTACATGATAACAAAACACATACTGATTAAAAACTCTTTCACAAAAGCCACAAAATAAATACAAAATCTGCCACAGATTTAAAAATAACATGGAAGTTAAAAAAAATATTAAACTGATGCTCCAACGGATGTCATGCTAATATCATCATGATTAGTAAATGAGAGACAACAGCTATTAGGACTTCCTCAATGGACTCACTGTACCTACAATATCTGCTTTTGTCATCGTTTTGTGGTTTTGAATTTCATTTAACCTTATGGGCCACCGTAGAAACAAAACAAAGTACGCTCATTGTAAACGTGATCAACCAGGATTTCCAACAATATCAAATTTAATTCCATAAAACGTTTTTAAAACAGGGAAATGACACCCCCCCCCCCCCCCCCCCAACATTCCAAACATCTTTGGTATCTTCCATGTCATATTGTACTTAAGTGGGTTTTTAACTGTAGTTGTGTCATTTAAATTGCAGAAATGCAAAAAAAAAAAAAAAATTTAAAAATTAAAAAAATACCACACATCTTTAAATGTAACATAATCTGCATCCTTTTGAGAGTTGTAATTTTAAGCATTGGATTCCATCAATTATGATGTCTGTAGTGGGGTTTTGGTGGAGTTTGGACAGAAAAATAACTGCAAATAATTAGCATCACCAAAAAACTAAAGTTTAATGAAATCCTCAAATGCGTATTATAAAATCTACATATTTGAAGGGATTTAAATGCGTCAGACACACTGTGTATAATAGCTGTCACTGTTCTATTGCTCCTGTACCCAAAAAACACAACTTAAAAACTATCTTGTTTTTAAAAACGGGCCCCAGGTTGGTAATATGAGGTTGTGGCTATCTTGTTTAGGTTATCTCTTCAGTCTGGTATTCAAACAATCCGCTGCAGCCGGAGCATTCCATTCAGGATGAATAGGAGGGATGACCTGTGAAATAACTCTAGGAATGCAGATTAGTGTCGCTGAATGTTTTTAGGATTGATTAAGAATATTTTTATTTTTGTATTGTAGTTTATTAAAGAATTCTTATAGATGCTGATTTAAGGATAATTTAAGAATATTGAAAGAATGTATTTTTGTACTTACCTGTGTCTGGATTTTAGGATTAGTCCAGTTAGTCACACCTGTTATAAATACAGCTCTGTGTTTGCTGGAGTGGGTTGAGAGACGGATGGAGTGGCTTGCATGGATTTTTGCTGCCTAGTTTTTAATTTGTAAAAAAAAATGTAAATAAATGCATTTGGGTCTGCAGTGGACACCGGCCTCCTCAGTATCACTTTTTCCTCCGGAGCGCATGAGGGTTATCCTGACAAGTGCCCTCGGCGCCACAGACCGATCAGATAATTTTGTAGTTTTCAGCTGCAGAACAGAACCAAAGCAGCATTAGCTGCACCGTGGTGTATAATATTATACATCTGCAGTTCCCACCTGGTATGGAGAATAAAATGATGATCTGGCATCTCTGTTTGCTGAGGTCATGAGAAACCTGAGACATTAAAAATGAGGCCTGAGACTAAAGTGCAAGAATCACAGATCCACAAAACAAAGATAGTTCCTCCCCCTGCAAACCTGCAATTCCACTTAATTAAAGTGGTTTTAATTAATACTCATCAAGTAAAACAGGGGTGTGATTACTGGTTAATGACTGCTTGTTTCTGCGGATAGGAGAGCGTGACGTGGATGCCCTACATCAGCATCACATGTATCATCATCTACGTCATCGGACATGCCATAGGAGCCAGTGAGTCTGACCCATCTGTGGTTATTTACACACACTCTGATTACAACACGCCTCTCCATTAGCTGAAGTGTTGTTTGGATGTGACCAGACGTGTAATCACTCAGTTGTTTGAGACGTGAGCTCCGTCGCTGTGACAGCGAGTGTTTAGGTTGTGGTTAACCACATCGTGTGCTCGGCAGGTCCCATTCCTAACGTGGTAACCACGGAGATGTTCAGACAGTCGGCCCGACCCGCCGCCTTCATGGTCGGAGGTTCCGTCCACTGGATCTGCAACTTCACCGTCGGCCTTGTTTTCCCCTTCATGGAGGTCAGTTTACACTCGGATGGATAAATATACATTCCTGCAAAAATGTGAAAAGGTTTTACCTTTTTGTTACAATTCAAATTTTCTCGTCAAAAATACTCAAAGACAACCTGAGTGAATAGAAAATGTAGTTTTTGAATTTTATTTGGGAAGAACGCAATCCAAACCCACCTGATCCTTCGTGAGTTCCACCATTACAGAAGAACCCAAAACAACACTTAAAGTGTTGCAGGTCCAACTGGATCAGAGGTTATTCGGAGGGCAACAGTAGCATCATGGGAGAGCTGACGTCTGCTGACTAAAACCAACACAAATCCCTTCTGAAAATTTCCAGAAAGACATCTTGATGATTCCTGACTTCTGGGATAATATTCTGGAAGCTAATGAGACTAAGTAGAACTTTCTGGAACATGTGTCCTCCTGTAAAACTAACTCTGCATTTCAAAGAAAAAGCATCATAACAGTCAAACATGGAAGTGGTAGTGTGATGGTCTGTAGCAGCTTTGCTTCTTCAGCACCTGTACCTTCAGCTGTCATTGAACGATCTGTGAATTCCTGAAGGAGAATGTCTGAACTTTGACCTCAGACAGTCCAGTCATGTTGGAAAAACCTCCAACGCGGCTGACATTGAACGACTCTGGGAAGAAGAGTGTGAGGAGTTTTTCCCACTAGGGGTCAGTTTTCTTTAAAGTAAAAGTCCCATTAGTCATCGTCACTGGTGAAGTCACATCTCTGCGTTTGACCCATCCCCGTGGGAAAAGGTGAGCTGCAGCAGTGGCTGCGCTCGGGAATTATTTGGAATGCTTTCATCTCCCAACACCTAAAATCGTTATATGAAAACCGTTTAGTATTTAATCAGGATAGCTTTATATTTGTTTGCTGATCTGAATCATTTAAGTGTAATAAAACAGAATAAATACAAAGTGTTTGGACTTTATTGTGATTTAACATAAAGATCAGATCTACGTTTTCACCTGACTATTGGAAGCGTGTTTATTTATTTCCATTTTTATGATAATTATAGATGTAATAATTATTGATATCCAGCTTTTATTACAAATTTTAAATGTCAAATTAAAATCTTTCCTGTGCTGTTTTTTTTTAATTCAACCAATGATGGCTCATTAAATCCACTTGACCCAAAGTGTGACAAATATGTATTTATTAGTTTCAAGGGGAACTTGTTTATGTTCCTCAATACATTTAAGTTGGACACCTGTTTATGAACGAATAAGAAACAAATGACTCACATCTGCCAGAGGGGAATTAGAGAATTTAAACAGATAAAAAAACAACAGCTTTTCTATCTTTGGATGTGTAAATTTAATAAGAATGATATAAATATCAGCGCTGGACAAACAAACTATAATCAGGGACACAAATCCAGATCTTTCTGTCCTTTTTGACTTCTCCGTGACTCACTTTAGAGTTATTTTCATGCTGATTTCTGGATGTAAACAGACCAGACCCTCCCTGATGGTGTCGTGAGCAAGCATCCAAACATAATATCTTTAAAATGTAGCAGATAGGAGCAAAATTTAGCGACTAGAAGTCTGCTTCCACATCAGTCTGCTGAAGGAAACAGTCTCTCATGTTGGATGTGTAACCATTTCCAGTAAAGAGGACACCAGTCGTCAGCAATTCTCTCTGGCTTCTGATGCTTTTTCTCTGATAAACGGAGCGGTGTTATCATGGAGATAAACAACAAGAAGGGAATGTGTTTAGGTAACAGAGAACAGAGATCCCCTTCAGAAAAACAAACATCTCCATAAAACAAGCTCTGAAAACACCCTCCCACACCTTTCTTGCTCTGACATCCAGCTGTTTCTGCCTGACATATTTACAACCTCCCACCCTGGAGGACACCCAGATCACGTTTCCGTTTCTCCTTCCCCCTCCAGAGAGGCCTCGGCCCCTTCAGCTTTATCGTTTTCTCCGTCGTCTGCCTTGTCACCCTGATCTACGTCTGGCTGGTGGTGCCAGAAACCAAGAACAAAACCTTCCTGGAGGTTTCCCAGATGTTTGCCAAAAGGAACAAAGTAGAGATCAAAGTCAAGGACGGCAATCTGCCTCTGAAAGATGACAACAAGGGCCTGGAGAACGTGGAGGCGGTCACGACCTTCTGAGGATAAATGAGAGCTTTGAGAGGAGAGGAAGTGATCGCTGCAGGTAGTGGACTTCAGAGGTTACATTTAGACTTTATTCTTATTCTCAAAAGGAATTATGTTTGCGTGGAGGCTAAAAATGCCAAAAGTTGTCATTTTATTCAACTACGAAGTAAATAAACAACCAACTAGTCTCTTATAAGCCTTTATTTATAATGCAAACTTATGAATTTATGAAAATAAAGTTGTGATGCACTTTAAACGTGGACATTTTATCCTTCCTTACCACAAACATGCTAAAAATAAAAAGCCAACACCATCAGCTGTGGTATTCTTGCTTTTGCAGGATTTTAGGCTCAAACCAAACCAAGCGGAAGGCTTTCAGGAGCATCTGTGCTGGTTGTCCAGCTGCACTCCACCATACACGCTGAGCCTGGTTTTTCCCCAGCTGAACACGTTCCCCACCTCGGTGCTGTTACACGACATCTGGTTCCGGATGTCCGCCGTCGTCAGCACGTAGTCCCACACGTTCACATCGGTCATGGTACCCACAAAGGCGTCTGCGCTGGAGATCCCCAGAAATCCGTCCTGATCTTTGCCCAGAATGAGTACACCGGCCGGCCTGATGGTGTAACCGCTTTTCAGGTACCTCTGCTCCCCCACCATGCCGTTAATCCAGAGCTCTGCCCCGCCGGTGTGGGACGACCAGGTCATGCAGTAGTTGGCCCAGTCCTGGGCTCTAAAGTTGTGCGGCAGGTTGACAAACTCGTTGCCGATCCACAGGCCCACCTCTCTTGCATCCGAGTCCTCGTTGATGTTGATCATCAGCTCGTTGTCGTTCATGTTGGTGGAGTAAGAGATGACGGTGTGGATGCCTGTCATCTTAGGGAGCACATGCATGCAGACGGTGAAAGCGTCCAGATCCATGGAGTGGCTGAGGTGAACCAAGGCGTAGCTGTCTGTGTTTTTGTCATTGAAGCTGAGCGTCAAAGGAAACAGGCCGCCATTTTCTGAGGAGGATAGGGAAACTTATATCAGACCTCAGCAACGTTAACCTACCAGGGTTTGAATCTCTGGAGCATTTACCATATCTGGAAGGCCTGGAGCCTGGAGCGCCTCCTGAGGAAGAAAAACAAACAATGCTAAATATTTGCATGAGCCTCTATTTTCACTGTGGTCGTTCCCAGAAAGTTTATCACCTGAATACAGATTCTTTCCAAGAGACGTTACCAGACCCTCGATCCTCAGGAGTTTGGATTCAATCTCATCCTGCCGACAGAAACCTGAGGAGACAGAAAAGAAACTAAATTTACAGAAAGTCACTCCATATTTTCCATTCCATTCTGAGATTAAATAACAGATCTGTGTAATCACACACTTCCTTTCCCGAGACGTGGCAGGAAGGAGGACTCCACCTGTCGGTCATTGAGAGGCTGAGCAATGCGGTAGTCATTCCACAGCGTCTTGTTGTCGATGTCCATCAGTGTGCTCTCCAGTTTCCTGATCTGAATGCAGCAAAGAGCAGATTTTAACATAAGAGGCCATTTTCTTGTTATTACTTCATGCAGAAGAAGTCTCTACACGTCAGCTTTACCTGGTTTTGTGACAGAGTGATGGGTGTGTCAAACACAGTCCAGGTGATGCTCTCATAGCAAGGAGGAGTGGTGAGGGACCCCTGGTATCTGAAGAAATGGTTGAGGTTCTCGGGAAGCATGGAGCGCACATTGATTTTTGAGATGTTCATGGACTGGCCTGTCAGGGTCACAGGAGTCAATTAAACTCATTTTAGGCTAGATTATAATCTGCATTTGTGTGTGAGTTCATGCATTGATGCCTGTGCAGGTGAAACTTACCTGTGTACTTGATTTTGCCCAAATTGTTTATAAAATCACTGTAGTATGTGTTTTCAAAGTGGCCATCCTGGAAAGAAACAAATTTTGAATCAGAAAGAATTTTGAAAACACCTTCTTATTAACCTTTTAGTTTGTTTTTGTGGGTTATTTGTTCTCCGATGTGATTCTCTGCTGCTTTCATGTAAACCAGTTTATATTTTTCTGTGCTGGACTCAGCTGCTCACACTGCAAACACCAAATGTGGTGCAGTTCAAAACATCTCACTGAGAGATTATTTCTCCACACATTGGTTCATTGCAAAAGAAAGTGAATCTTAGACGCCTGTTTCTGTTTGTGGTTAAATCTGGGCCTTTACTTCTACACATTTGTAGAGATTATGTCACCATGTTTAATCCCTATTGTCTACGTGTGTCTTGTTTATGAAACATTTTATTCACTATCTTCAAACTACCATCAAAAATGTGTGTAGCTGCACAAGTTCACTGATTTAATTATGTAAAATCAAAAGTCAGAACCCTGTTTATCACAAATTTTACTTCACTTGATGATTAATTTGATAAGATCTACCAAACAGAGTCAGAAAAGGGTAGAATGCCTTCTCCAGGTCAGGGATGAGGTCCTTCCTCAAGTAGAGGAGTTGAAGTATCTCAAGGCCTTGTTCACGAGTGGGGGAAAGCTGGAGCGTGAGATCGACAGGCGGATTGGTGCTGCATCTGCAGTGGTGCAGGCGTTGTACCGATCTGTCGTGGTGAAGAGAGAGCTGAGCCAGAAGGCAAAGCTCTTGATTTACCAGTTGATTTGTGTTCCTACCCTCGCCTGTGGTCATGAGCTTTGGGAAGTGACCGAAAGAATGAGATCACAGATTCAAGATTTCTCTGCAGGGTGTCTGGACTCTCCCTTGGAGACAGGGTGAGAAGCTCGTTCATCTGGGAGGGAGTCGGATTAGACCCGTTGCTCCTCCTCACTGAGGGGAGCCAGTCAAGGTGGCTCAGGCATCTGATTAGGATGCCTCCTGGACGCCTCACTGGTGAGGTTTTCTGGGCATGTTCAGTCAGAGAGACCCAAAAAATACCCAGGAGAGTCTGGAGGGACTATGTTTCTTGGCTGGCCAGGGAATGCCTTGGAATTCCCCTGGAGGAGCTGGCTCAAGTGGCTGAGGAGAAGTAAGTCTGGGCCTCCCTGCTTAGGCTGCTGCACCAAAGACCCGACCCTGGATAAAAATGGACGGATGGATGCACCTTACCAAATAGTTTTGTCCCCATGAACTGAATTTTTCTAAGCATCTGAGAGAAGAGTGACTCTGCTGCCATCAGGGGTGAATTAACCAACCTCTTAAAGGATGAGGAAGGAAGAGCATCAGGGTTTTTTCAAACCTTCAATCAACATGGCTGCAGCTGAAGACTAAATACAGTTTCTGGTGGCAAATATATCTTACTTCAATTGATTTTTAAGTTCCTGCAATAGAACAAAAGCTCATTTTTCTGCAGCAGTGCCTTGAGCCTGTGTAGATGTAAGCTAACCCGCTGGTAAGCAAGAGAAGAGGTGTTTGTGACTCACGTCATAGAAAAATGCAAGCACTGCCAAACCGTCAGGCTTATCTACGGCTTCACTGATGCTCTTGTACTTGTCAGAGTTGTAATGGACAATGTGGAGCTGGAAGAGAAGATGGAAAAACACGAACAGGGTTCAGTTGAAACAAAAACAAAATGCATCATGGGATGTAGAACTACAAGTGGAGTTCAATGCATCAGATTCAGAACAGGGAATGAAAAAGTTTCAAATAGGTTTGCAGCTCACGAATCAGAGAGTTTTAGAGTGAATTAATGTAAATAGATGTCTCCTTTGGGTGTTGAATGCAAGCGTGTGGAAGTTTAACACAAATACATGAATGTTGGTCAAGCTGTGTCATCAGTTCTGGTTTCTGAGCCAACCTCTGCCATGTAGCGGATGCCATCCATGGTGTGCTCCGCCCCGCTCTCCTCATTGTCCCAGCCACCCCAGTGCAGGTGCATCTGGACAGCTGTGAACTTTGCTGGAAGGCCCTTGGTAATCTTCATGGTGGGAGGGAGGTCGATTTGAACTGATGGCAACATGAAGATTTCATCACTGATCATGAATACTTTACAGTACTGCTGTTGTGTTTCAGATGTTTATGAGTGTGCTCTCCAAGGTTGCAGTTTGCAGGGGCTCCGTTCTTTGAACACAATGAATCCAATGCAAATCTGGTTTTTATTTGTGTTTTCGTCATTTAAATTAATTCTGTGAAATTCTGCATTAAATTTTGTACAATTAAATGTGTTTTATATATTTATGAATTGATTTTGTTGAATTAAAGCCTAAAAATCGTTCAAATTCTTTTGTGAGAGGCTGAAACCTTTACGTCACGCTTTTACCTGTGTGTCCGTTGTTGGTCATTAGAAAAGTCCCTTTTTGGGCATCGTATCCGCTCAGCTCCAGCTGGGACATGTCCGGGTTGAACTTCACGTTGCGCCGCTGGATGTCTATCGGGGACTGCTTCTTGCCGCCACACGCAGGGTATTCAGTCCCCCAGTGCATCTGGTCCAACGCCCCCTCTGCACAGAAACACATTCATCCACATGCAGATTATTAAAAAATACCATTAGACTGACATGCATTTAACGGGAAACGGTTTATGCCTCTGGAGGATGGATACAACCTCCCAGGTTATTAGTCACTCACAGAACTTGTCCAACTGGTTAGAAGAGCCAATTTTCACCACAGAAATGTTAACGGTCGCCCTGCTGCACAAAAATGACTGTGTCTTTCAAATCTCCTGATGCGCTGATTTCTCTGAATTTAACCAAGCGCGTCTTTGTTTTATGTCTTTTTAAGGAAAATGCAAGAGTTATAGCCAAGCTCGATATATAAAAACAATGAAAATATCTAAATTTGAACTTACAAAAAAAATGGGTTCATTTTTATTATTCTGTGTTTTGCACAGAAACAAAACAGCTAGATCTGTTTTACGCACAGTTTTACGCACCGTAGCCCACACCTTCACCCGCGAAACTGGTATGTTTTTAAAGAAATAAAACAAGGATAAATAAAGCACACCTTTGTATGTCCAGTGTATATCACCGTGGTTGGCTCCAGCACTGACCACACAGATTAAAACAGCGGAGACAAACGCGGAGAGGATCTCCATCACTGCGTCTCGGTTCCTTCACGCAGGACTGACGCTCCGCTGAGGCTTTCTCTCAACATTTAACAGAAGAGGGGAGGAGGTGTTGAAACCTCTGCTGAAAACGCCCCAAAGCTGTTCCCAGTTGCTCTAAAGTGACAGGAACAAAAATGTTCCTTCTTTTTTTTTTTTCAAAATTGTTACATAAAAACAACGCATTCAAGTTGTTTTTCTTTTGGAAATCCATTCAGATTCGAATGAATACTGCACAACAGAGGGCTGAATGAGCAGGATGACAGCTATTTATCTGATTGGAACTTTGATGGTGCTGGCTTGCTTTTCTGAGAAGTTCTGCAGAGTTCTTGTCATCAGGAACTCATTATACAAGTACATTCATGCCACAGTCAAAACAGATGCAGGGCGATACAAACCTTTTATCATACAGCAAGTGGAAATAATACTGTGTTTTTACCTTTTAATACAATCAGTTACAACATGCCTAAGCTAAATGCCAAATATGTCAACTTTGAGCTGTGAGAGTTCATTGACTGTCATTCCAATTAAATAAAACAGCAATGATAATTAATTCTTCAGTTTTACAAGTCATTTTTTTAGAGTTAGACTGATGATAAACACCATTTTACAGCAGTCTGATTATATGTCTGTGTCAGACAGTGTTGAGCAACGAGGTTTTGTTTAACATTTTATTGGCTCTAAATAAACACAAATTGTTGAAAAGCTTAGATGTTGAACTTTAATTACGAGCTCTTCAAGGACGTCTGCTGCAATTGTTCATTGTGCAATTTTGCAAACAACCTCACATCTGCACATATAGCTCTAAACACCTCTACAACCTCAGGTTAGTGGTGTTTTAAGGAGACTTGACCTTTAGGTGTGTGTGTGTGTGTGTGTGTGTGTGTGTGTGTGTGTGTGTGTGTGTGTGTGTGTGTGTGTGTGTGTGTGTGTGTGTGTGTGTGTGTGTGTGTGTGTGTGTCAGAATGTTGCAAATAAGAGAATGGTGACAAAATGTCACCACTGTTTGGATTTAAACGCTCCCAGACCATCACTGATCCTCCACCGTGCTTCAAAGTTGAGATTGTGTCTTGCAGCTTTTTGCTTCGATGGTTTGGACTCCTTCAGTAAATTTGGCCTCTACTCCCCAGCTAAGTGAGTATCATTGACCTGAGCTGGGAAACAGAGACACTTTTGTCTAGTCGACTGGACACAACGAGGAACCTTATCTTTGGCGGGGAATCACTTAGAACCTCCCTGCAGGCCAAAGCAGAGGGGCTGTTGAGGAAGAATATGTATCTTTTTTTAATATATTTTTTTATTGAAAGAAGAAAAACAACAGTACCTGCAGTTACCAAAATACAATTAACCTTTCTTCATTTTTCTAGGTAAATAACAACAACAAGACAACTAAACAAAAAACATAACAAAATAAAACAAACAAAAAAAAAGAGAGAACCCCCCACCCCCCCACCCACCCACCCAGATCAACACACCCAACAAACATTATTACCGGAATATAACAATAACAGAAGTACATTTAAACAAGTAATACCTCTAGACTAGTAAAATAAGAGATAAAGAATATGTTTCTTTAAAGAATGGTTTCATCAATAAAATGTTTAATCTTGTGATTCTTTCAGAAAGTTTCTCCAATGTTGCATAATTCTCTCTAAGGTATGTCCACAGATGGAGGTTGTTGGTTCCACTTTCTGAGGAAGATTATCAGACACCAAATGATAAAAATCAAGTAGGAAATGAAGAAGCTGTTTCAGGTCAGATTGTGGGGGTTTTGTCATGTTAAAATTCTGCTGGATCACCCTTTGAAACTATGCAGATACAACATACTGATGAGAGTAAGTGTGTCTTTGAGTAATTAAACTACAAAATGATCAAGTGACCCAGTTTTGTTAAAGACTTTCATCCTTCCACACACATCTGTCCAATTTTGTCTCCATCCTGCAATTTCAATTTCTAGATTCTGTAAACTAAAAGCATCAAATAAGCCCAAAAGATATCCAACCTTAATGGCTGAAGAGACAAGAAAGTGCTTCCTAAGCTCATTATCAGCCACAGACGTGATGTCCTTAACATCTTCAGAAAACCACCAGGTTCATCGTCATGACGATGGTGCACCATGAGAGCAATGACGGTCTTTAACGTCCTGAGGACTTAAATGGCGTAATTGTACCAGCCGAGAGCAAAGCCAGTAATTTAAAGCCCACATGGCGTAAGTCTAACTTACATGGTGTCATTCAGCTGCAGACTTGTCCCATAACAAAAGATTCTTTCTTTACTCAGAATGTTGGATTTCTCTACAGCAAACACTTAAAATGTGGGTTCAGATTAACTTGTGTACATTCACAGCGTTTAGAAATATCACCACAGGAATCCTGTTGTTACAGCCCTATAAAAATGTTTTCCTCTCACAGATGTCTTCTGTTTATTGTTTATTGGTTCCACCTAAATGTTTCTGATCAACAATCAAATTTTAATACTAGAGAAAGATAATCTAAAGAAGTGCAGAAGGCAGTTCTCTAAAGATTATTTAATTTCTTATGGACAAAGGTTACTGCTCTCATGAATTACAATTAACTCCACTGGGGCCTGATTACTATCAGACCTGTAGAGTTACAAAATCACTTCAACAGAACCCGACTGACGTAAGCTAAACGATCTCAAAAAAAGTACTACATCATGTCCCTTTTTTAAGAAGTTCAACTACAAAAGAGCCCATAACTCCGCAGGCCTGAAAAAATACTGAAATTGTGTCCCATTTAAAATCGAACACTGCCTTATAGAACAAGAACATCCCGCCACCAACCAAACACAGTGGTAGTAGTGTGATGGTCTGTGATTCATTGTCAACGTCGAGTGTGTTGGAGCCATTATTAGGTTTGAGGACCGGTTACTTTTTCCACACAGGACAGGGTGATGTTGAACAGCTTTTTCTCTTAATAAATAAAATGATCATTTGGTAATTTTTTAATGTGGTCACATTATTTCTCTCTGAAATGTGTTCCCTGTGAGATCTATAAAGAGGCCCACACTTCCTTACACTACTGTACGTTTTTATACACAGGCCTCATCACACAAGAAGAAATTATTTATCTGTTACAAAGAAAGTTGATAGAGAATTGTAGTCATGGTTGTCCCCAAAGTTAACTTCTACTACTTGTCTTTTGAATATATGTTGTTAATTTTCTCAAATTTCAAAAGGTCAGTTGTAATTAACATCATTTTTTGGGTTAAAAATGTGACTTTGTCCCCATTTGGAACTATGAGTTTGAAAGAGCTGAAACTGGATCACACCTACCGTTTGTTATTTTCAAGCACATGTCTGTAAGTTTTATGATGCATAAAGGTGAAACATGCCCATTTTGAGGATTTAAATGTTGCCCAAAAATGTAAACACTGTTAATTTGGACAATCTGAATCTTCTTCCTGTGTTTCGGCTTGTTAAGAATTAAAAAAACGTGCAAACTCATGGAGGAGGGAACTTTTTTATAGAATAACATTGGTGCGTCAAAGATATCACCTGGTTGTTCACAGTGACCAAAAGTATTTAACATGCAGAAAAGCATGACGTTTGTTGATCCAGCTGCCTGAATCAGCAAACAGTGTAGAAAGAGCTGATGAGTTCTACATTTGTCTTTATTTACCCTTTAATCTACAGAGCCAAGGTGCAAAAAGGCGTTTTTCACGGCTCTCTCAGATGCACAGTTACCCATGAAGGCTTCTAACAAAGTCCTTCAGCAGCTCTTCTGGAGTAAATTTGTCTTTAGATACCTTTTGCAGCTGATTTCATAGTATTAACAGGAATTGTTCTACTAAAGAAGTAAATGGAGAGAAACATGTCAAGTGGAGAATAAAGCTTACCAAGAACAGAACCCTGAGGAACTCCAGGCAAGAGAAAAGTTGAGTTTTCAGGCTTATGTAAATAAACCAATAGTTCAAAGGTTTTGCATTGCTAATGAAGTTATAGACTTCTCTAACATTACATCAGCCCCCATAAGTTTCACCAAATATGTGCAGTTACCTTCAAATGCTTCATCTGCAGGTAGGATTACTCAAAGGTAAAGTATTTTCATCAAAATGAACAGAAATTAACTTTTTAATTTGCACACACACACACACAACCCATCTGTTTGGCCTCCAAACAAGAAAAGCACCGCACAAGGCCTTGTCACCGGATAAAGGAGCCAAAATAATTCCTAGCTCACTTATCTTGCCTGGAACAAAAGTCATGCGGAAGACGAGACTTTTTGCACTTTCACTCCAAAACGGTTCAACTTCCTTGAATCATAAATGACTTTTTAAAACTTTATAATTGCGTAAGTGTCATATAATCATCTCTTGTTTGATTCCAAAGAGTTTGAATAATATGTGCATCAATCAATGATGTTAAAATGAATATTTTTCCTGCAATGATTCATTTCGAATCTTAAACTACACCAGATTAGTGTCTGCTGATTTAGCGTTAATCTATCCAACACATTGTTATAAGATTATTATTAATGTTTAACATTTTTGCTTCACATAATTGTTATAACATTCATTTCACACTCTGAGGATCTGAGTGAAGAAGTGACTTTATGAGGTTTTTTGTTAAGACCCTCTTTAAACGTGTCAAATTCTGATTTGTCTAAGTTTATAAACAATAAAGTTAATAAAATCTAGAACACTTCCTGGTCTAGTCAGTCTTCTCCCTTCACTCGATAAGGCTAATCGGGTGAACAAGCCTTTTGAGACCATCCATTCGTTTGACCCAAGGTCAAAGCCTCTCTGCAATGCTTGCGAGTGTTAGCAGACACAACGGCTCTTTCCAGAGCCACTCAACACAGACATTCTAACCTGCGGACGTTGGTTGCACCTAATGGTTGGGTTAGAAATCTGAATTCGGTGAACCTCACCACTCTGGCCGCTTTCGTCCGGGCCGCCGATGGGCAACCGTCACACAAAGGGTGCGTAGTCTCTGCATGATTGCGTCGGATGGTTTTTATAAACAAATCTCTAACTTATCAAACCATACAGACAAACTTATGTTACCACCCAGACTCCACAGTCTCTCTCATATACTT